TTGAGTACCTCAAGCCGCCCCCCCCCCCCCCCCCCCCACCCCCTCCAGTGGGGGAGAGGGAGAGAGAGGGGGGGGGGGTAACTTGACATTGTTTGTAGGAAGCTGAAAGAAGGAAAGTTGCTGACATCATGAGCGCTTCTGCTCCCTCGAGCAGACGGTTGCATTGCATGACAACTGTTATTTATTCTGATTATATTTTCAGCGTTGCGAGCACAAGTGTCGAAGACGATTATCGCACGGGCTACAATTCTGTACATGCGCTACGACACGATGGTGTCTTTACTCATCTACTGTTTCCAGGGATTTGCCAAGTTTCATGGTGGTTTAGTTCGCGATCGTGCGAATCAGCAGCATCGTCGATAATCTTTATGTAAAATCTATGACGCAAACACAGTACTAATCTTGTTGCTACTCTCAACCCATAGACATAGAACAATCATAACGTGCCGATGTAGAAATTTACAACTCAGCATTCTTGCGCTTCTTCTTATTCGGATCTTTCGCTTTCTTCCCTTTCTTGGAAGACTTGCTCTGTTTGCTCGACCTAAAACCTCGAAATTCAACAATATTTCCACACATGTTGCGCGAGTTACCTCGCGGACTCGCTTACAGGCTCTGTCGCTTTCGCCTTCTATTTGTAATCAGTTCGTTTTCTTGCAAGAAGACGTTCTCAGCTCTCTTACCTCCTTTGCCAACTCAGCTGTCTGCGCATCCAAGTTCTCCTTGGGGATGATCATCTGGTCGTAGCTGGGGTTCTGCTGCAGGAAGGTCACGAGACTAGCCTCCTGCGAGCTGCTGATGTCAGGCTTGGGACTCTTTTCAACGTAGAGGGCGAAGAACTTGGCAATCTTTCGATTGGACTCGATGATCTCTTCCCGAGACGTGAGGAAGTGTTGGATGTGCACTTGTAGCATCCCGAGCGCGTTGTAAAGGTCAGCAAGGATGTAAGTCTTCGGCTCGTGCCCATGAGCAATCTCCTCCAATCGTAGTACGTCGGCGATATACGTCTCGGCGCGGTCAAGCCAAGCTCTCTCGCCCAACGCGTTTGCTTTCTCCACCGCCAAGTTTGAGAAGCGAAACCCTACCTTGGCGCGCCACTCCAAGATGATCCTGCGCATAAGCCACTCCCACGTTCTGTCGTCGAAAGCAAAGAAATCCGGTTCTTGCGGAAAGAGATCAATCTTGTTGAACCACTCAAGCCACTCTTCGTTCGACATGTCCCGTCCTTTTCTCATCACTGCTGACACCAATCCCACCGGAACCGTGTGCCAAGACGGGACTCCACTGTCTTGGCGACCCATCACGCCTCCTAGCCATGCTCCCTGCAGAAAGCGCGTCAGGGCAGCAGCGAGGGGATTGTGAATCTTACAGCTTTGAAGACAGGGAACTTTGGGTTTCTTCCGTTAACTGCCAGGAACTCTTCCATAGTGTACCTACCATGCAAAGTGAGCAACATAGCAGCATAAATGATAGGCAGCGAGGTTTTTACGTGTTTGCCATTGGGTTAGGAGAGTGCAACTCATTCGGAAACTTGATTTTCCATTTTTTCATACGAGGGCCTGAAACCGCAATCAAATCGAAGAATCATGAGAACAACAGAATACCTTGATTGTTTCTCATCCATTTGTAGGTCATCATGGTCTCGTCAAGAAGAAGAACATCCGTCCTGTACTTTTCACATCGTTGCAGGTATCTGAAACCACAGCACTCAGCTTCATTACTACTTATCCTTTTCACCTCATCGAGTTAGTCACAAGGTCGCCCTGCGAGATAAGGATCGTGTTGGGCGGGAGAAATTCAAGGTGCTTCCTACCAAGATCTCGCACGTGCAAATTCTTACTTTGATCCATAGACCTGGAAAAAAGATCAACACAATTTCATGCTGACGGCTGGATTACTTATAGTTGATTCCAACTTGAGCGAACAGAATCAAGAGCACTGCTGGGATAACAAATTGCGCTTTCCAGCATGAAATTCTTTCCAAAAATGGCTGCGAGCTCTCAGCGAACAAGCTGGGAGTGAGTGTTTGGCTAACCTTGAGTCCTTTCCCAAGAATCATGAAAGAGATAATGTGCGGCTGCATCCAAAAACGCATGTGGATACCAAGAAACAAAGGAAGTTTGTCGATAGGAAGATTTGATAAGGAGTGAAACACCAACAAGTAGGTAATCCACGCCCCAACTATCACAGTGACCGGAGATCGATGGGGATTTCGCATCCTCGCTTGCACTGAGTCGACTAGTCCGAGAAGCATGAGAGGTGCACCAATGTAAAGACCATCAAGCAGAAACTTTCACGACAGTAAGAAAAAGTCAAGACACGAATACATTTACCTGTTTGAAATACCGCAATGTCGCCACAAGGACTTGTTTTTGCTGTAATAAGGTTTAAGAGTAGCAATGCTGCACTCCATATTTGACCTGCATATCATTGCCGGAATACAATTGGAAGGTTCCATATTCTTTCCGCAGAAAGTGTGTCATGAAGCCATCAAATGTCGACGTGTCTCCCCATGATCCAAGTGGAGCGTACTTCGCATGAGTGAACAAGAACACGTACGGCGTCAACCCCACAAGACCACAGAAAGAAAGAAGCGAGATGGCTCGAACATTGATCAAAACATTTCTGCCAACAAACAAGCTCCAAACAACAACTGTCAATCTGTCATTTGCAGCTTGCACGTCAAGAATATCCAGAATTACCCGGAAGTGCGAATAGAACAAGAGTATGTTGGTTGGTAAGACCAAGTCCAATAGAAAATGAGCCCAAACAAGCAAGCTTCAGGCTTCTCTTTTCATTGAACCTCAGGATCAAGTAAATCAATAGCGCCGCAAAAAAATTGTTCATAGCAAACACTTCTGCTTGAACTGAGTACATCCAAACTAGAGGACAGAGAGAATACAATCCACCAGCAAGCAACGATGGCCAAACAGAGCCAACCCACGCCTGAGCCACGCTTTTCTTCTCCAGCGTTGATTCCAACAGAAACCATCGATGCACAGAAAGCATCACTAGGACCCCTGCGAGAGCATCGCATGTTCCGGACATGAATGCAACGCGAAATGCTGGAGTTCCGAACGGGAAGAAGCGAACAAAAAAATGCCCGAGAACGGTGAAGGTGGGATATCCAGGCGGATGTGCAATCCCCAGCTCACAAGCACATCCAAGAAGCTCACCATTGTCGCCCCCAGAAACTGATCTGTGCATGGTTGCAACATATACACTGAGTATGACGCTGAAGAGCAGTACAGCTATGAAGTACACGTGTTTGAACTCATCTGCAAACTCTTCTTCTAGATTTGTCGGAACCCAACTGGCGACAACGTTTCGCTTAGATATAAAATTCGACTTCTTACCGCTCATCTTAAGCGACTCCAGTCTTTATCTCATCCAAGCCTGAGCAGCTCAGAGTCAGCTCCACACGGGCAGCTAAAACGAAGTCAAGACGTGTTGGTACAAGGGATGGTACAAGGCAAGAGATGGTACAAGGCAAGAGATGGTACAAGGCAAGAGATGGTACAAGGCAAGACATGGTACAAGGAATGGTACAAGGGATGGTACAAGGGATGGTACAACAAAGGATGGTACAAGGCAAGAGATGGTACAAGGGATGGTACAAGGCAAGAGATGGTACAAGGCAAGAGATGGTACAACGGATGGTACAAGGCAAGAGATGGTACAAGAGATGGTACAAGGGATGGTACAAGGGATGGTACAAGGGATGGTACAAGGGATGGTACAAGGCAAGAGATGGGATGGTACAAGGATGGTGCAGAAGATCGCATGAAGGGAATTTCTGGGATCACCACCTATATTGACTGAAAAAGAAGGGCAAACCGGAGCAAACAAAGGAGGGGGAGGATAGAGCCTACAAACCCGCCTCAATAAAATACTAGGAAACGAAGGAGGCAGCGAAAACCACCTACCTTATATGGGTCGCCTAGCTAGAGCTTTTAGTAGCTAGCAGCGTGAGGACTCTGAGGTGAGCTTGATCTCAAACAACCCATGCAAGCTTCGTGATGGGTTTGATCTCGCCGAGCATCCAGGCACAAGCAGGCGATGGCAACATGTCCGCATGTTTCTCCCAGGTGAAAGAAGAAACTCGTTCGGTGAATGAAAAGAGATGCATCGCCTGTCTTTGACCACTGTCTTGCTCTTACTTCTCTCTCATTCAACGTCCACACGGTACATCCTTGCGTCCTTGATCTCCGTTCTTTGATCCCATCAAGTTGCAGGTATGAGAGATGTGTTGATTTTCAGCTCTTGAAGACACATGGAAGCGCTGAAAGGCAACCTTGGATCAAGCTCCGTGGGGGGTCTGATTTTGATTCATCATCGCGATTGAAGCGAAGTTCAGGGAGTGATCGTTACAAACTGACTTCGAGTGAAAACCTCTCGGACGAGACGACTGAAGATGAAACTCCACAAGACCAAATGATTCCAGACGAAGACATGACAATAGATCTCCATCACGAGGAGTTGGAGCTTCCAAAAGATGTTCGTGTCGTAATCAACAAGCAAGATAAAAAAATTGAGGTGCTAGACCATCATAGTGTTCATGTTCGGCACACCACGGGAAATCCTCGACCTCGCTATCCCCTGAAAGGTGACTTCCTATTTGCTTTGCAACAGCGTGTCACTTTGCATCTTAGTGATCGAAGTTCCAATCCCCTTCGACGTTCGTCCTGGTGAGAATTTCACTTTTGTAGTTGCTGGGCATGGGGCGCTCTTGCTTACAGCGCCGTCGCAAGTACGTTGAATCATCGGGTAGCAAGCATCTCATGCTTCATGCAGATCAATTGTCCTATTCCATGCATAGGAAGCTCCAACAAGCGTCCTCACCACATGCTTGCCTTTGCTCCTACTTCCTCTCCGTTCCCAAGCCCCATCCCTGGCGAACCAAGGACAGATGATCCCGGGTCGTGTTTGACATCATTCAGGGGCGATGAGGATGGAATTGCTCGTCGCTTGTGCGACGGCAGTGTGCTCTATCCAGGCGAGACTCTCTATGCTTTTCCGGGCTCCGTGTTCTTCTCGCCTGAGGAGTCGAATTCCTCTTTTGTAAGCTATTCAAGATCGCTGGTCTTGCTCTGAACATTTTCTAGGGTGCATGGTTGTTGCCTCCTGTAAACGAAGAAGAATGCTGCCGGGTTTATGAGGAAGCTTTGACACGAGACAGGCAAGTGACATCGAAATTCCAGCTTCTGAATTGTGAAACAGCAGCAAAGAATGGGAAGTCTTCTGCGCGCACAACGGAACATTGTATTGTGGTAGTATTGGAGATGAAAGATTGTTGGTCCCTGAAAAGACTTGCAGAGCCGATGCGAGGCAGACACGGACGCTACTTTGGCAACCCATACGGAGGGAAAATTTGCACCAAGTTCTTTCGAGAACGACTTTTCAACGGCAGGTTGCCATGAAATCCTTTTGCGATCTGTTTCACTCTTGGATTCAGGTACAATCTGCCGGATGTGCATTTCAAGATCGATGAAGACCAAGAATACAATAAATGGATCAAATTATTGAAAGAATCTACAGTTGGATATTGGTCATTTTCGGATCGACGAGTACCTGATAGTCAGCTAACGCGCCTCCGCTTGAAATACAATCAGTGGGTTTCTGGTGACTGCAGGTATTGTTCCACTCTTCCTCCAAGCCATTTGGCAAAGCACTGGATGTCAAAAGAAACAAGAAGATTCTACTCAAAGATCTTGAACATGACACAGCTTGCAGCGAGAGGAAGCAAATCACACCAAAGAGAGCTGAAGAAATATAATCTTTCCAAGTTTTTCGACAGAAATCACATCTCCCTTGCCAACGAGAGGCGTTTCAATAATGGGAGGCTCAGATTGCATTACCTTCTGCATGCAACAGACGTTTTATGTGATGTCTGCAATCGGACATGGAAAAGGCAACCATGGCAAATCAACTCATTTCTTAATGAGAGCAGGGAGGATTCAACCTACGATTGGGTCCTCAAACGAACTTTCTGGAACGTGGCAGCTTTTGGCGATGAGGAGGACTTAGACGAGTTTCTCACAGTGTACAAGGTGGACATTAACGCCAGAGATCCGGAGGTTCAAATGTGCACAGCATTGCATCATGCTGCAAATCAGGACAAGGATGACAACATAGCAGTGCTAGTGAGACACGGAGCTGATGTCCTGGCGAGGGACCATGGCAACTGGACGGCCCTGCATTATGCTGCGAGGAACAACTCATGCCGAGCAATCAGCCGCCTTCTCTCCGCTGGCATCCCAATCGAGCTGGATGGGGGGGTGAGAGGTCGAGGGCTCAAGTATGCGCCATGCTTCACCGCTCTGCACTGGGCGGCACATGAGGGACACGTGGAGGCGATAAGAGCTCTAGTCGCTCATGGGGCCAACCTTGAAGCTCGAAACGAAGCCTCCCACACCCCCTTGATGGCTGCCATCCACTGGGGTCACAAAGACGCGGTGCAGGTGACGAACCTCTCTGTTGCTCTCGTCTCTTGTCAAGCATCTCGCAGGTGTTGGTGGAGGCTGGAGGCGATTTGCTGGCACAGAACGATCTGGGAGAAAACTGCATCATGCAAGCGTGAGAAGAAGAAGATGTGAGGAGGAGAGGGAAATGAGTCGAGATTGCAGGCAGAAGATGTGTCTTCACTTTGCCACCGTGGAGTATAAACCAACCAAAGGACAAATGCGACGAAGCCCGCTCGATGTCAGCTGAATTTGCCTGCTGCTCACACTTCTTTGATGTGCTATGGCAGGAGTGGACTGGACCTGAAAGATGGCACGAGACGTACGAGTATCTCAGGACCGCGATAGCACTGAAACGACAAGCCTGGATCGAGAGAGAGAGAGAGAGGTAGAGCCCTTGTTACATAGTTGAGAGCAAGAAATGATGTCGCACAGAAAGAACCGATATCAAAGTGATGTAACAAAGCAAGAAACGCACATCAAAGGAGTATCACGTGACAAGTAACACCCACGCAAGCTGGGCCAAGGTGGAGCAATGGAGAGCGATCCTATCGACCTATCTCCTTGCCCTACCCAATGGCAATTCTCCCTTCACTGCGATATCGAGTTTGAATTTTCAAAATAAAACATAGAATTTGATATAAATTTTAGCCCCAGAGAACTCGATTTTATGATTTCAATTTTGTCTACAGAAAAGTTTTGTAGCGAACAGCGGACATGGAAGAACGAGACTGGAGCGTGTGGCTGGCAGAGAGGGTCAGCACTTCGTGGACAGGCAAGATCCGTCTCCTCCTTCCTGTTCTCCTTCTTCCTTCTTGCCCTCTGCGAATCCTCCTCCTTGCTTGCCTTCATCCCCTCCATCCCTTCTACCTATCATTACATTCATTTTCATCCTCAACCTTTTCCTCATTTTCTTTCAATAAAGACTTTCTCCACTCTCTTGCCACACGAAGGTTGGTTTGATGGTGTTGTTTCTTGACAGCTGATAGAGTTTCTTCGGCATTGAATTCGAAAGTGCTGACGCAGGCACGTAACAAAATTGCTGTTACCCCACTAACGAAGGTTGGACAGTTAGCGGATGAAAGCAAGTGGAAGAAGATAGAACAACCGGTCAAGTTACGATTGCTTCTCGCAATGGTTCGAACGCTCAAGTATTGCTGCTTCACATGACATGCTGTCAGACCGGTGCAAGAAAAGGAGAGGACTTGCAGCAGCTTGAAGATGCATTCAAGTCAGCTAAATGTCCATCACGTGTTATATGTAAATCCTATCGTGCAGGGCTGTATTGCACTGTGCGGCCAAAGACGATGACGATTGGGTATATGAGCAGCAGAGATCAGACGCGCATGCTGAAAGTGAGCAGGTGAAGCTCACGGGTACGCTGATGAGCGACATAGTCTCAGCCAATAGGATTCGGTTGGACAAGAAACAGATGGACGATATCGGCACCTCTCTTTCGAACATGTTGAGCACATCGGAGGCAAAGAACAGCTTGAAGGGGATCACCTCGTTGCAAAAACGATTCCTCAGCATCGATAATCGTGCTCTTGGTATCAACTCTTGATTTGTTCCTTGAACTCACGTTGTTGTCAGACCTGAGCGATGAGAACTGGAAAGTCTCTTGCATAGACACTTCTCATTGTTTGAGGTGAGGACTGCAATGCTGATCAGGTCGAACCATGACGAACTGCGAAGACCCGAAAATTTTCATGAAAGATTCAAGAAGAGGGGGCTTTTTGACATCAAACCACAAACCAAAGATGAGATGTAAATCGTGTGTTGCAAAGAAACCTTCGTATTTTTGAAACAGGTCGTTTAGGAAAGATCGCGAGGCAAGAGAGCACAGTTTCAGCGTGAGTGGGCAAAATGCGGCGTTTCCAAAGGCAATAACGCCGAGACCTCGGACTGAAGCAAACTGGTGGGAAGGAACACAGGTTTGAGGAACAGTACCCCTGAAGTCTACATCTCACTGCCCCGCAGCGAACTACTTCAGTTGGCATCCCCCGCCACACTGATATTTTGTGCTGCCTTGAAACATGTCTGATCGCCTTGTGATGTGTATGAGTGCAGGCAAGTCCTCGTGGAAGAAGTCGATGAAGAAAACGACAAGACAACCGATGAGGCTCAAGTATGTGAATGCTCTTTCGACGAGGCTCGCGACTGAGTCTTTTGTGGAAGGCTCCTTCAGGCAAGCGATCTAGGGGCAAGAAAAATCAAAACGAGGAGGAGGGAGGGAAGCAAAAGAAGCACAGAGTGAATGATGCAGCAAGTGCCGGTGGTGAGCTAATGCAAACACCCTTGGTCTTGTGTTTGACGAGATACACTTAGCGGAGCAAGCTCTTGCCAAAGAAGGTCATGTCTGGAGGAGGAATAAGAGGATGAGGGAGAGGAAATCTGAGAGGATCGCAGCAGAAGATAGCGGATCAGCTTCTAAGCCTGAGAGCTTTTCTGACGCCCCTGCGAGTAGCTCATTGCATGTGAGACAACGCAGCATACTAATTAGTGCTCCAGCTGATAATCCTCCTGCTGCTCCTCCGGGAGAGAGCGTAGCGCTATGGAAGAAACAAGTACATGAATCGCATGATATGCAAAACGTCTAACAGAAATCCAGCTCAAAACTGTCCCTGGCCTGATCGAGCTCGTCGAAACCTCTCGACACTTGAACGAGGTGACGGCATTTGAACTGCAGCGTAGAATATTAGCAGAGGGCGCGAACTTGCGAATGATCTTTTTGCATTTGATGATGAGGAGAGGGAGAAGGAGCTGGAGGATTCAGGGCTGGGAAGACGAGGAGTGGAGATGGAAGATTCTTCTGACAGGCGGACCTATGTCAGGGGGCTAAGCGTGCGATCATTGATTTCATCCGCGGCGTGCGAGTCAATCCGTTCCCTGATCAGCCGCCGCTTCTCAGCTTTACGTGAGAGATTCGCCTCGCTTACTCGAGCACAAAATCATGATGGAGCAGGCTGCGATCGGAGAGGCTGGATGGAAAGATTGAGAGCATCTTGCTGGAGATCAACTATGATACTGGAAGTTGGAAGGAATTTGCTAGTGCGTCAGCGTCTGCTATTCTTATTGGCTTTGTAGGTTCACCGAAACTCCTCCGAGGACAACGCATGAAGTAGTTCAAAGGTAGACATTCATTACTGTGATATCAGTCTTCTGATCTCGTCTCGTGCCAGCAAGAGCTCTTCTTCTGTAATCGCTGTTCTTTTAGCAAGTCCCTTGTAAAGCATCAAGTCACTTCATTCACATGCCATTCCATCCAAGTAACCTCTGGATCGTTTTCGAACCCTTCTGCAGCAAGAGCAGCACTCGCCCTCACGCAATTAGTCCTGTACAGCTCCGTCAGCTCTATCATTTCAGAATTCATCTCACTTGGCGCAAGCGGCAGGCGAATGCAAAACCCTGGCAGCATCGCGAGAGGCGACGACCTGTGACGAGTGAGGCGAAGGCCGAGCAGCAGATGCTGACCTTCTTCCTGCTCCTCTGCATCATCTCTTCCTCATAGGAGCCCAATGCGTCCGACAAGCACATGGAGGCCCTCCCACAACCCTTCAAGTAGTCGTGCAGGTCTCGTTTCCCACAGCCTTCTCCGTTTCCATCTCCCTCCCTCTTTCCGGCCCAGTCGCTCAGAGACAAGAAGCGAGCCAAGCTGACAGCGTCAAGAAGAGCTTGGTTGGCCCCCTGACCTTTGAAGGGTGACATGGGATGAGCTGCATCTCCGAGCAGGGTGACCCTCGAACGACGATCTCGGAGCTGGCGCAGCGTGTGCTGGAGGAGGCGGAGATCCGCGTCGAAGGCTGGGTAACCCGTCAACCCCTCGAGCTTCGTGCTCTCAATCAGCTCTGGTATTGGCCTATGCCAGTCTTTACAGCGCTCCAGCGCCATGCGCTTCAAGCTGGAAGGAGACAAGTCTGTGGGCTCTGAGCCGTCGGAACTTTGGGGGTATGGGAACGAGAGCTGCCACATAGTCTCATAAGGATTTCCTTCACAGAAAGGCATAACGTAGATGCGAGTCTCTCCATTCAAGGTTTGAAAGACTCTTTGCTTCAAGAGAGGGTGATGTACGTTGGTAATGCCCAAGATTACTATCACCTTCAATGGCATCAGATAGTGCTGAGAAGCTTTGTCTTCAAAATCTCTCACTGAGATGCATCTCGCTGGGGGGGTGCTAATGAGATCATCTCGCGGATGAGACGAGAGGATGTCTGCGAGTTCGTCAATGCGTGTGTTGTCATTGTTAGACTTGTCCAGGAATTCTTGTAGTATCTGCATCTTAACACCTGAATATATTCCATCAGCTGCCACCAAGATTGAAACGCGATCAGAAGGGACATCATTGCCGAAATGAATAATGACGTCTCCCTGGGTTGAATCCTCTTCGAACCTCACGAATTGATGCCCCCACTTCACAACCCCAGCAGGCAACTGAGCGAACAACTCAGCGCGAAGTTGTTGACGAGGAATATGTACATTGTAAATGGTTTCTGCATTCATCCTTCCCGTGCCCGCACAAACCGTACACGTTGTCTTGGGCTTCCCTGCCTTAGCGTCCTTGTTTTTCTGCGGCTTCCACGTCGTGCCCTTGCATTTCCAACAAAGCTCTTCTTTCCTGCTCCCTTCCGCGCTCCGCCATTGTCGCCCATACCATCCGATGACTTCTCCGTCTGGTAGGAGAGAGTAGTGGCAGATTGAGCTAATGCCTTTCATTGTGATCCCGAGCTCCTTGAGGGCTTTGCCCCCTTGCTGCATGGTAAGCCCATAGCCTTGACTTCTCGACTCCATTGCCGCATCTCTCTCATACACAGAGACGTCGATCCCCTTCCGTACTAGAGCAGCAGCAAGCGCCATTCCGCCAATTCCTCCTCCGATCACCCCAACTTTCTTGATCTGGTTGCTCATTTCCAAGAACCTGGCCAAGAAAACCGAATCATTTCATGTTGCTTCCACATGCCAGAACTTCCTTCTCTTCATCAACAATCAGATAGTTCCCTTCAATCTTCAGATGTGTCCACATGCTGTGACCTTCTCAAAATTATATTTGCTCAACGCTAACTTCTCCTCTCAATCCCCTCTCGCAAAGACCTCCATACAATCTTACTGTCATCGTTTTGTTTTAGTTCCCCGTTCATCATCTTCACATCTCATCTTTCATTTCTCAGTCCTCATATCTTTTCTTTCTACGCTTCTCGACCCTTGTTCGGCTTCTCCCCAGCTCTTCCCTCATCTTCGTCTGCCCTACTCAACACCTGGCCATGGTTGGGTCCCATCGCATAGAGCTCGAGCTCACCTCAGCTCGCTATTGTTGTACAATTTGAGGCAGTAAAATATGCACAAGTCCAAGTAGGGCCAAAGTATCCTGAAGGAACTGAGATATATCATCGGAGATACTCGTGAGCGAAAGTTCAGACCCACCACCCCTACCAGGTCTTTATATGTGGTCAGCAAAAAAAAAGAAAATTTCACAGATTGATAATTTGCAACAAAAAGTTGAATTTCTTTATTCTTTGTCTCACAATTTTGAAATTTACTTTATAATGAAATAAATAGTGTGAAAAAAAGGGGACCCACGAAAATAATCGTTGGCAAGGAAATCATGAGATACACCCCCCTCATACGTCATCTACTACCCCACCCCAGAAATCCTTGTCGGACCTATAAGTGTTCCAGGAAAACCACCCCGTCATGGCTCAGAAAGACCCCACCCATGAGTCTGCACAAGGTTTGTATTACAGTACCCCTCCTTCACAGTATTTGATACCCCCCTTTCCATACACTCTCACCCTCACTCCTACCCACCCCCCACTACGATCTCGATCCTTTTACACCCTTACACCATGCCGCGAAAGCGCCGAACGGGATCTCATGCTGTTTGTCATGACGTTTGGCGAGTTATGCTTCATCATCTGAATCCTCTCTCTCCTCGTTCTCCTTTTTGGTCTCTATCCTTCCCCATTCCCTCACTCCTTTCTTCTCTTTCTCCTTCCCTTCCACTTCTTTGGTGCGCTTTCTTCTGACCATCCTAATCCAATTCATAAACCTCGCTGATCTGCATGCCTCTACGTCTATCACTGTTTCTTTTCCTCATCATGTTTCTATTCTTCCCGTTTGGATCTTGATGTTTCTATTTCTTCTCGTTCGGATCTTCTCTCACATGTGTCTGATCCCCCTGCTTGTGATCCATGGCTCCGTCCAACTCTCTCAAACCATCCGGGCTGTTGCTTCCGAATCTCATGTTGTTTCCTTCTCTTTCATCATCTTCAACTCGATTGTCGTTGCCACTGTTTTATTATCGCGTTAGATCGCTGTGTGCGTATCTCCGATGCACCAGCTTTTCTACTATCGCAATCACTAGGCTTACAAGCAGCATCTCCTTGTCCTCACGTTTGTGTAGGTTGCTTCACGATCTCTTGTATCATGTTCATGGTTCAAGGTCGTACGCTTCTGGCCCTTCAGGCTGCACTGGTCCTGCTTGTTTCGCCCTGCTTTTGCTTCGCTCCGTCTTGTTTGAAGCTTCGTTCACACGGAACGATGAGCCCCTTGAGGTCAGCAAGACCATCGATCTTGATGTCTGCCAAGCCTCAGGACACCTTGGAAGCTAAACTTTCGAGCATCTCCAACATGATCTTCTCTGGCATTCTTGGAGCCTCGTTGATTCTTTCCCCGGGCATGGTTACGCCAGATTCCCCTGTGTCCTATGGAGGCACAGCTTATGCGCAAGGAGCCACGTCGTCCAAGGTCACTCGTGGAGCCCCTTCAGTTGATGCCAACAAGGACCCGGAGTCTATCCTCCGACTTTCACTTCCTATCAATCCAAAGAATCCCATCCGAGAAGCGCAGGTAGGATAGTTCTTGTCTCGCGTTCAGGTCTACGACCTTATTTCTGGACAGGCTGAACTCGAGATGAAGATGGACAAAGCTTTCCGAGAGATCAGGGGCGAGAGGTGGAGCAAGATTCTTGGATACTCTAGGAAGGCCCTGAATGTCGTCACGACCAAATCTGATGCCATTCTGAAGGTTGACGAACAATTATTCTCATTGCGTTGCCGTTAATTCCATTCAGGACGTTTCTTCTGATCGTCAAGCTGAGGGCAAGGCGTTGCTTGATGAAGTAAAGAGCAGCTTGGAAAATGTCGTCAAAAGCGTGGAAACACAAGATGTTGCAGTTGTTGAGAAAGCAAAACGAGCGGCCCTTGACAAGATTGGATTGCTGGAGCAGCTTATGATCAAGGACTTTCCTTATCAGTGAGGACTACGCTTCGCTCCCTAAACGGCATAACCTTGTCTCAGGATTCCGAAAGAATATGCCAAGCTTCCTCAGCTCAAGGTAACAAGTGCGAGGCTGAATATATACTGTCTTGTCGGGGTCTCGGCGTTCACCATCTCGTTTAGGGAAGAGCCGTAGTGGAGATGACAGTCAAGAAAGCAGCTGACGGTGCCAAGTTTGATGTCGATGGTGGGGCTTCGCTTCTATGAATTTCAGTGAGCTCGTTAATGACTTCTTGGTTGTTGTTACAGGAACGGTTTACGACCAAGCAGTGTTTCGAGTTGTTTGCGATGGTTACACTGCTCCTATCAACGCTGGGGCCTTTGTGGATCTGGTGAATCTGTACAAACATGAACCCATATTTCAATTGACATATTAAGTAGGTAAACAGAGGATTTTATAACGGAATGTCTATCCAGGTATGTTGTCAGTTTTGGTTGTGTTCACTTCTAATTGCCTACAGCGCTCCGATGGTTTTGTTGTTCAAACTGGCGATCCTGAGCCGGAGAACACTGAGGGCGTGCATGGTTTTAAGAACTCCGACGGGTAGCGGAGGAAGAGAGGTGGTGTTGTGCGGCTCACAGGATGGATAGATCCGTAAGAACGCTGCCGCTTGAGGTGTTCGCTGAAGGAGACAAGGAGCCAACCTACGAGGTACCTCGTGATCCTTGCAATCAACACGGCAAGCTGACAAAGGAGGATGCAGACAACTCTTGAGGATGACGGCCGCCCTCTAGCTCAGCCCAAGGTGAGGAAACAAGGTGCATGCAGGATAATTTCTGATCGTCTTGCAGTTGCCCTTCTCTGTCTACGGCACCCTAGCCATGGCAAGATCCGAAGATAATGCCAACGATGCGTCTACGCAAGTATGCTGTGTGCCTTCATCTGAGCAGCGAGATGACGAGTTCCGATTACGCCAGTTCTTCTTCCTGCTCTTCGATCCTGAATTGACCACCGCTGGGAGAAATCTGATGGACGGCAGGTTCAGCACTTTCGGGTGAGGTATTATGCCACGAGCTTCAAGTCGGACTGATTCAGAGGGCAGTTACGTTGTGGAAGGAAACCGCCTTCTCTCAAATGTCGAGGTAAATTCACAAGTGACACCCGCTATGGTTTGATTGACGTTGAAAATTTATTTACAGGTCGGCGACAAGATTATTTCAGCCAAGGTTGTTTCCGGTATCGACAACCTGGTAGTCCCTAAGTAAGGAAAAAGTGTGATATGGTTGAGATACTGTAAAATCTGCCATGTGCTGCTATCTCATAACTTTGTCGTGTGTCCGACAAAATTTGTCACATGCCAGAAGCTCTGCATAGACTAGTTACCCAAGTCTTACCCGATAGAAGCGCAACAGAAGCGTTGGAATAGGAGGGAGCAGGGAAGGGAGGGAGCAGGTAAGGGAGGGAGCAGGTAAGGGAGGGAGCAGGCAGAAGTCGCAGGCATGCCTTGATCATCTCGTGGACGATTGAGTCAGGCAGTTCGCCCATGAGGCGTTTCCAGCTGTAAAGTCCTATCAGGAAAGGCACAGGAACAGGCGTCATCGACTTCACCGTCTGCGCAGGTTCAGTGCAAGGTCGAGGATGGTGACCTGAAGGAGCAAGATCAGCTTCAGCTGCCTCTCCTTGCTCGCGCTTGCTCGCTCTTTCTACCTCCTTGGAGGGATCCGACGTGTCACGTCGGAGCCCGCGGCCCATCTGCTGAGCAAAGACAATCTGCCGCGCGCAAGTGCAAGCGAGTAAGTGCAAGAGCAAGACGCGTCGCAAGCTCGCACGCCCTCACCTCACTGTCTGTCACTCTTGCGAGCACAACGAAGTCAACGCCTGCTACCCGTGAGGAGGAAGCGCGAGAGAGTCAGCACGTACCTGGACAGTCGTATCCCTCATTGAGCATCGAGATTGTCACGAGAGCATGTGCCATCCCCGCTGCTGGACGAGACGCAAACTTGGCGACATTGCGCTCGGCTCGCCCGCCTTGCTGCTGGCAGATGAGCAGGGAGCTAGCCGGGGCCTCACGCTTAACCTTGTAATGTGCGGACATCGCGAGATGTCGGAGGCCCCCGGCATCGTGACTCTCCGATCGGTTGAGCAGACGCGACACCTGGTGGGCTTGTAGTTGAGCACCAGCTTGGGAGAATCGCTAGAACCTCGTCGGCATCGAAGGTAGACTGAACAAAGATGAGCATCCGCCTCTTAGGACTCAGACAAGCCGCCTCGACTACTCGTCAGCTACAGCCCAGCTGAGCAACAAGGAAACCTCGCGAGCAGTCTGATAGGCGAAGATGGTGCGCACGATGTTGTCAGGAGTGAGCGACCGTCTGCTGATGGATATGTGAGGAATAAGAAGAAGAAGCGAGGAACATGAGAGCCGAGACGGGCAGCAGTGGGTCAAGCACTAGAAACGACAGAAGAACGGAGGCAATGATAGGAAGGAGATAGGATTGGGGGAGGGAGGTTGCTACCACTGCTCGGTTGAGCCCATGCCCATCAATGTAAGGCTCGTTTCCATGTCTCGAACAAATCTCCTCACATTCCCGTGCTGAACGAACATGTCCTGCTCGTAGCGTCACCGATGCCTCGCCAATGTCAAAGGGTCAACGTGCAGCTGGGCATAAGTCTTGGCATCTACACCAACATGAAAACGAGAATCTGACAGAAATGAAATGTGGGACAGATTTGCGTCTACCTGCTCCGTTGTGTAACGTCGGGAGAGCTTCGAGGTATTCAACTGAAGGGAAAAACCCGAGAGACTGCCATATGTGAGAACCGTCAGATGACAGGTGTGCAACAACCTTGGCAGAGATCCAAGAGAAGTCAATGTAGAGGACCCCCTTAAAAAGTTTCTTGAGATCTTCACCCTGAACATTTTTTAACATAAATCACTCGTTGATTGCTATGATTCAACAATGTGTATGACATGTACAAGACAGTAAATGTGATACAACTCGAGAGAGTCGGAGACACCTGAGGGTCAGATCGATGACGCAAAGTTGCCGTCATTCCCTGACACACGTGTAAGAGAAAACAAGGACGCGTCAAAGGGCCCACCAGGCAGTAAGTCAAGTTGGACGACTGCCGAATGGTCTCAAAGATCTTGAGATAAGATTCTGCCAGGAGGTGATGACACTCGTCGAAGCAAACGTGCGTCACGCGCGCGACTATCTGTGCCAACAGCCGTCAGGGCAGCGTCAGGTCGAGGGAGGAACTACGGATGAAGGAAGACGATCAAACGACTGGAAGAGGCAGAAGATGAAGAGAACATGATTGAACGTCTGAGAGCTCGTGAGAATTCAATCCTGCAAGGCACCAACCAACTTCTTCGGGGAGCTGCCCCTTGCCAAGATGTTCGCTGACGTTCAAGAAACTCGCCCTTCAAACAAGCGGGTGAGATCAGAATCGATCTTCTCTGTTACAACCTGTCATAGCCCAAAGAGACGAAGTGACGTTGAAACTTCTCATACGCGGCGTCTCGGATCGCTCTCGTGTGCACGAGAAACAGAAAGGTGAAATGCTTGCAGAGGGGCATCGCCCTCCTCCCCTTCAAGTCGATCAGTCTGCTTCCTCCTTCGCTCTTCGATCGCTTGCTACAAGTCAACTTCATCCCTCCCCTCGTGTCTGGGAGAAAATGTCCGCCAGCTCTCCTCTTGCCCCGTTGCTCTCCTTCCCGGTTATCCTTTAGCTCCTCCCAAACTTTTCCCTCCTGGAGCGACAGGAGCCAATCAATGGCTGCGTGCGGATCGTGATCGCGCACTTGCAGAGCTCTGCAGAAACACGTCACAAAACGACTGCGCTAGGCCAAGAGGGCAGCAAGAGCAGAGCAATCACCTTCGACAGGATACCTCAGGGAAACCCAGCGGAAGGATGAGCTCGAGATGCTCCTGCTTCACGGGTATCTCTCTGTCGACCTCTGTCACAACACGCCATGGAAGCACTGCATCACTTCCACGCTCCTCAAAGGCTCCCTCCTCATCCGCTCTCAGCCCATCTTGATGCGCTTCCTCGTGGCCTTGTTGAAACCTAACGTCTTCGTCTTGCTCCCCTCCCTCTCCTTGCTCCGCTTCTCTTCTCTTCAGTTGCCTTTCGATGTCGAGGATGCAAAAAATCGTCTTGCCCAGCGCTGTCGCCATGACTAGCAGCCCGACCTGATGGCTCAGGTGGCCCCGCACCTGCTCCACGTGCTGCAGCAGAGCTACCTGGAAGGGACTTGGTGAGAACCTCTCGTTCTTCATAGGAGGAAACGCCGTGTCTAGGTCTGACGTCACAAGCATTGTGCAGCTGAATGGAGGAGATGAAGGCTCTGCAGGCGCATGAGCGTCTTGCTTTTCATCGCCGTCAGCTGCGCGAGCTTCCTCTTCCTGGGAGTCTGGAATGACGTCCTGATCCTGCTCCTGCTTCTGCTCCTGTTCCTGCTGACGCTCCTGCTCCTTCTCCTGCTTGTCCTCCTCTTCCTCGGAATCAGGAATGATGTCTAGTTCTTGATGAGACTCTGATTCCGAAGCGAGTTTCGGCTCTGCGCCCTCTGCCGTTCCTCTTTCGTTCTCGTCTTCATGCAAGCGCTCTTTCCCGGCTGCTTGTTTCTTTCCTTCCATTCGATCCAAAAGATCTTCAAGCTCCTCGTCGTCGATGCAACCATCGCCGTTTGCATTGAAGATGTCGACAAAGCTTTCAAGCCTCATTGTGTTCGCTACATCATTCTCGTCCTCGTCATCCAGTCTGTTAGACTTCTTGTCTTCATTCGTTTTCTTCGCGATTTCTCGTCATCACGGCATCATGAAACTCCAGTCGTCATGTCACCGCATCTTTGAGTCACAGCTGACTTCATCCTCTTCTTCTCCCCTCCCTCTTCTCCTCTCCTCTTCTTCTCTCCTCCCTCTTCTCTCTCCTCTTCTTCTCTCCTCCCTCTACTCGCTCTGCATTTTCGAGTTCCTACGAGAATTTCCGCGGTTCACTGATCCCCATTCCGCCTCATTGGAAAAAATGCGGCCAATCGCGACATTGATGCTGCATGCCGCAATCCTGCTCATGACTGCCTGCTACCCTCCTGCTGCTGCTCCTGCTGCTCCTGCTGCTCCTGCTGCTCCTGCTGCTCCTGCTGCTCCTGCTGCTCCTGCTGCTCCTGCTGCTCCTGCTGCTCCTACTTCCACATCGTGCCTCCGTCTCTTCCTCCGCCTGCAAGGGGGTCGAGCGACGAGATCAGAGCGCAGAAAGTACTTCCCAAGGAAGAAACGGAGGATCAGAGAAGGGGAGGAAGAGGAGCTGACGTTTGACAATCTTCGAAATGGGTCGCAAGGAATGATCTTCTCAGTCAACCCGCGACGTCGAGGATGGCAGGACGTTGGGTACAAGCATGTAGCATTGCTCTTCGACCACTTTAGGTTGGATCAGAAGGAACCCGAGACCCCAATCCGTCAGGAGCTTGACGGGAAGAGACGACTGAGTGACATCATCAAGGAGGAGATCGATGACCTAGAAGATGAGCACCTCTATCCCCAGTCAAAGAAGAAAACTCACTCATTCACAGAAGTGAAAGGACTGGTTTGCTGTGCCCCTATCCTCGACCTATGTGATCGATATTTTAGGTATTCGTTCGGTGGATTGATCGCATAGGAGAGGACCCCAATACCTTCACAACGCGATTGTTTGAAAAGATCGTGACGAACAACATCTCGCTCGACATGTTTCATTCTTTGAAGCGCTTAATCCCTGTAGAGAACACGACTTATGCTTCTCCTGAGAAGGCAGCGAACCTTGCACTACAGGTGACCTTAGACTTGCTCGCGTGCTCATGACAGATTGACAGCTGTGTCAACCTCACTTCAATGCCACAAAACCGCTCACGTTTCGCGTCGATATTCAAGTTCGACAAAATAGCAGCGCTAACAAGTACGAAATACGTTGACTCGAGGTTTGTTCACATGCGTTGGACAGAACAAAGCTCATCCATGCCATTGCTGATACAATCAGCCACATGGGAGCTCACAAGGTAACTGAATCTCACTTATTGTGTTGCATCAAAATGCACTGATTCGTCGAAACTGAAGGTCAACCTGACTGCTCCCGATAAGATTGTGATTGTGGAAATCATACGGCAAATCTGTTGTATGTCGTGCGTCTCAGGAGAGCAATACCGCAAGAATTTCTGTTTCAGGTCAGACTTTGCGTGTTTCTCAGAGTCCCATTCACACCTTCTCTCAGTTTTGACAAGGTGCGAGAGTCTTATGAGTGAGCGAATGTCGGGGATGTGTCGGGGAAAGCAAATCGAACAGGAATGCACGATTCTTGAAATCCAGGCAAACATTGGTCATTCTTTACATTACCGAACCTTTCACGTTCTTAAATTTCGTAATCCTCTCGTCCACCGATGGAGAATTTGCTCTGCTCAGGGATCAAAATCGTGAAGTTGTATTTTGAATTTCACCTGCTTTGAAGGGTCGCCTGTCTTCCTTCTCTTTCCTCTCCGACGGTTTTGACACCTGCGTAACTCTGCTGGGCTCTTCGCTGGAATCAGAGGTATCGGAGTCTGAGTCATAGAATCGCCAGCGCTGTGACCATACGCTGTGTTGTTCCCGAGGCAACGGCTTCATGGACGGCTGCAAAGAGTTTTTGAGATGAGACACGTTTGCCAGGGATGAAGATCTCAAGTCTGCCTTGGACATGGGCAATTCGCAAACTTTCTCCTGCATAATTCGTGTCAAGATTTTCTGCAAAGCTGTCAGTTTTCAAACCGTTTGAAGCTCATAGATTTTTTTGAGGAGATCTTTACACTCTAACTCCTTCTGCCTGAGCTTCACTTGCAAGAGATCGTTTCTCTGACGTTCTTCTTCCAGTAGACGCTTCGTATTCGCCAATTCGATGTTCATGGCATGCTCTGCACAGGCGTAAGAAGCAGGCACCTTCCATCCAAGATACCTAAACCCCTGTCTCCTTGCACCTTGTTCTTCTTGACCATCTCTGACAACAACTCCAAGTCTGTTTCGGCCTGTCGCTCAGATTAAAATTGAAACACACGCATTGCAGAGCTGCGAGACCTGTGTGTACAATTGAATATGTTCCTTCACCAGTTCCAGCGCTTGTTTCTCCCGCCTTTCTGCTGCCATAGCTTTGTCTTCTGCATCCCTGACCTTTTCCTCAAGTTCTGATATCCGTTTGTTCGCCAAATCGGACCTCAAAGAAACCCCGTTCGGCTTCCTTTGAGAGACTCTGTCGAGAGTGGCTCTCTTTGAAGTTTTGAACTTTCTCGTGGGTTTGTCAAGAGTTGAAATCGTACTTACAATGTCTCTTTTGAAGTCGCTCAAGTTTGAAACAGTATCAATGCATTCCGCATCGACTCTGTCGATTGTTCGAGATTTTGAGGCAGAGTCCGTGTCTAAGAACAAGAAGTTTGATGCTTCTGCCTCCCGGTTACTTGCCATCAACGATCCCTCGTGACCATGTACTGGATCTGGGACCGAAACGAAGAGATTGTTGCTATACATGAACTCAAGAAACGTCTTTGTGGTGAGATATTCGCTGGAAGGAGAAGCAATTGAATCGATGGACTTCAGATGTTTCCAAAGCTCCTCAATGTCTCTGGCTTCCCACCTACCCTTCTTCTCATGTGTTCAGCATGCAATGGAAATCATAATTCAAGGCGTACCTCAAGGTTTGCGCTCTGTGCCAGGGACAAGAGCATTTTGAAGACCTGTAGGCTCAAAATCTTGTCGTGCACGCCGACTGCATGCAGCCATTTCAACCAGTTCTCTCTGAGGCGAGGCAACGAGTGAGTGGCATGAGCATTCCTATTCATTTGTACCTGGTGAGGCCTCCAAGCGCGTCCATCCAGGGTACTGCATGAGAGCGCTCTAAGCTCTCTGAGCCTTTCATGGCATCTTCGTTCGAAGAATCGTCGTCATTGCGATCTCCTCGCAAGAACCTGCGCTGCCATATCCTTGTTTGAGACAGGTAAGGCGGCGCCATGTCCGAGATGAATACAAAACCTGCTGCTGTGGCCTGCCTGCTAGCTAGCTGAGCCCAGGTCCCGACTCGGAGGCGGGTCCGAGCGCCGGGCGCCGGGCCAGTGGGTCCGAGCCTCGGAGGGCTCAGGTCACCGGGTCAGGCCGGCTGGCCCCCGGTCAGCCGCTGTCCCGGCCGCTCCGTCATAACCGACGAAGCACAAGTTTGTTAGACTTGTACTGTCAACTGTGCCAAAGCCGGTCACCGTCAGATATCACATCGACCTTAGTTGTAACCGTCAAGACAGTTTTCAAGTTTGCTCAAGACCGAGTTTAATGCACACAAAAACCAGAATTGAGGAGCACATGAGAGATAGACTGTATGCTAGGATGTGAAACCCAAGCATTGGCAAGTCACTGAAGTCAGGTGACACCGTGTGATAAGACCTTACTGTAGGCTTTCTTCTACTTGAAGTTTCCGATTTTCGTCTTCCCAAGTCACAGTGGGCGAAGTTTAAGCCTTCAACGGTTCCTAACTTGTGACGGGAGTCAGCCGAATTCCCGAGTGACTCATAGTATCAGTATCGGCGCCCCGGCAAGGCGGCCCCGGCGGCCCGGCGGCCGAGGTACAGTCCGGTAAATGAAATGCTGGTATCACTACCGTTACTAGGAGAAGTTGTACGGGTTGATTTTTTGGTACCAAAAGTGAAGGGGCAATCATTTCCGATGATTTGTGTCCGGTTACTACGAGAGTTACATCTTTGGTACAAAATGATTTACTTATCTTGAATATTTCTAGATTACATGTATATTGAAATTTCAAAACAAAGAGAATTTGTTGAAATTGGATTGAAACATCCTAGGTCAAAGAAAAGCTGCGCCGAGGTCCTCGAGTGAGTTCGCTTCTTTCAAACCTGAGGCCCCCGGCCCCTACAAGCAGGGGTACTCTAGACTGGTAAAATTGGGGTACTGAAGAATAGCTTTGAAAGGTGGGGTGATACTAGGGTGTTTGAGGGGTGTGAAAATTTCGAAACGGGGTAGTACAATGGGGTACATGTTCAATGAGGGGTAGGGGTCTCACAATTCACAAAGACCTCTGGGGTAGGCATGCTTGGCAACTCGTAATCTCATCGTCATTGTCTGTGAACTGGGGGGTGGTATCGAAAAACAAAGGGGGTAGGGGTCTGATGCATGGTTGTCTGGCTGATGGGTAGTTGTTGAATAGGAGGGTAGGGGTACCGGTAGGCTTGGCGGGAAGGCATGGCGTGGTGGAGGTACGTGAAGAAGGCGATGAGATGAGATGAGGTGTGAGGACGAGAGAACAAGAAGCTGGAAGCGAAATGCTGCTGAGATACTGCACTGAGATCGTTGCACGAGGACGCGCCAATGAAGAGATCCAGTGGTAATTCAATGGCTTAGGTTACCCCCATTCGAGGTCAGTGGAAACTAGGGTATGGCCCTTGCTTTACGGCAACAAGGGAATTGAGCTACAGGGTCTGTGTGGCGAGCAACGATAGGAGCGTATAACAAAAGGACGAGAGCAAATCTGATTAGCGATGGAATTTGCACTTGCTTAGAGAGGGTTTGGCTCAGGTACAAAGCGTGCATCCGAAAGGGATATGATCGATGAGATAGAGCGAAGCCTTGGTGTCTAAATCTTGCTTTGGTTTCCAGGCTTCTGATTGATACATTGAACATGGAACATTAGCAAGATTTGAAGGACATCTAGAAGGATGAACCTGCAGTCGGGGAAGTACAACGAAGACGACGAAGGAATGCGGTTCAAGATGCAAGTTAGTTGCCCGGCGTGTGGGAGCATGATGGTCTTTCTGGTCGCACCTGGTGTAGATAGTGTGAGGATAAACTGCTCGGGATGTGCTATCCCTATCGATGCTTGTACCAAATTGCCACCAGAGAAAATTGAGTCGTTGAAACGTTCGATGACCATCAAGACCGCTGATGAGGTGATGGCTTCCTTGTGCCGCTGAGGATCTGAAGTGTGTTTCTCCATAGATTTCTGCAATGACTGAGCAACTCAGATCGAGCTCTAACCTCAATTCATGGAATCAAGCAAATTTTGGCGTCAACTCAATGCAATATCCGCCATTTCACCAGCCGACTCAAAATCAGTCTTTGTCTGCACTGAATCAGAACGCAGCTGACTTAGCAAGGACGAGTCTTTTCGATTATCATGATGTTGCGAATCGATTACAATCAATTTCGAATAGAGACCTCAGGTATATCAGCAGGGGGTGACGACATTGCACTGAAATGATCAAGTGTTTTTGCAAGTAGTAGTGTTCACAAGAATAGAAGCCGTCCCGATGTTCCAAATTCTGTTCCTCATTCAGGATCGAACACGCAGGTCTTTGATGCCTGAGTTGAGAACATGTGTGATTCCGCTTTCTACAGACTTTCCATAATAGTTTTCAATCCACAAAACCTGATCTGTACCAGGTTTGTCGTGATGACCTTACATTTCCATTAATGACTTTGTTTTTGCTCTACTGCTTCTGGAAATATTTCGATGTGGACAGGATTTGTTGCTGAAACAAGGTCTCAATTCCTATCTTTTGCTCTAAAAATCATTCATATCTGACTGGGGAAACCAGGTCGTGACCAAACAGCATCATCAAAGCTTGAAACGCCGACTGAGGCAAAGCACAAGGTTTCAATTTTCTTCACAGCATTAGAGATATATTTGATTCTTATTCAGAAATCGACCAAAAATGAGAAGCTCTCAGAGCAACTAGAGCTGTCAAAGAGATTCGCTATGGAGGCTTTTGAAAATAGTCGGATGCGCACAAACGAGAAACAGAAGAGCAAGAAGGAGGCATACCCAGATTTAAAAGCGAGGCTGATGAAGACCAATGGAACGTCTCATGCTGGAAACTCCTCTCAGACAGCGGTCGGATCAGCCCAAAATCTTACTGTTCAAGGCTCGTCAAAGGAAAATGAGTGTCCATCGCCAGTTATCACAATCGAGGACTCAGATGTAAGGCTGCTTGAACTTGATACATTCTAATCATCTTATCTTTGAAAAAGGAGGAGGACAAGGCTGTAACATCGATGGAAGCTGTTGAAGGGCTGAATCATTCGACCAAGTTTGAAATGCAGGATTATGTGGTTATTTGCCCACACCCGAAGGTATGCAGCACAAAGGTTTTATTGTGATCTTTAACCTTTACGCTCAATCAGTGCCAACAAAAAATCACTGGTAAAGTGGAAAGAGGCACGATCGGAGTGCAACGCATAACATGTCCTTATTGTGATTGCAAAATCGATTGTGTCCATGACACCAGAAGCAACAACGAAATGGAACCCAAGAAGGATCCTCGGACCAAGGAAGATCGAGCCGCTGCTCAGCAAACGCTCGTAGACATTGACTCAGGCTTGCTTGATGAGGTACTTTGCCTTCATGTGCTGTTTTCTTCTTTGACGGAATGGTGCTCAGCCACCAACGAATACAACGGCATCCTCCATCTTGGACAGCAGAATACAAGACAGAATTTCTCTGCAACCCGCTCTATCTTCTGGAATTTCAATCGAACAATATTCATCGATGGTTCAATCTCACTTGCAGAAATGCTTTCAAAGCAATTATGCTGCCGTTGCAGCAAACAAATTAATACGAGAACCCTTGCCTCCACTTCCCTCTGCTGTGCCCATGGAACAATATCTCAAGTCGGTCCTTTCAAACGTCGGGTCCTTAGATCCCAAGTCACAACCACCAGCAACAGAAACAGAATGCAAAGTGGGCGAAACCAAAGAAAACGAGACGGATGCAAATGTCCCAATGGTGATGGATTCGGAAGGGACCACTGAAAACACCTGTGCAAAGATCTCGGACAATGCCGCTGAAAAGATTGTTGAAGATACCACTCGAAAGATCTCGGAAAAGGACTCTGAAAACAATATGGAAAAGACCTCTGAAAATGTTTCTGGAGAGATTTCTGAAGTTTCGTCTCATGGGGAACAGAAAGAGGTCAAGGCAGAGACGAAGGAAACCTCAAGGGCGCAGGATGTGGAGGATGCAAACGAGTCTATGGATGTGAATTCTGTCCATGAAATCATTGAAAATGCTGTTGATATCGAGCTGGGAGATGACTTTGTGGAAAATTTGCTTGTTAGTTGGGGGATCATCAGGCGAACAGCAAATATTTTACAGCTGCCTGATTTGGACATGGAGGCATTTCTACTTGCGATACATCGATACGACAAGCAAGGAAGTCTAAAGACTTATGTAGATGACCTGCACATCTCGCTGCTGAAGGAGCTTTGTAAGGAATTCAGGCGTCCTGAACATCATGTTCGCAACATCAGTGCTTTGAATGTACATACATGGCATGAAGGTCTTCGCTTTTACATTCTATGGATGTCGAGAAATATTTATGTGGCCCTTATTGGATGCCGCAAAGATGAATGTAACGAGAAGCATGACTCAGAAGAATCGAATGTGTTTGAAAGACCAGAAGCAGATGATGCGAGAGAAAGAATGAATTCAGAGATGTCAAGTTCGGCAGAAAGATTGCAGGAGTTGGCTACTAAGTTATGGGAGCATCCATACACAGATTTGAAGCTTGATGACCGATTTGTAATCCTCCGCTTTCTGTGCGAACGACTCTTGCAAATGTATGACGTGCGAAAGGAATTGGAAGAAGAAGAAAGCCAAGGGCATCTGATGAAGATGACTCACAAGGAAGTGCTTAAGGCGATGCTGGATGAAGAAGTTTTTGTCTTCCCTGAGAGGTAGACATTCTGAATGCTGACAAGCACAACTGATGTGTGCTTACAGGAATCGTGTGATCTCAAGTCAAGTGAATGGTGTCAATGCCGTTGAGAAAGTTTCAAGGCTCGTGCGACCGCTCAAATCCCTGCTCGCCAAAGATCGTACAAAGCTTGACATCGGGACGAGACTAGAAGGTCAGGAAGTGCTCATAGTCGGTTTTGCCAATGGCGACCCCCTCCCGTCGGGAATCAAACATTGCAAGGGCATCATCACTCGCGCCTTCTTGAATGGATGGTGACTTTGCTGGGCTACCCGCGCGCTTGCTGACCAGGTTCAGGTTCGAGATCAAACGGATTGACCTCACGTCATACCCTGCGGCCCAGGCAAGCCTATGCGAAAGATTTACCCAATAGGTCACTCCATGGGTCTGATAGGCTTCGGGCGAATCGGAAAAATTCGACTTGTTGGATACTGCTTTGACCGAAGCTGATTTGAGGTGATCTGCAGCCCTCTCTGGCTAATTGCTTATGTTGGCGATGATGATGATGATGATGCTTGTGTTGGCGATGATGATGATGATGATGCTTGTGTTGGCGATGATGGTAGAGTTGAGAATATTTGAAGATACACAGATGGCTTCTGTCGCTGAAGTAGTTGAGGAGGGTTGGCTTTTGGGGATGGTTGTTGGTGCTTGTGGAGATTATGATGTTCCTTGATAGTTAGGGAAATGAGGCAATCGTTGTTGGTCGGAATGGAGATGATGTTTGGGATAGGAAACAACAAGCGATAAGCCTCGGAGAAACGAAACTCTGGCTACTGATTGAGATCGAGAGACTTGTTACACTCCTAAGCTCTCGATGGGAACCGCTTGGTGAATGTTGGTTACGTATTTGAGGCTTTGAATTGAAAAGACTTGCCAAGGTCGCGATAGGGAAGATCGAATGATATTCCGTTTGAGTGGGGACATGGACAAGGTGGTCCCGTGCTTACATTAAAAATGTTCGAGTTTGACAGAAAACTTTTCCAGGTCTTGGCTGTGAATCAAGACAACAAATGGTCTGTATATTACAAACAAGACTTTCAAAAGTTTGTTTCAGCCTTGAATCGCAATGTTCATGGCGAAAAAAACATTCTTAATACGTTGAATCGGCTTGTGGTGGTCAAGAATGAGCTGGAAAACGCAGGTGGAGAAGTGGAGAAATCATTAGAAAAGGTCAATCGCAATGCTTCAAGTTTTCGTGTCTCTTACTCGATTTCCTTGCAGCTCAAGGGCAAGAACGATCCCGATATCCTTAACGCAAAGGAGAGAAGATTGAGGAGTGGCGATTTGCACGCATTGGATTTCTTGGATGTGGATGAATCTGAAGAGACCTGCAACGTGACTGGAGAGACTCACAATCCTCGAACTCACTGGCGCTGCCCCATGACATACCTGACGATTGACCGTGATATGTATCACCAACCCGTCTCTAAGGGACGAAAGAAACAGCCTGGACATGCTGCAAAGACATGGAAGCAGCACCTCGAGGACTTTGAGCAGATCTTGAATGGAAACAGTGATGCTTTCACGAAGCTGGAGGCTGAGATCAGGGCTCGCTGCATCTTGGGAGATCGGCCGTCGTACCACAAGGGTTTCTCCGACATGATTGACTTGAGGTCACTTATCGATGCGCTTGAGGCCTGCGAGCTCGTCGTGTCGAGCGAGCACTTGACGACTTTGCTCGCGCTTGCTGGGCCCTCACCGTGCGAGGGCTACGTCTGCTTCCAAGAGTTCCTGGCGATCATGGCAGCCATCATGAGGAAAACTCCCGTCGACCTGCCGAGCGAGTTGAGCTTTCTGAGGCGGAGCTTGCTGGACCTTGAGGCTGCGATCCCCGACAAGGCAATGCCCTACTGGACCAAGGAGAAGAGATACCACTGGACCCACCTGGTCAAGTACTCCAGGTCGCTCGAGGACGTGGCGACGGCCGTGCTCTACTTAGAAGCGTTCATCGAGTCATCATGGATGAAGCAAAAGTGGAAGGCTCTTCCGAAGCGGCTCAAGGACGTGGAGGACGGTGACCTGTCAAATGCGACGGAAAAAAATGGAGGAAAGGAGCAAGATGCGGCCAAAGGACGAGGAGACGAGGCGATGGACACGTGGGAGCGTGCGAAAGAGTTAACGAGTCTGACAAGCTTTGATAGGACTGATGAGCGACCTCAAGGGAATGTCTCGTTCTCAAAGGTCCTTCGATTTCTGTTCTTCTCCTGCGTTGCACATAACTCAAGTGTCAGGAAATGAATCAGAAAGAACGGAAGGGCAAGGAGTCGATCCCGTCAAAGTCAAGGAAGACCAAGGTTCTCTGATCCCATGTGCCTTGTCACTCGATGACATCCGATGGAACCAGGATACCGACGACTCCACGAGCTCTCGACAGTCAAAGAAGAGCCAAGAGGAGGAGGAGCCTCGCGCACAAACGAAAAGAGACAAGAAGGGCAAGAAAGACAAGGCAAGAAACACCGCCTTCGACTTGCAGCCCAAGAAACGAACTCGTTCTGTTGAGACCTCGCGGTCAGTCGACTCCAGTGAGGACTTGGAGCAGCAGAAGCCGGGAAAGAAGGGAGTGCCTTCATCTGATGACAAGGCGGCAAGCAGTGAAGCTACGGCCCTGTCGAGGTCGAAGCTGCTCATGATGAACGGGTTCCAGGTCTGTTCCCTCGCTCCTCTTGATCCGATGAACCTCACGCAACTTCCGCAGAACTTTGTGCGAGCAATGAGTGTGAAGTTGAAAGTGACGCACTCAGACGGCTCATTTCATTCCAAGCTCAAGAACATCAGCAAGTTCTGGCAGTACTTGCCGGAAGAGTCGCGCAGTCGTTGGGGGGAGCAGGGGGGGAGCGGCTTGTCGAAGCAGAGCAAGTCTGACTTGACGTGCGTGTGGGTTCGGCTCTCGAGCTCCTGGTGGCCTTGTGTGCTCCTCGAGGACAAGGCCCAGCAGGAACTTCGCGTCTTAGATCACCTGCAAATCCCGCCCAACACGCAGGCGGATACTGTGGGCCCGAGCCGCCTCGTGCTGCTCTTCTCGCTGGTGCGGAAGGAGTTCTTCTGGGGTGAACTTCACTCGACGAGGAATTTCCTCGAGTACCTGGACATCTTCAACGAGAACGATGACAGTGCGGACTATGCGCAGGCAATGTCGCAAGCATTCGCCCTGTGCGAGGGATCGATCGAACTCCTGCAGGTCGTCTCCAATGTCTCAGGCGAGCTGGGGGGGCTGCAGGGCAAAGAGAAGGGGATTGAGACGAGAGACGACGTGGTGCGAAGATCGTCGAGGGTAACTTACACCGGCAACTCGGAGGGTTCTCGGAATGCCCTGGCGGAGATAGAGGAGGCGAGAAAGAAGGAAAACGAGCTAGAAGAGGAGATTGAACTGATCCTCTCAAGATCATACACCCTAGACGAATTTGCCATGACTACCTCGGGAGTAGCTTCTATCGTTTACATGTTGGACGCCGGGTATAACTTTGAAGACGCTGTCGACAACGAGGACGAGGATGCAAATGCTATCGTATCTTCCAGCAACGCGAGGAGGAGCGGAAATCTGGTCTGGGTGAAGATGGATTCGCACTGGTCACAGCCATGGCCAGCAGAAGTTTGCTTCGTTCCTGAAGAGATCGCGAGGAGAAACGTGGGCAAGAGCCTCGTGCTGCTGTTTGGGACTCACGAGGAGATGTGGGTGCGGTACCCCCTCACCCTGCCCTTCGACCTCTACTTCGATCGCTTCGTCGAGAAACTTCAGAGTGCTGACGGCAAGGCTGCTCTGAGCGAAGCGCAAGAAAGACAGTCGGACTTGAAGCGGATCAAGGAGAACGCGGGCGTTGACAGCAGCACGGGCATGTACAAGATCCCCGAGATCTTCGACAGGTTTGAAACGAGACTTGAAGTCGCGAAGCTAACGCTGTTGTCAGAGAGATCAAGCTCGGGGCTATCATCGAGGTTGAGGTGCAGGACCCTGAAACTGAAGAGGTGGAATGGGTTCCGGCGAAAGTAATTCGCCTCGACAAGGACGAGAGTTTCCATGTACATATCATCATGATAACGAGCAAGGAGAAGGGCGTGTGGGAGGAGAGGTACACTCACAAGGTGAAGTCCTGTGCTGCTTTACCTGCATCGCTCATGCTGCAACAACAGGAAGAAGGGAAGGAGTGGAGATGGCCTGGAACAGGCGGGGCTTGAACGCTCAGGGATAGCGCGGAGGAAGGGAGGAGGGCACTTGCTCGAAGTAGCGCGTTGGGTCCGTGACGTGAGTGAACCTGACGTATCAGTGCGAGCGCGTCTTGAGGCCATGGCCGCTCTGGTACAAGGCTTCGGGCTTCCCCGCTAACTTGGCGCTGCATCAACTGACCCTCAGCACAACCCAAGCTCAATCTCCAGCTAGTCACCAGCGACGAGCAGAGACGAAGAGAAAGTCGGAGAGTCGGTTCAGGTAGCGCACGGCCGACGCGTCGATGACTGCTTGCTCGTCCTGCTGCAGCGCCACGACGTTCCTCTCAGCCCGCCTGCCGAACAAGAGGCGTCAACAGACTCTTGACCGCTCCCTTGCTACTCCCCCTCCACTCCCCTTCCCGCCCCTGCTGCCCCTCCTCAACCTGCAGACAGTCCTCGCGTTGTGTAGCGTTGCACTTGCAAGCCCCCCGGAGGGGAGGATGAAGTTCTTGAGGGGCGGGAGCTCCCTAAGAGATACAAGACACGATGAGAGAGGGAGCAAGGGAAGCAGGTGGAGGCATAGGAGATAGGAGGAATACTTGTCCATCTCGTCGATCCAAAGCTCGAGATCATCCACCCAGACGTCTTCTACCTTCATCCTCTTCACCTTCTCAGCCGTCTTTTCGCTCGTCGGCGTGGCGATGTGAGCTCCAAGGTCTAGCAGGCGACATCTAGCAAGCTCATGAGCTGCCGAGTTGCACATAAAGACTTGGAAGTCACTGGATGTCTTCCAGGCGAGCAAGCAGAATGTCGTCCTCAACCTTCTCCTTGATTATCATCTCCTTCCCGATTCCCACCGCCGAGTTCAGCTCATCGATGTCTCCCAGCGCATGGAAGATCTTGTCGTCCTTGCGTCTTCGCTCGCCGTTGTAGAGACTCGACTTGCCCTTGTCCCCTGTCCTCGTGTACACTGATACCTGCCTTGCCGTCGCTGCTGCTTCGAACCTCTGCAACCTCGACCCCGCTAGCCTGGAGGTGGCGCTCAACACAGCTGGAGCGCTTGAGCGGGCAACAGGCAGCAGCGACCAGAGGGCTCGACGATGGATCGACAACATGAAGATCTAATGAAGGAGAGGAATCAAGTTAGATGAAGCTAGATCATATCATGAAGATCTAATGAAAGATTGGAACCAAGCTAGATGAAGCTGGATGAAGCTAGATCAATTATGAAGATCTTATGAAGGAGTGGAATCAAACTAGATGGAGCTAGATCATATCATGAAGATCTTATGAAGGAGTGGAATCAAACTAGATGGAGCTAGATCATATCATGAAGATCTTATGAAGGAGTTGAATCAAACTAGATGGAGCTAGATCATATCATGAAGCATCTCGACTAATAAATCTGTTGAACTTAGTCGATTTCATGGTCTGCCAATAGACTTGGAACTAACAAGAAGAGTTCCGACCTCTCCCTCCCTCCTGTCTCTCTCTTCCTCTTTCTTCTGCATGAGCTCTCGTCTCTCTCTTCCTCTTCCTTCTGCATGAGCTCTCCCCGCTCCTTCACCCTCCATCTCGTTTGCGCCCATTGTCGCAGTTCTTGCAACCGATCTCTGAAAGACAGCAAAACCGTCATAGCAAATGATATGCTCGAAATTTAATGTCCTAGAGTGGAAGAACAGAGCGAGAGGAGCGAGCGAGGGAGAGGAGAGGAGAGGAGAGGAGAGGAGAGGAGGGGAGAGGAGAGGAGAGAAGAGGAGAGAGGGAGCGAGGGAGAGGAGAGGAGAGGAGAGGAGAGGAGAGGAGAGGAGAGAGGGAGCGAGGGAGCGAGGGAGAGGAGAGGAGAGGAGAGGAGAGGAGAGGAGAGGAGAGGAGAGGAGCGAGGGAGCGAGGGAGCGAGGGAGAGGAGAGGAGTGGAGAGGAGAGGAGAGGAGGGAGAGAGTGAGCGAGGGAGAGGAGGGAGAGGAGGGAGAGGAGGGAGCGAGGGAGAGGAGAGGAGAGGAGAGAGAAATCGTGGTAGGGGGGAAGTCGCTCATTGACGAATCTTTTTCTTTGCAGCTCGGCGCAATGCAGCGGCTCCGTCAAGAACTTCGGAGACTCGCTGACCAGCCGCTTCCTCTCCCGCCATCACTCAAGGACAGGAGCTTTGACGAGGAGGAGGACAGCTTTGAGGAAGCGAGGAGGACGCGAAGGTATGCGAGCAGGGACGGGCCAAGCTTTGCCAAGACGAGGATCTATAGGGAAGACGACCATGACAAGGAACAGGAAAGGAGGACGAGGGAGGGAGAGAGATCGATGCGACCTCTTCTCAAACTCGGGGAGGAGGAGCTTGGTCTTCTGAGGAAGTACAACATTCACATTCCTTCTCTAGCTCGAGACGAGTTGGAGGAGGCGGCAGCCAGGCATGTGAGAAGCGATGGAGCTTTCGCAGGTCTCGTAGATCTTGTTGGGTGCTCTCGGTGACTCGTCAGACAGACAGGAAAGTCAGAGAGATGGGGAGCGAGACAAGGCCCAGCATCGCACACGTTGGGGCCCTGGGGGAGCAGGGACCTGCCTTGTCCATGCGGGAGCTGTCACGTGAGCACGAGAATCACATACCGATGAGCTGGGAGGCGAAGAGAGCGTTTGCTGAAGCCGCGTCGAGGTCCTACTCTTACTCGGTGAGGAGAGAATCGTCCCGTTTCTCTCGCTCCTCCAACGTCCTGGACTCGCACATGTTCGACGACTGGATGGACGAGCAGGTCAACCGGCCTGACGATTCTCACGGGGATGTGGAGGAGACGAGGATGTCGGGGCAGAGGGAGGAGGCGACAGCATGTCTGCCGGATGTAAATGTTCTCATCCAGCAACTGCAAGAACAAGCCATGCATGAAAGACTGCGGGCACAAATTTCCAACGAATCTGCAAACGAGGTAGGCAAGTCTGTTGTGCCGCTGATGATTTACTCCTTGCTCTGTCTGTTTGCCATCTTCACACCTGCACAGATTTTGTCACATGCCGTGAGTGGACGAAGAGACCAAGATCTTGCTGTAAAGACTCAAAACCAAGAAGTGCAGACGGACGAGAGCAACTCTGACAAACAGCAGCGGTCAGACATTGCAGGCGTGCTGAAAGAAACTCTCCACGAACTCAGTCTGGTTGTCAAGCAAGTACATCTCACTGTCTGACTACTGCTTGTCAGGTCCGATCAAGATTGCAGAAGGAGCAGGTGACTAGAGAACAGGAAGTGTTGCAGCATAAAGAACAAGTCTCCGAGCTCAATGGAAGCATCAAGCATCTCTCCCAGCAGGTTTCTCCTCCTCCTCCTCCTCCTCCTCCTCCTTCACCTCCTCCTCCTTCTCCTCCTCCTCCTCCTCCTCCTCCTCCTCCTCCTCCTCCTCCTCCTCCTCCTCCTCCTCCTCCTCCTCCTCCTCCTCCTTGTCTCCCGCTCATCTTTCTGTAAGGTCGAGGAGATGCAAGTTGCGAAGAGAGACGCTCAGACCTACATCGACGTGCTTGAGAGCGACTGTGCCAACCTGAGACGAGAGCTGGTGACGTCGCTGCTGCTCTAGACAATCAGACTGACCGGCAGGACAGGAGACTATGCAGAGCTCGCACAGCAACCTGTCGACAGTCGAGAAGCAGCAGAAAGATCTCATCCTTGAGGTCTCTCTCCGCCTCCTCCCCCGCAACCTCACGAGATGCAGTTGACCGACCAGCTGCACGCCTGCAGGGAGCAGCTGCGAGCTGAGAAGAGCAAGGTGCAGGACCTCAGGGAGGAAATGGAGGAGGCGCGAAACTCGTCAGAAGCCTTCGCTCTCGAACTGAAAGTATCGCGAGAGATGGCGGAGATGAGCAGCAAAGCTCTTCAGTGCCGCCTTGAGCTCTCCTCGGTGACCCTCCTCCCCTCTGTCCTCTCGTCCTCAATCCTCCTCCTACTTATTCCCTTTCCTTCCCGCTTCATCATCGCTCCGCCTCGCATTTGGCCGCCTCCTCTTCATCCTTGTCTTGATGTCCTTTTCCTTGTTCTCTTTCCAGCTGCTCACTGGCGCGTGTCAGTTTGCCATGCAGCTCCGTCAGATGCTCGCTGGCTCTGCTCCTGCCGTCGCCTCTCTCTTATCCTCTCCTGTGCGCTCAGACAAGCTCGCAGCATCAGGGTGATTTGACCTGTTCTGCTCTTCCTCCCCCGCGTCCTCGATGATAGGCAGCTGCAGGTACAAGGACGGGCTGCTAGACTTGGAGCATATGCTCAAGGAAATCAAGTTAGTCCTCCTCCCTGAGCCTCTTGCTCAGCTCGCAGTCCTCTGCTCGCCTTCCCTTCTCCTCTTGCCTTCTCCTCCTCGTTTGCTTTCGTCTCGCTCACTCACACGAGTGGCAGAGCATTGAAGAGCGTGTTGGCGGATTATCTGGCAGAGAAAGTTGGGCAGGATTGTGCGATGCAGTGAGGAGAAGATGGTAAAGAGTTAGCGAGTCTGTATCAGATCGAGCCATGAAATGTTCAAGTTAAGTTTAAACGTCTATGTACAAGATAGAGTGACAAGTTACATGCTTGACTCATTCGTTCCAGTCCGACTCCTCTACCGTCACCTCTGCCTCCTTCATCTCGCCCAGGCTCGGACGGGCTGACGGGTCGGCCCCGGCGAGGGTCTCGGAGAGAATGTCGAGCTTGCGGCTGATAGCGTCGATCTGCTTGGAGGAGCGGAGGCGGGAGGGGTCGGACACAAGGAACTCAGTCAGAGCGTTGAGACGGTCGGAGAGCGCGAGCACGTTGAGCTTGACGCTCTCCAGAGACGTCAGTTGACTCTCAATCCTCTGAAGCTGCTCCAAGTCAGCGAGTAGAGACTGACAAGCGGAAGAGTGAAAGAGGAGGAGAAGGATGTAGCAGGTAACAGCAACTCGTGGATCCGAGGAGGTCGAGGTACCTTGCGGTTGACGATGGAGCTCAGCTCGTTGTCGCCTCCCTCGAGCATGGGAGCAGCTTTGATCACCTGCGCTCTCCTCAGCGCGAAGAAGCAGCAGGGGCAGCACGCACCTCAGCATAGTTCGACCCATTGGAAGGGATGCGATTGAATATCCTCTCTCCTCCTCTCCCCTCCTTCTCAGCCCTCCCGTCTTGCCTGCCCCTTAGTCAGCAACGCCCCACCTCCTCCATCCTCCTCACGCGTCGCTGGACACTCGCGCAATCTCGTCCTCGAGCTCGTTCTCGATTTCCTCGTTCTCTTCCGGCTCCACCTTGCCGAGGGAGCGTCGCAGAAGTTTGATCAAGCCGTCCAGCTGCTCCCTGAACGCGTCCTCGGGCTCCTTGTCCAGCTCTGACTTGACTCTTGCGTGCGTGTGTACCATGATGGCTGTGAACATATTAAGGCACAAGACGAACTGAACGGTCAGGAAAGAGTAGACAAGAAGCGGCGTGAGAGAGTCGTCGATGGCCGCCATCTCCTTGTACACGGAAGAGTCTCCCATCATGATGAACATCATGCTCTGAACCGACGTTGTGAAGCTCCGGAAGTTGACAGACTTGTCTCCGAAGAGGGTGTAACAGCCAAGGGTGTACATGATGAAGACGATGCTGAAGAAGACGAAGAAGGGAACCACTTCCAGCAGAGCTCTTGCGACTACTCGAAACAAGTGATCAGCCCCATCATAGAAGGTCGCGTACTTGAAGAGCCGCGCGAAGAGAAGGATGGACAGGGCAACGACGAGGTTGTTGTCAGACGTCGTCAGCCTCGGGATGCGTTGGAGGTCGATGTAGGTGCTGGAGACGGACGAGGTGTTGAGGTTTGCGTACTGCTGGTCCACCATAGACAAGGAGCTGATGCGGATGGCGGCGATGGCGGCGATGAGGCCGCACTCGATGAGGCGGACCCAACCCCAAAACCTCTTGATGTACTGCTCAACGTCAGACTTGCAGGCTCGCCCCCTACCCGCTGACCTCAAACCCCAGCTCCTTGGCTGCTAGGTACTCGTCAAAGAGAAACTTCAGCTCGATGGCGCAGAAGAGCAGCTGAAAGATCAGTTTGAAGACTCCTGTGACTCCTGTCGTAGTTGGAGTCACAGCTGGAGGGGTTGAGGTCATCGAGTACCCTGGTACATCTTGAGAGGAAGAGCGATGAAGCTCGAAGAGGTCACGAGCCCTCCGAACGGAGGCATCTCTGCCGTTAGCGACATGAAGAGACACTGAGCGATCAAGTCACTGCTGTCCTCGTCTCGTCCATGCTCACCAGCTGGAGGGAGGGGTTGAAGAAGGTGGCGCTGATCCGAACGAGTCTCGAGTTGACGTCAAGCCAGCCATGCACTGCCCTTGTCTTCACCACGAGCCTCCTTCCTCAACAAGCTCACGTTTATGAAACGACAGAATGTCTTGCGCTTTGCTCGCGTTGTATTGAGGGAATTCCATGATGAAGCCGCCGGTTTCATACTCGCCGAACTGTCTCAGCCATCAGAGCTCTCAGCAGGTACAGCACAAGACCTGAGTGCTTATCGTGTCCCCAAAAGGATCCCCAGGACTCCACACGAACGGGAGAGCCTGTTGTCAAGTCAGTAGCTTCACAGCAGGTCTCGACAGCTACTGGCAGCCCGTACGACTGATGGTCCGCGTTCCTCGTGGTGATGCTGGCATCTGCTAGTCACATCGCGCTACTCGAAGCCTGAAAGCCTCGCCCACCTCGGATAGCAGGAGATGGAGCTCTGCGAGAATAGCGAATGATTCAACCATTCGGGCAAGCTCTCGCAGTTCGCAGCCTTTCCTCTGACCTGGCCACACCATCAGCCAAAAGCTCTCGAGGTCCTCCAGGTGGTACACCTGTCGCAGCCGGATCGTTCCTATGAGGTAGTTGTAACCCAGCACGTTTCCCAGCCCGCTGCTGGGAGTGTCTTGATAGTAGATGGAGGGGATGAATTGCCCCTGCAGCCACTCCCACAGTTGGACGATGTCGACGAGATCCTCCCAGCTGGAGACGTTGTAGCATCCTGAGCCGTGCAGGATCTTCGCTCTCATTCTTCGATCACAACAGGTCAGTCAGTCTCGTCATTTGTTTCCGCATCCTGACCTCTCTGACAGGAAATAAGCGTCTTGTCCCGGGCGACCAAGAAACCATCCAAGTGTAAAACATACTAGAAGACAGATAAACAGTAAAACTTCTCGCTGCTTCTCGCTGGGGCGAGCTGTGAATGTCTGATACAACAAACTCTCTCGAAATCTGGCCGATCTTCGAGCATACACGCCATTTCCTGTACAAAGTTTCAAAAACCAACTTGCGACAAGGAGGACAAGAGAGAATGCGTGTGTGTTTGATGTCTGAGAATTATTTCCTGACTCGAAGGAAGAGAGAGACAGAGAGAACGGTGAAGGAGAGAGTACACGCAGGAGATCGGGAACCTGGTCTGACGCGGTCATCCGGCATGGCGGTTAGGCTGGCAAAGCGGTGAAGTGAAGGAGAGGATGAAGAGGAACAGCAGGAGATAAGACAGAAAGAGGAAGAAAACTGGAGGCAGAGACAAGGAAGGAGGGGGAGGAGGAGGAGGGAGGGCGGGACAAGGACGGCGGGAAGGAGGCGAGACGGGGGAAGGGAGGAGGGAGGGAGGAGGGAGGAGGGAGGAGGGAGAAGAGTTTTGGGAAACTGACTTGGAACTGGTCAAGGGGATGTGGGGGTGACAACAAAGAGATAAGGTTCAGCTGAAGGGGGTGGGTGGGGTATCGCAAGAAGGAATGAGACTAGAGAACAGGGGTGGTAAATAATTAGAAAGGCGGTAGGGTACTTGTGAGCGCGGGGTGGTAGTGCCTGTCGCCGATGCTACCAGCCGGTCCTACAGTGAGCGAATGGAGGCACAAGAATGGCGAGAGAGCGAGAGAAGAAGAGAAGAAGAGATGAGAGAAGAAGAGATGAAGAGATGAAGACGACAAGACAAAAACTTTTGGTGTCTCATCCTCCCATCATGCCCCTCTCTGTTTGCCGTCAGCCTTTTGAGTCTTCTGTCACCGTGTCCTCGCGGTGTTGCAAGGATTGAAAGAGATGGAGGCAATGAAAGCTTCTCCCGACAGTCTTTCCCTCATCTCCTTCTACGCTTCTGGTCAGCAAGGTGGGATTCAGGATGAGAAAACAAGAAAAGAGACCGAGATGCGGTCCTGTAGCTCGTTGGTGATCGCTTGTTGTACTACTGCAGCCATGCTGAGCGATTGTTCAGGCTTATCTTTCAATCCAATCAGACGAGGAGAGTCCTGAGGAGGAGCTGAACTGGGAACTAACGATTCCACGGGAAGTCGAACCAGAATCACCCAAGGGCCATAGGAGACACTCCAAACCGAAGCGAAGTGAGGACGAAGCTTGCCTGGTATTCGTGACTGATTCTTGACAGATGGCAACGACGAGGGCAAGGAGGAGGGAGACGTCAAACCCAAGATTCATGTGGAGGAAGCAAGCTTGTGCCATAGCATGACCACATGCCCAGGTCTACCGCAGCAGATCCGAAGCTCATCTTGCTGCCATGGATGACCCAGCCAGGTTATCTCTTCCCCAGCTCGCTGAGGCCAAGCATGCTTCTGCCTTTAAAGACGCGTTCGACGATCAAGTCGCTACAAGAATGGCGGAAGGAAGGAAGCAGAAGGTTGCTACCAGGACCAAGATGTAAGTGCTGCTGCAATGAACATATGCGAGGTGAGATTCTTTCAGACCTGCTCGTACAGGACACAAGTATCATGCCAACTCTTTCATTAACGAGGGCGTCGAAGAGTTTATGTGCGAAAACACTCTGTTCTGAGATCTTTTGAGATAGTTTTCTGATATCAGTCGTTGAGATCAGGAGCATATGTAAAATAAGTTATGGTTCTGCAGGAAGAGATTACAAGAACGTCTTGATGAATAGTATCAGCTCGTCAATCTCGTTCGCTTGCTCACTTACGTTGTAGATCGTTCCTTTCGCAAGGAGGCCATGGAGGGGCACAAACTCAACGAGGACTCGAGGTGATCAGCTGCTCTCACCCCAACATAACGTAACAGATCAGTAACGACCCCTTGCAGAGAAGCAGACCCATACCTGAGAGCCTTCCGGGAACAGGAACTGAGTACCGGCGTCCTTTGCTTGCGAGTGTCTCCTCACTCCTCAGCAGAACTCGAGCAGATTCGGCTGGATGTCAAAGTGAAGCCCAAGGTTAACTTGCCTAAGTGGAGCATGGTGAGCAAAGGTCCTTGTGATGAATCTAAGTTTGCGTCAGGGGCGAGAGAAGAAACAAGAAGGCTTCCTTCAGAACATCTTTTCTCGCAACAAATACTTGAGTCGGTGCTGACTCCAACATCTTGCGATCCAGCAGTGACATGCCTCTCCCCTCCACCAGCATGCGATCTAAGATGCCGATACGAGAAGTCCCTCAAACCGTGTGGGAACGAGCGTCTGGCGTGCCCGGGCTCCTGGCCAAGCCGATCTCTCTCCGCAAGTCAAAGCTCTCAGAAGAATTCTCAGCGCCGTATGATAGGTGGAGTGACAGACGGGTAGGGAGGAAACTGACGTAGGGCCAGCGACTCTGCGACGTCGGAGGAGGAGGAGGAGGACCAGAAGGAGGAGGAGATGTATGCTCTCGAGGTTCTGCTTGCTGCCCTTGCTCCACTCCTGCTCCTCTAATCCCACCTTCAGATCGAAGTCAATCCGATCAACGGCGAGGGGATGCCCCTGCTTGTGGTACACTCCTGTTTGCATCTTGACATGTCCATCTCTCTATGTCTTGACATGTCTATCTCTCTATGTCTTGACATGTGTACTTTTCTGTCTGGGCGTTTTCTAATACATGGTCGTTGCAGAACTCTCGGAGTGACCGGGTGCTGCATCAGCCAGCAGCAGCTCAGGTGGGAGATGGAGGAGGCGAATGTCTTGCTGACAGAACTGACAGAGAAATCAAGGACGCGAGAGACGAGAGATAGTTCCCAAACGACACGCAGCTTAGATATACTGTAAATACTGACCATGTAGTAGATACACCACACCTCACGTTCTCCCTCACGCCTCTATCGACTACCCGCCTGCCGAGCTTGTCCTGTCACTTTGATGCGTTACAATAGCCTCTGACTAGTCGAAAGATTCCTGGCAACAGACCAACTTCTGCCTCCTTTGGTTCCTCTGCCTTTCTTCTTGACTCCTTCTAACTCGCTGCCTTTCTTCTTGACTCCTTCTAACTCTCTTCTCGTGCCTCCTCTCCTTTCCTTCCACGTCTCCTTCTCCTCGTTCTCCTCCCACTCCCTTGCTCTCGTTGCTTCTTCTCCTTCTCTCCCCACTCCCCTAGTCGCTTCCCTCGCACTGCAGCACCTCAGGTTTCTTTTTCTGCTGGACCTAATTCGCACTGGTCAGTTGCGCTACCTGGGGAGAGGTGAAGACCGAGAGGAGGCTGCGAATGTAGGCAAGACATGTTGCTTGCTGCATCTTGCGAAGGAGAAGATGACGACGCCAGGTGGGTATCAGAGCCTCTTGCTCGCTTTCTCCTCGTCTTGCTTGGTCTCTGATAGACAGCAGTTGGGGAAGCGAGTTTGAGGATGGCGACAACAGCGAAGAGGATCATACTGACAAGGAGATCGAGTGAGAAGACTTCATATACTCGACCTGCTTCTCAACCTTACATCAGCTCCATCACCTACTCGGCCATCAAGTGCATGCACCAGGTGGCGTTGACGCCACCCGAGGCCCTCGAGCATGGACCAGAGCACGACGCGTATGTCGAGGCAGCGAGCTCGTGGCGACTTGACAGCATGAGCGTCAGGTCCAACACCGGCATCCCCCACTACATCCATGCTTGCAACGGCATGCGCGTCCGCCTTCAGCCCCTCGTCGTCGCCGCGCTCAACCATCCTGACATGGAGCTGCAGCATGCAGGTGCGAGCCAACGCCAGGCGATGACGTCGCTGAGCTCGTGACAGGCCTGGTGGAGCGAGAGGGTCTGAGCTTGGCGGCTGCCATGAAGCACAATCGAGGTCTCTTGCGCCTTCTTCGCAGCTTGTCTGACGTGCAGTTAGTTGTGCAAGCGATCAATCTCAGCGGAAACAGCCTCAAGTCTGCCGGCGACACTCTTGCGCGAGCGCTGGAACAGAACGATCGAGTGACTCAAGTCAGAATCAAAGCTGCTGACCTCACCCCAGCTGCTGGAACAAGCTTCGGTGCTCTGCTCCGGTCCAATTGCTCCATCACGTTACTTGACCTCTCCAGCAACAAGCTGGGAGACAGAAGCCTGTCTGCGCTCCTCCTCGCTCTCTGCACCAACTCCACGGTGAGAAGTGCTGCTGTTAAGCTGAGCTTGAGCGAGTTGCAGCTTCGACATCTCTTCATCGCTGACAACGGCATGGCCGCTCTCAGCGCTCGAGCATGTCAGAACATGCTGCCTTGCAACACAAGCCTCAGAGTTCTCGACCTTTCATGGAACCACTTACAGCTGTCAGATATCAGGTCCTTCTCTCTCCTCTTCTTCATATCCCCTCTGCTTTTTACTTTCCTCCTTCTTCTCCTGCATGGCTTCTCCCTTGACGAGCGTTCAGGTCTATCAGTGGGGGTCTAGCAGGCAACTCAACCCTGCAGTCGCTCAATCTCTCCTGGAATGGTCTCAGCGGCAGCAACGTGCAGCGACTCAACGAGGACTGCTTCCTCGCCTTCACCCGCGCCCTTGACACCTCCCACTCCCTCACCGAGCTCGACCTCAGCTACTGTCGCATCTCCGAGACACAAGGTGCCCCTCCCTCTTCTCCTGCCCCTGCTCTCTGTGACCTCGAGCTGCTAGCCGTCTTCCTCTGCAGTGCCATCAGCACCAACAAGGGCTTGACCAGCCTGAAGCTCGACGGCAATCCCATCGGTGACTCCATCACGCACGTTCACGCAAAGCTGCGAGCTAGGCAGGAGAGCGTCGCGACGTTCCGCTACTCGGCCAACGGCTGCACGTCGAACAGGAGCAAGTAGAGAAGCAGAGGAGGAGGCGCCGAGTGACGAGCCGGCAGGGCGAGAGGCTTCGACGACCTGAACCCCTCGGGGCACTACCGGCTGGACGTGTCGATCGCTGAGGACCTGCGGGTGCTGCGCATCCTGGTGAGCCGCGTGCTAGCGGATGTGCGGTGACGGCGAGGCAGGAGAAGCAGGCGAAACGAAGCGACGGGGAGGCTTGGAGGAGCGAGAGCTGCAACGGCGAGCGCTTCCAGTACCTCCCGGCCAGCGGGAAGCCTTGGCGTATCCCCTTGTCAGGCGTGGTCGAGCTTGACTTCGTGCTGCTGGATGGAACCAAAGTGAGTCAGCGACTGACCGAGCGACTGCTGGTGACGAGGGGACAGGCGGAGGCGGAGGCGAGCGAGGAAGCGTTCAAGTCTCTGACTGAGATCATGTCCAAGAACTCCGACGAAGAGGCGAAGATCGACATCCTTCAGCGAGCATGCTCGGTCTCTTCACTCTTCTGACCTCCCCAGCTGACTGTGCAGCAGGTCATGACATTCTCAGTTCGACAAGCCATCAACATGCTCTTCATGTGAGCAGCCGTCAAATATTCTCTCGTGACTTCCCGCAGGTTCTCGTTGGAGAGCTGCAGGGAGAAAGCGCTAGTGATGCTGTTCTCGCGCATCATAGACCGGCGCAACCTGTGGCTGTGCAACAAGGCGTTCTCGGAGCGATCGAGGCTGAACCTGCAGCGAAGGCTCGGGGCGAGGCAAGAGGAGGGAGCGAGTGCCAGCACGTGATGCTCGAGCAGGTTCGTGATGATGAGCGACGCTCCTGTCTCCGGTAGGTTCTGGTTGGACTTGTCAAAGAGCAACGACAGGAAAGTTTTACAGCTGATGATGGAGGACGTGGAGGGAGAAGTGACAGATGTCAAGCTGCTGCATCACAATACGACTGTCTACCAAGCCGACAAGATCGACATGTCGAGATTACAAGGAGAGCTGGTCGACAGCTGGAGTGAAGGTGGGGTGGGGTGGGAGGTGTTTGTAGAGGGTTGACAACCCTGGTATCAGCCTTGTCTGCGGGAGTTGTCGAGTTGTGTTATGCGTCATCAGGCAAGAAAGACGCGCAAGAGCAGGACAAGGTCAGGCGGGTGCACAGCAGGTTGCAAGATCACACAGAGAGCAGCAGCTCTAAATTGATGACCACTACGAGAGAAGGAACAGCACAGATGAAGATATGAGCACCACAGAGACGATCAAGATAGCGAGGAGGAAGACAAGGGAACAAGGAGGACGAGGACGAGGACAAGGAGGACAAGAAGGAGCGATGGTTCATTCTAACAACTTGATCTCATTGGGTGCGATGGGAACAGCGGAAACTAAACATCCGCTGCAGCACCATAGATACAGAGAAGAGGATATGGGAGGAGAGGAAGGGGAGGAAGAGGAAAGAGGGGAAGAGGAGGATTCAAGGCTGGATTCACTCCTCACTTCAACTCTCTCCTCCTCTCCGAGCTCCTGCTGCATCATACGCTCGATTCTTTCACAGAACATCTCCTCGAGAGAGTGGTGGAGCAGGGGATTCCTGAACAAGACTCAGAATCAAACATCAGGGGCAGAGCACTAGCACAAGGAGAAGCACGAGCTCGAGCAAGAACTAGAGCGGCGCCACCACCACCATGAGGAGCAGGGACAAGAACAGGGAGGGGAGGGGGGGAGCAGGAGCAGGAGGAGGAGGGAAACACCAGCTCTTGTGGAAGGTCTTGCAGGTGACTTGCAGTATTCCCCTTGGTTGCCTTCGTCGCAAGACCCTCCACAAGGTCGACCACCTGGTAAGAGAGTCGTCGAGCACGAGAGCCGTTGCGTCACTTGAAGTCGGGGCTAATCGAACGTCGACCACGGCAAAGAGTTGTACGATGTCGAATATTCCCTTGAGGATTGTTTGTTGATCATCATTGAAGTCCAAAGAAGGAAAGACAAAGAAGTATCGGCCGTCGAGACTTCTCTTTCCCTGGGCAGAAGTCAAAGTCATCGTCATGGACATTGGCATCGTAATCGTGAGAAGACATCCTATCCTACCTTGACGCCAAGGGAACCAAGAGACTTGTAGACCATCGAGAGGGAGCTCGGGAGGATGTTTTGGTAGCAAAAGCAAAAAAGAGTCTGACGTCTTGTTGTCTCGTGCATCATAAAAACCTCCTTGAAACTCTGACGACGATGATTTGATCCCCAATGCAACAGCTGAGGGGCGCCTTTCGTTACCTTTCACATCCTTCAGTACCCCCTCGGCTTCCTCTGATGCCGCCCATCCTCTCTCCTCCTCCTCCTCCTCCTCCTCCTCCTCCATCTCACCGCTTCTCTTTCAGGTAGGCCCGAATTCTTTCTCTCCAGCTTCTGCTAGAAAGTAAGACCTGATTTCTCCCTCCTCCTCCCTCCTCACTTGTTTTGAGCCTGCATCCCCCGCGTACCACGACCAGGCATTTCTTGGAAGTTTCTGGAAAGGCCAGAGAGGAGGCAAAGTAGAACGAGACGCATCGGTCTCCTCCGCCTCCTCCTGCCGCATATGCGCGAGGATAACTCGGTTCTGCGGGGTAATGCTGTCTGATATCTTGCAGCAACGTACGATGTATCCCATCCGCCGCAGGCAGCGAACCCGCGCCGAGTCGATCGCCGCCCCCATCCCCACACGCTTCGACATCCTCCGCACGAACGGGAGCGCCTCCTCTCCTCGCGGGTGCTGCAGGAACGTCATGGTACTCGAGCTGTCCTGCAGGGAGTGGCAGCATGGCACCAGCACCATCTGCGCCCTCGCAGCTGCCCCGAGCTCCATGATGGTGTCCGTCAGAGCCCCACACGCATGCACTGCAACCAGCAGCGAGTCCCTCCTGGGCCGCAGGTCCGCCAGGTCTCCCTCGACGTGTCGGAACCTCGACCCCAAGTTGGGCCAGCGTTGGAGGAACTTGTCGGTAATGCGACATGCAGCGCTGGACTTGAACTTGTCGACACACAGCACGTTGCGCCTCCCCGAGTCGTCGAGGATGAGCAGGGCCCAAGAGAGGAGCGTGTTGCCTCCTGCCAGGTCGACGACCTGAACAGAGTGAGGGAAGGCAGCATGGATGATACTCGCGCTTTCCCAGCTCTCGTGAACTTCCTTCCTGGGCACAACTCCATCGAGTTCGCACACGAGGCGGGCGAAGAGATCAAAGAGAGAGGAACCAGCGTAGTCCTTCAGGTCGAAGACATCAAGCTTGTGCTTCGAGATCCTTTTCGTGTGGACCTTACCTCCTCCTCCTCCTGTGGGAGTCAATACATCCATGAGCGGATCCCCTCCCTGATCCCATGCAAACTTTGTGCTCAGCTGTCTATTTCGATCCCCTGCCATGATCACTCCCTGAGGCTTCAGACATCTGTTTCCGAAGACGCTGAGTCTGCTGCCTGCCTGTCTTCTCCAACACCATGATCCCCCCGCCCCTTGCCAAGCCTCCGCTCCCCCCAAGATCAGCAGTCCTACTGCCACTCCTCTCATGCCCAACCCTCTTCTTAGGTTGTAGCGCTGCGATCACCTCCTCTCTCTCATCCCCTCGCACATCCTGCTGCTCAAGCTAGTATCATCGTCCTCATCCCTTGCTTTTATCGAGTTCGCCTCGTTCACCTTCCTGTTGCACGTGCAGCCACCGAGCCCCACTGCTAGCCTAGCCAAGTCAAGTAACTTTGAACCACTTCCTCACGGCACTACCCGGGCTCGCACGCGTCCTTTACTCAAAGTTAAGTTAAAAATCAGTACGAGGACAATCAGGAGAGTCGAGGAGGGCAGGCTTGACCCTGACACTGAGAGCCGCACTGGCCAAACGGCGAGACTCAGAGAAAAGACAGCGAGAACGGCAAACCCGGGCTCAGTCACTGGGCGAGGCGGTGGCCGGCGGGCTCGGCCTGGCGCGGCGCGGCGGTCGCGCCGCGTGACTCAGTCGAGGCCGGCCTCCGGTGCGTCCGAAATCGGATGGTCGGCGGCGACGGTCAGACGGCGAGGCTCGAGCGGCTCAGGGGAGCGACCCGGCTGCTGCCGGGCCTGTCGGAACTTCGGAAAGGCCGGACCGTCAATCGGCGGGGAGCGCGCGGCGCGGCAGCCTCAATCCGTTAGCCTCCGAGTCCCGGAGTCCGGGCCGGGCCGGGCCGTGCGAACCGTGCAAGTAGGATTTCACAATTATTTACTAATTTTCTACATCTTCCACATTTTTATCCTTAATATTTCAAATTGATAAGCTTGTTTCCATTCAGATTTAAGAAGGTCCTTACACAGCCCCACCCCCACCCCCTCCGCCCGAGACCTTTCGATACCTTCGTAAAAGTTACCTCCAGCACCATTCCATGAATCATTAATACCCCCTCTTTTCCCAGAAAACAAACCGGTGATCGATCTATTCCTGATTACCCTACCCCCCTCTTTACCCGATGCTCATGAATCAGGAACACCGGTAATTATTACTCCCACCCCATGTAGTATTGAACCCACTAGAAATGAGCTTTTGCACCGGTACTTGTATCAAACGTTGTGAGTTCTCCTACGTGTTTTCTGTTGCAGGGTACAAAGTGAGTACCCCCACCCTACCCACTCACCCTCTCCGTCGTCTACCCCCACCTCTTTGACCACTTGCCTCACCTGATAACCATATATGTACCCCTACCGCCCATTTTCCTTTCCCCTACCCCCACTCCATACTGGGACCTGGACCCTCCTCCTGAGACCACCTCCTCGTGCTGAGGTCATTGGACTACCACCTTCCTTATTTGTAACGAATTTTAAAACAGTTGTAAACGAACTCTAGTGATTTCTTTCACAATTTAACCCGAATCTGAACTATTTTAGGTGATTTATAGCTTGTTTGCAGAATCTTGACTACTATGGAGTTATTTTAATATAGTTTTATGGACCACCGCCTCCATTTTGTACCCCACCCTGATTCGAAATTGGATATGTGTACCCCACCCTACGCTTTGCGTCATGCCGTTACAATCGTTACTTTGTCGGCATCGCAATGGTACAATGTCGCTACATCCCAATTCTGTCCTCGGTCGCCTTACACATGCTCGTCTTGGATCTCGATCTCTTCCTCTGAGCCTACCTTTTCCTTTTCCTCTCACTCCTCTCACACCGTTTCTGCTCACAGTTGTGTTTTCTTTACGCGTGCTCTTTGTTCTGTGTACAGTACCCTGTCGAATGTGCACGTTCGGAATTCGATCTTTACCGATCTCAGTTTCACAGATCACAGAGAACTTGCAGAGACCTCCTCTCAAATGTTCCTAATAGCAAGCTGTTGATTTCGACCTCCCTGATTCCACCCTCATCACCTGTATTGATGCTTGTCGATTCTGTGTGGAACTGTTCAAGAGTCGTCAAAGATCATCCTTTTCTCTGTCCTTCCATCCTTCTCCCGCGTATAAACTTTTGAGACAGTGTTTTTCCTCCTGTTCTTGTAAGGCTACGAGAATGAGACCCAGTATCCTGCTCCAATACGCCGTTAGTCACTAGTTATCTTCAGTCTAACCTAGCACTCTGTTAGTCACTAGTTAACTTACAAGACGATTGCCCTTCGTCATGCATTCTCGCGTCGATTCTATTCTTCCACACTGATTTTTTCGTCTTTCAGGATGTATTGTTCCACCATGATCAGAGAGGTTGGGTGATCTGAACGCTTGTTCAAGGGTCAGCCAGCATGGGCTTCCAGGTTGGTTTCGATGAAGTCGGGAACTTTCCTTGTCTTTGGTGCTCCTGAGATCCTTGATGATCTTTTGGGGTACCGAGGAGGAAGAACGTAGGAGAGATGCAGGCGCATCTGGTGACTGGGGACACCGGGAGATGCTCTACTTCCAGTCTGCGATCAAAGTTTGAAGCGGAAGAGCTGCTAGTTTGAAGTGATAGTTGCTGTTGCTCTTCGTTACTGCATCTCTTGCTTTGCTCGTCGAAGTCGGAGTAACTTCAATCATACAATCACAAGTCTTAAAGAGAGGAGGAGTGATGCCTCAGCATGGCAAGTCTGAGGGCAGAGCAGTCCAGGTGGCAAGAGCCTTCTTTCAAGCGTGTACCAAACTCTCAGACGACAACGAGGATATCTTGCCTCAGGTTCGTTGACCCAGGAGCTGATCTATCAACTTTAGGCTCCTCGAGCTCTCCTGAGCTTGGAAAATTCCTCACTCCTTCTCTTCAGGAGGATGCAGTGGACTACAAGCTCTCAGTCTTTCATCTCTTCGCTGAACTTTTCCCGGAGTTCGCCAACACGGGTGAGCATTGAGAAGCTACCGGGCTGTTGTTGTGATAGTCAGAGCAGGCAAGAACGGCCTCATGCGCCTCCAGTTCAACAAGCTCGGGTACGAGATGTACGAGAAGGAGCAGAGCAGGCGCGTGCCTGCCGTCCGAGCCAAGCCCGGCAACCCAGGCTACGGCTTCCGACGAGCGCGTTGGCGGGACACAGCCAACGTTGCACAGGACGCGAGGATCTGCGAGGGAATCATGAGCAGCATCGGCGTGAGCAAGGAGCGCATCGAGAGGATCAAGAAGCGAGTCAACGACTTCCGCGTTGAGTGGGATGCCGTCCGGCGACCCTCCCGACCGGCTGGGCCCGGGAGGCCTCGGGCCATGAAGCGATCCTACGACGACCTAGAGGCGACGCCGATGGAGGCCGTGGGGGTCAGCGACGACTTTGTACCTACCCGAGCTTGCCTTCAGCTTGGCCCGCCCCAAGCGAGCCCTTCCCAGCTGCCTCCCCAGCTGGCCTCGCACGGCATGTTGGAGTACGCGGGGCCTCCATGGGGGCACATGGGGATGATGCATAGCCCTGGTGGTCTGCTGGGCAAGTTCGGGTACACGATGGAGGAGGAGAGGTGGGGGATGCGGCACTTCATGCATGAGCCCGCGGGGGGGATGCTGCCGGAGCATCACGCGCATGGCAGCATGCACGGGGCGATGCCCTTCCAGGGCTCCGTCGACCCCTTCGCGTTCCCTCACCTCGCCTGCGGACCGTCTGGACTAGAGCCGAGCATGAGCCGAGGTAGTCAGTATCCCCTGGCAGCTCCTATGGGAGTTTACGAGATGTTCGCCGCTGGTGGAGACAAGAGCTTCATGCCCTCCTCAGGTTCTTTCCTTCTCCTCTTGTTTTCGTATCCTCCTCTCCCTCCCTCCCCCCTTCCCTTCCTCTCTGTCTCTGTCTCTTCCTCTCTGTCGCTCGCTCGCTTCTTCTCGTCGTATCTGCTCGACAACGCGAGTGACTGTGAGCAGGAGCTCATTACAACCTCAACTTCGAGGATGAGTTGAGGGACCTGATGCAGGACAACGAGAACCTGCGAGCCTACAACGTCTCGCTCATCACTGAGGTACTGGTGGACGACCCTTTCCCGCTCCTCCCATCCCCCTGTGCTCGTTCCCCTGTTCCTCATCCCTTCCAATCTCCTCCTCCTTCTCCATTCGCCTCTCCACTCTTCGTGCCACTCTTGAAAATTCTTGTCAGCGCGAGCGGCTCAACTTTGAGATCGCACAGAGCGAGTCTGCTGGTGCTCGGCTGCAGGTGGGAACTTGTCACTGTCCTCCTGCTCAACTCAGAGCTCTACAGTCAGCTGGGGAGAAGCTGCTCCTCGTTGCCGCCCGGCGCCTCCCGCATGTGATGGAGGTGGGCAAGGCGTTTCGGATTGTCCTGCATTGCGTCGCAGGTGCGAACCGTGAAGTCGCTGCAAGCTCTGACAGTGGAGCAGGGAAAGTGGAGAACGATCCCAACAACGAGGCGCAGAGAAACGCATTCAAGGTCTGCTCCTCCTCTCCCCTCTCTCCTCTCCCCTCCCCCCTGCTTCCTCCTCCCTGCAATGTCTACCATCCACTATCCCTTCACGCAGCTTCTTTGGCATCAGCCAGCAGTCTCTGACCGTGGCATTTGGCAGTTCGTGCGGACGGTGTACGAGGAGTACAGTCGCTTCCATGGCATGCCGCTGCATGCGGACCTGTTGATGTCCCACTCGTCGCGTCCTCCCCTCCCCGAGTGGACTGAGCGAGAGCCCCAGCCCTCCTTCTCCCACTCGTGGCGCGGCCCGATGGATCCTTACGGGGGCGATGCGGTTGGGAAGCAGATTGGGTGGAGGGAGGGGAGGAGGGACGAGATGGCCGCTGCCGTCAGCTCGCACACGGACATGAAGCAAGACGAGCGACTGAGAAACGTGGAGGAGATGAGGAGACGACGAGCAGCGGGTGAAGCAAACTTTGACATGATGGGAGGGCGCAATACGGGGCAGGGAGGAGGAGGAGGAGAAGGGGGGGCAGGACGGGGGCAGGACGGAGCAGGACGAGGAGGAGGAGGGGTCGGGTACATGTACAGAAGCTATCTTCGATGAGGAGACAAGCATGTGATATTGATGGTATTGATTGATTGAACATAAAGAATCTTTATTCAAGCAATCCTCTCTCCCTCCCCTCCCCCCCCCCCCCCCCCCCGCTCCTCCTCTTTCCCAAACATTCTACAAGTATGTACACGTCAGCTCACGCCAGAGCGGCAGGGCAGGAGTAGCGCGAGACTTTGCAGTCACTTCCGCCGCTATAGATGAAGCCGTCACTGCCCCAGCTCACGCAGAGCGCCTTCCCGTCATGAGCGGCGATGGTGTGAAGAGGGACAGAAGAGCGAAAGTCCCAGAGCTTGATGGTGTGATCATGAGAGCAGGAGACAAGATGATGCTCCGAGCTCGGACTCCAGCTGACTGCAAACAGAACATTTCAGGTGAACAGGCACACAGCAGTTCGGAGGAGGAGGAGGAGGAAGAAGAGGAGGAGGAGGAGGATTAGATTTATCTGGCTTTGGTGATCGCTGGGCCATAGAGGCCTCAACAATTGTTTTAGCCAGACAAGGTTGTTCAGACCTCCTCTCAGAGAGAGCTTCATCTTGGGGCCTGGAACGATGAGTGCGCGTATGGCAAGACGCGACTCAAAGCTGATGACCCCCAAAACATGGCGGGATGAGAGGAGGGAGGAGGGAGGGAGAGGAGGAAGGGAGAGGAGGGTTTGCAGGTAGAAAGCTAACCTGCGTTCACCCATCCCTTGTGCGACGCCAGCGACTTCCTCACCAGAGCCCCAGCTCGAGGGTCCCAGACGCGGACGGCGCGATCGGCGTGGGCGGAGGCAAAGAGGCCGGAGAGGGAGATGGCGACGCCATTGACGGCTGAGTTGGAGGTCAAGTTGGTCAGGCACTGCTGCTTCTCAGCATCCCATGACTTGACCGTGTGGTCCCATCCTCCCGACACGATCTCCTGTCTCCCTCCCACCTCCACCCCTGTCACTGCCTGCGTGTGCCCCACCAACGTGCTCAGACACCCCCGGTCCTTCATGTTCACCGCCTGCTTCCCCTCCTCTCCCTTGCTTCTCTTCCCGGTCTGGCTGATCGCCTCCCCTGAGTTCCCCGCCAGCTCCTCCAGCTCCTTCTCCGTCGGCATCGGCCAGATCTTGATCGTCTTGTCCCAGGACGCGCTGCACAGCAACGAGTCTCTGCAGGCGACCGCCTGGACGGCCCCCTCGTGCCCTCTGAAGCGGAAGCAAGGCTGCATGCTCTGCCCCCCGCCCGTGCCCTTGGGGACGGCGAAGGCTAGCAGGGAGTAATCTTTGCTGCCGGTGATGGCGAATCGAGTGCTCCCCTCCCCTTGTTCCTCCACCCACGTGCAGCATGTCGCGCTGTCCTCGTGCCCAAGGAGCGTGACCGCTGCATGCCCGTCAGCGCCTTCCTCCCATATCCGTCCTGTCTTGTCGTAGGAGGCGGTAAGAACGCTGGAGGAGGAAGAGATGGCGATGCCGGCTACCCAATCCTCGTGCGGCTTATCTTCCGTGTGCTCTGGTTTCTTTGGGACCAGGAAGTACTCCACAATGACGACCTCTTCAAGGGAGAGCCCCTTGCTGCGCAGGTGCTCCTCTAACGATGAGCGGAGCAGCTCGCCATCGATGAGGAAGTCAAAGGCACGCGGCTCGTCGTGCTCCAGGAGATGGTTCACAACCTCCGACAGGCCGAGGCGAGTAAGACGCGCAGGAACAGCCAGGGGCAGGTCGGACACCACAAGAGGAGGCGGGAGCTGCGTCGTGAGCGAGATCTGGACATGCTGCTCATCGGCCTCCATGCCGACCGTCATGCCAGCAACGAGGAAGAAGGGGGAGGGCCCGACGGCGCCTCGAAGATCAGACTGGCGGTGAGGATAATAGACAGATGGAGGTAGAGAACAAGGAAGAGAAGGAGGAGAGCGAGAGAGGAAGGGAGAGTATGATCGAGAGAGAGGAAGGGCGAGAAGTAGCGGAGGTAGGGAGGGAGGGAGGAAGAGGAGGGTAGGTAGGGAGGCAAGGAAAGTAGGGAGGGAGGGAGGGTGGGAGATACAGGAGGAAGAGGGTGGGAGGGGGAGGAGGAAACGAGGACAGAGGGAGGGGAGGGAGGGGAGCTGGTGAAGAAGAGAATCCCTGTCCAGGGTATATCAAAGACTAGGTAGGGTAATCAAAGTACCCACCCCTTTTCATAGATCAGAGCAAACAAGTTCACCGGTGGATGAGGTGTTAGGTAGGGGTCTTCTTCACGTGCCCTCACTGCACGTGCGAAATATGGCTAACCTGCTGCCGCGAGGGTTACTGAAGTCAGTCCGACTGACTCCGAAGCCCGCCGGGCCCCGGTGGGGCGGGCATGCATAATGCGTCTGAGGGGGGTGACATGGCAGATGGGTACTGGATGCGGCTGGAGAATGGCGCCAGGGTGGGGCCACTGAGACGAGAGGAAGTGGAGCGACGAGTCGGAAAGTGGAGCAGAGCATGGAGAACGGCAGGAGGAGCTGTCTACCATGTTGCGGTGAAGACGTCTTGGGATGCTACCCGCTTGCTGAAGCCGCGTATCGCCGGGGCGAGCGGAGAAGCTGTGATGCTGGGGCTCGGGCTGGCAGCCTTGCTGTGGATATGTTGGAGCATAGTAAGTATTCCAGTGTTGAGGATGGAGATAGAACGTGAGTGGAAAGAGGAGAAGACGAGCTCAATCTTGTTGCTCGTTATGTTCATTGCCAGCTGCTTGTTCGGTGGTTGGCTGCTATGGCAGAGGATGAAATTTGTGGCCAAGGAAACAAGGTTGAAGTTTTTGAGTGAGGTGTAGGAGACTACAGCATACCTGTACCTAGACGTATCAGCTGACAGCAATCTGTTTTGTTTGCTGTAATTCTTTTATTTTTTTAACCCAAGTGTTCTTTTTCTTGTAATTCATTTATTTTAACGGAGATATCCAGTATGCGAGGTAATTGTTACATTGCACGATTAATTCTAGTGTTTCACGACAAGGGGGAATATGGACAAATAAATATGTAAAGATGCATGTGTAGATGTACCAGCAAGGTGTTATTTCGAACTGTGGACTTCAACGCTTCATCCAAGAAGTTTTGAAACCTCTGTCCGAACCGAAAAATCAGACAAGAACACAACTCATCTTTTCTCCCTTACCAATCCTCTCAGAGTTTCTGTCTGAAGATGCAATAGCGACATTCCTGCTGCTGCTGCTGCTTCCCTCATTCGCACGATCATCGCCTGCACTGGCTTTGCCCGAGGTTTCGCGGTGGCGTTGAGTGTTGGCGACAGTCTGCTTGAAGTTGCTCTTTCCCTGTGATCTTTCAGATTTCACGACTCTGATACATCGCGTCAATACGAGCAGGAAGCAACGCATCACATGCTACCTTCGCTGCCCTCCCTGTTTGGTATCCGATTGCGACAGTTCCAAGGCTGCGATGCACAACGTATTCAACTTGCTGTCCTGGTCACTTTGAGCTTCTTGAGGATCGGAATCCTTTGAGTCTGATTCTTCCCCGGCAGCTCCTCCTCGAAGCCTTGCGTACTCGCTTGCTTCACTCAATGTCTCCAAAGGAACACTTGGACCTTCCGAAGATATTGTCAATGCACCCATGTTTGAGAAACCTCCTTCCGATAGTGATTTTCCTGCCGCATTTTTTCGCTCTTTTAGGTCCCTTTCAAACAAATCATTGTCAACAGCAGCTAACGAAAAAAAGAGAGCATGAGTCACCTGTAAGGCCATTTGTGGATACCAAGCTTCCTGCAAACTTTCTTGATTGCAGTAATGCATATCCCCATTTTTTTGGAAGCCACGTGTAGAGGAAGATCGAAGCACTGCTTTAATTTCTCCTCCGTCACGACGACCGGGGCCCTTTCTCCCACTCGAGGATTTCTTCCATTGCGTCTTCTGGGGAAAACTGTGTAGTCGTCATGTGAGCTTTTCTCATCCTTCGATTGATCTCCGCCTTCTTTCAAAACATCAAAGTTAGATGTAGCAGACGATGTAAAACAAGCATTATCCACGACCTTCAATCTTCAAAGTTCTTGAACCATTTTTTGACGGAGAACTCCCAGCTGCACTTGATAAACTAGGCATATGGCTTTGTTTTGTGTGAGAGTTTTGCCCCTGCATCGGATTCATGACCCATTCAAGTAAAGAGTAGCGTTCAAACCTCAATTGGTTGCAAGGTGGATTGAGATTGTGAATCTGAAGCGCTATTGTTCGACACAAGTAGTCTCAAAGATGAAAGAAGATCGGCTCCATCGCTCCGTGAGGTTTTGGATGACTAAAACAACGGCATTACAATAATTGAAGACAGCACGAAACAAGAATGAGTAGATATTCCAAAGAAAGCAAGACAAGGATGATTAAGGCAAAAGAAACAGTGGTCTCACCAAAAATTCTTTCGACGACACACTTGCAAAATTGTCGTGCGATGCGACATTACGCGAATCGCCATTAGACAGTAGTTTCGAACTGCTGCCCTCGAACTTTCGATTTTCCGGACTGGTCAAACTGCCTATGGTCATGGTCTTTGCTCCTTGAAGATCCGACTACAGTCAAAAAATCAATTCCGTTGCAAACAAAACTTTGATGAATCACCTTGCAAAGGTTACTGGAACCTGCTTCTGGAATCGGATTGTTTACAAATTTTCCAGAGGAATCCCAAGCCAATCCCTTTTGAGAGAATAAGAAACAGAAACACAACCTTTGTACCACTCGACCTGATTTCGGCAAAGAGAAAGGCTTGGCTTCATTTCCTTATAAGGCCTGACGCAAAAGGTCACCGCTGGAAAGGGGTTCTCTCTTTTCTGAGCATTCACCATTTGTGGATGCCTAGTTTGCGGCAAACTGTAACAGGGATCAAATCATGCACAAATTCATATAGGAAAGACACCTTTTTTCAGAGCCGTCGCACAAATTCCCAATTTGTTCGCTGCTGCGACAAGTGGCATCTCGAAACAAGTCTCGAGCAACTGCTAGCATGTCATGGGAACACAGTTGCTCAAATAAAATGTACCTCTGCGGTGATAACCACTGGTGCACTGTCGTTGTTTTTCTTTTGTTGTCCCCCTTTTCGCCTTGGGAATATCTTGAAATCACTATCTTTTCCTGAATTGCTTGCATTTTGCAGCTTCATCGCCAGGGTTTCATGAGTTTCTGTTTCAGCCTTGCTTCCTGCAGCCTCCGTTTTTAGTTTCCCATCCTTCCCGTTGGGGCTGCTTTCATCAGCAGATCTCCACGACATATTGCTTATATCTGAACTTTCACGACCTATATCAGATACTCCAGGTGTAGCCATTCAGAGATAAAAGCATGCATGTTGATTTCCAGAAATTCTTTGTAAAAATGATTGCGGTCCTGTATAGATTTGGAGATTGCATCTGGTTTCTGAATTATTTGCTAAAATAAGATCGTTTAATTCCAACCGGCTTGACTCCCTGCATTGCTGTAGATCTCATATCGATTACCAACGGAGCAATATCATATACCTTTCGTACTGACCCTTATTCCTCAATCAATGGGCCGTCGTCAGCCAAACTAACCACCCGTGCATGACTTTAGCAAAAATCAAGCAGTCAATATACTGAAGTTAGATAATGCAATAAGGTTTTTGCCATCAAATGCTCTCATGTATGCAGGGCATCACCAACATGACAAACAATAGCTGCCCTCATGCAACACTGATAAGTACAAGCTGCCTGGATAGGCGTGTTGAGCCCTCCATACACAAAAATGGGGGGAGCAATCTATCAACAGCATGATGAGCTGATGTTGTTACGCACTATCAACTCAATAAAAGCCCGGCGTCTCAAAGATCGTCTTTTGCATTCTACCACTACGACCCTCAAGGTATCAAACAGCCCTTCAAACAAGAGGCGTAACTTCGGCATGGCTGCGGGGCCGGACATGAGCAATCATGATAAGAGCAGCAAGTCAGAGGTAGGCATAGAATAACAAGCAGGAAGGGAGGAACAAGCTTCAAATGTGCTTGTTACTGCTGCCATGGCGGCAGTAGCGTTACACCTTCCTGCCATAATAGCGATCCGCCCGCCTGCAGCCCCCGAAATAAAAAAAACAAAGAAAGAAACTTTAGTACCCACCCATTCCACCAACATTTTCAGGGTGATAGATGATCTGAGGGTGATCTTGGGGCCCGGGGATTCAATATCAGAGGGGGTTGTAGGAAACCAAATATTTTCGAGATTTATCCAGATTCACTAAATGTGTTCTTACAAATTTAGCATATACAAAATATAATACAAGTATTTTTGAAATTATGAAAACATCACCCAATACTTGTACCCTTTGTGCAATTTCCTTCTCGGGGTTTCACCCAGATAACGATGAGGCGGGTGATGGATTTTGTTGTAGTAGGTAGTAGTAGTTGTTGAAGGTGGGGTGAGAGTTTGTCGAAAGTGACGGGTATGGTACACTACACATAGGGGTGGGGTGATAGTCCACATAGGGGTGTGGTTCGAAATGTACGTGCCACAGGGGTGGGGGTGCACAAGATTCAGAGATTACCGGTGGTTGAAGCACATGGGGAGGGGTACTAGGAGAAGCCCGGGACTTTACTCGACATGGCGGACTTGGGAGGCATGGGTACGGTACTGAAACAATATAAACCCCTTTGAAACGGGTGGTCAGCTCTATTTTGTCTAGGTGAGAGAAGGGGTCAGTCACAGTCGATGGTTGTAATTGACGGGGTAGGGGTACCCGAATCTAAAGGGGGTAGGGGTGGCGGAGTTTGTCACCGGGCCCGGCGGGGTCGGAGGGTAGCACAAGGTGGAAAGAGGGCCCGGTGTTGTCCAGAAGGGGCGTAAGGCTTAACAAGGGGGTCCTTACAGGGAAAAGGACCCGTTCTTAGAGGCAAGCTGAAGTTTGTATAGCTGGTGGCACGGTGCCGAGTCGGGTTGCTCGGCCCGGTCTATCGGAGGTTTAATCCAGGGCCGGCGCCCACTCACTGATGATTTCACCCCCTATGTCTATGACCCCAAGTTACGCATGTGAAGAGTACCGGTGGTCGCAGCAGTCCAAGGAGCTGACATGCGCGGCTCAGGTCTGACGATGACGGAGTAGAGACGAGAGAGGGGAGGGGAGAGGAGAGGAGAAGTATGAGAATGATGACGATGAAGCATGCTGAGGGCAGCAGAGCTGTGAAGTAAGTCGGTTGAAACACTGCTGGAGGGTACGTGAGGAACCGGCAGGTCAGCTAAAAGCGGGTTGAGAGGAGGGAGAGGGTGAAGATGGAACCGCACATTACGTTGGGGCCAGGATCGGCGAAGAGAAGCTTTCCTTTCCAAGGCGATGAAACGCTTGAATTCATCCCTCTTGGTGCAGGGAACGAAGTTGGGAGGTCGTGTTGCTTGCTGAAATTCAAGGGGAAAACCATCATGTTCGATTGCGGGGCGCATCCAGGCTATCGAGGAGAAGAATCACTTCCATTCTTCGACGAAGTTGATGCTGAATCCATCGATCTTCTCCTTGTCACTCATTTTCACGTTGACCATGCCGCATCCGTGCCATATTTCCTGACCAAAACAACATTCAAGGGCAAGGTATACATGACCTACCCCACTCTTGCAATCTGCAAGTTGGTATGGTCAGACTTCATCAAAGTTTCTGGAATATCAGAGCAGTATGGAGGAAGTTTGTACACAGAGAAAGATATTCAAGAGACTGTAAACAAGATCATCTGCATTGACTACCATCAGGAGGTGGAGGTGGAGGGCGTCAAGTTCTGGTGCTACAATGCTGGGCATGTGCTTGGCGCTTGCATGTTCATTGTCCAGATAGCAGGAGTACGTCTGCTCTACACAGGAGACTACTCTCGTCAGGAGGATAGGCACTTGATGGCTGCTGAGATGCCTTCAGTCCAGGTGCACGTGCTTGTGGTGGAGTCGACCTATGGTGTTCAGACCCACGAACCTCGGCGATCAAGAGAGAAACGATTTCTTGAGGCGGTTGTCAGCACGCTGCAGCTGGGAGGGAGAGTCCTGCTTCCCGTCTTTGCGATAGGAAGGGCGCAGGAACTTCTGCTGCTCCTCGACGAGTATTGGAGGAAAAATCCAGAACTGCACAGATATCCCATCATATGCCTGTCGGGGATGGCCAAAAGATGTATTGCTTCTTATCAGACTTACATCAATCAGATGAACAATCGCATCCGTCATCTCAACGATATCGAGAATCCCTTCGAGTTTCGTCACATCCGCTACATGACGACGATGGCGGAGTTCCAAGACAACTGTCCATGCGTTGTTATGGCCTCTCCTGGAATGCTTCAGAACGGGCCATCCCGAGATCTCTTTGACAGGTAATGATCCTTGTACTTGGCCTAGATGCCGTTGACACTTGAGCTGCAGATGGTGTGAATACCGTCACAACTCAGTTGTCATCACAGGGTATTGTGTACAGAACACCCTGGCCAAGGAACTGCTTGACGCTCAACCCGCTACACACACACTGCAGGATGGTAAGGAGGTGCCCCTGAAGATCAGGGTTCACTACATCTCCTTCTCAGCCCATGCGGATTTCATCCAGACTTCTCAATTCATCGACGAGCTCCGACCCTCCCACATCGTCCTGGTGCACGGGGAGGCGAACATGATGGCGTCTTTGAAGAAGCAGCTGGTGTCCAAGTATGAGCACATGGGTGTAGGAGTCTGGTCTCCTCAGAACACCGAGAATGTCACCTTGACCTTCCACGAGAGCAAAGTCGCCAAGGTTGTGGGATCTTTGGCTGTCGAGAGACCCAAGACAGGAGGAAGCCTGCACGGTGTAGTGCTTCACAAGAATTTCCAGCTGACCATAGTCGGAGTGGACGAGATGGGAGCCCACGCTGGGTTAGAGGTCTCCCACCTGATCCAGAGGCAGAGCATCCCCTTCCACCAGCCATGGGACGTGCTCCGGTTCCACCTGTCGAAGCTCTTCGACTCGATAGTAGAGGTGAGCTGCTGTGCCCTGTGTGCTCGACCTGACTCTCCCTTCCTTCAGATCAAGACGGACAAGGAGATGATGCATGTTGACAACTTCTCGGCGGATGGCTCAGTGAAGGGCCAAGAGGCAGCCGGGGGCACTGGGAAGGAAGGCAAGGAGAAGAAAAAAATCCTTCACTTCAAGGAGAAAGAGTTCCCCATCAGAATCCTCGATGCTGTGACAGTCCGGAAGGTGCTCCTCTTACTTCTTGCTCCCGTTCCTCCTCATCTATGAACCGCAGACGGCCATCAACATGATCCAACTCGAGTGGGCGTCCAACCCCGTCAACGACCTCGTGGCCGACTCTGTCCTCAGCGTCGTCCTTCAGGTCAGACATTCTTGTTGGGAGTGCTCGACGCTGCTGACGAACCCGTACAGACTCTGAGCAACCCAACGACCAACAAGGCCATGATCAAGGAAGAGAATTGCGAGAACGAGATGGTCGCCATCGTCAAGACCATGCTGGAGGAGCGCTACGGAGCTGTGCAGGTGGTGGATCAGAAGTCGAAACTGAGTGATAGCTCGATGCTGGGGATGGAAGTCGATGGCTGGGAGGTCACTGTCGATGTTGTCAACCAGGTGGTCAGCTGTGAGAGCGCCGACGTCCAGAAGTAAGTCCTGAGCCTCTCCACCCCATGTTCCGTTGCTCCACCTTCTTGCTCTCCTTTCTTCTGCCTTCCCTCCCTCCATTGGTCCTGCCGTTTCCCAAGGAGCCTTCCACCCATCTCCTCCCACACACCCTCTGCTCTCCATTCCTCTCCCAACTCTCTGAGCGCCACAATCTCCTTCCCTGCTGTGCCACCTACTACACACTGTACTACACATCATCTGCATGCTTACTCCAATGGTGCATCCTCCCTCCCATCATCATTCGCTGGGCAGTCCTATAGGCTGTGCTAAGATGACTTTCAGGCGAGTGGAAGGAGTTTTCAAGAGGATCCTTTCTTGCCTGCACCCCACTGCAACCTGCTCCTGCCCAACAGCCTGAAATCCTTTTAGTTCAAAATCTGTTTGGAGGAATGTTTATGACTCGAATGCGGCACTGTGTCAAAGTCATCCGTGACCGGTGTCTCTGAAAGTTACTCAGCAGGCTTGATCAAGCTTGTTCACTGAAACTGAGCGACGTCGGGCGGGCGGGCCGGCAGCCGCCGCCGCTTCCAGTGGACCTTGCCGGCCCCCGGCCCGGCCGCCGAGGCAGACTCGTGAAAAAGAAGCTCGGAGGGCAGTAAATCGGCCATAAGCTCTTGGCTCGCTAGCATGTCGACATGTCAGGGCAGCAGAAAGGACTTCTTTACTCGACCCGCCTCAGCTTTACCACCTGAAAGGGTCAGGGACGCAGGATAGTAACGTGATCAAGTCACATGGCATCTTGAGATGGCCCTTTATAATATTTTACATTTAAAAGATTTGTTTTTTGTTCTGTTCCAGCACTTCTCGAATCTTCGCTGCGATGAGGTTTGTTTTTGGGTGTAACAGAAAATCTGACTACCCCTTCCTTTCATATGTTCTCGTTGAAAGGGGTGGTATCACTGCCCACGTTCATGCTCTCCACCTTCGTCACGTTATATCTACAGCTCTACCCCCAGATTTGACTATCAGTACCCCCACCCCCCCGGTCTTCCGACCCTCCGTGGAAGGACTCACTCCCGTGATCGGATTATGAAAAAAAAATCTCAGCGATTCGTTGCAAAATTAGAACTCTTCGAACTTAAGTCATAAATTCTATACACCCCACCCCCCTCATTCCCCCTTATGTACCCCCTTTTTTCAAGCCTTTTGGACCTTGTCCTCGGTTCGTCCCATGGCATCCGGGGAGTCTGGATTCTTGCTTGCCTCCCTGCCGTCTGCTCCCTTCGCTTGTGCTCTCTCGCCGCGCCATTCTCCTCCTCCTCCTCCTCATCATCATCATCATCCGCCTCCGCCTCCGCCTCCGCCTCCGCCTCCGCCTCCGTCATCTCTATCTGTCTCGTTACCTGCCTCGTCAGCTTTTTCCCGGTCGATCTACTCCATTCCTCGTGCCGCCTGCCCCCGCCTCTTACTTTTTTATGGCTCCTACTTTTGCCTCCTTGTCGCTCTAGCCCATTTGCAAACTGTTGAACACTTACGCCTCAACGCTCTCATTTTTTGGCTGCTCCTCAACCTGTCATTCTGCTGCCTTGTGTACGAGTCTGGAATCATGGCCTTGTGCTGGCTGTTTGGCTTCTCTCGACGCGTCCTCAAAGAGTCCTCACCTCGTTTGTTCGTTTTCTCGTTATGTCCGATGAAAGACAGTCTCATACTCCTGTCGACAACCTTCTTGTCCATTTCTTTCCAGCATGCCGTAACCACTCCGCTGTCACCACATTCTTCTTGCCATGCTGTCATAGAGCTTCTTCGGCCTCGTGCCGCTCAGCCACACGTGGCGTCTTGTCTCGTATCAGGAGTGATCATCTACATTTGTTGTTTGAACTCTTCTAGATTGCGCGAGCTCCAAGCTTGCGCAATTTCATATTCACAGCTTGTTGTTCCTCATGACCCTTCTGATAGTCTCTGTCAGGCGATTGGACCGCAAGGGTTGCGATACTGGTTTGAGCAACGACGACCGTACACATACATGTGTCTGTGTCGATCGCAAGGAGATGACCAAGGGAGCATGGCATGTGCATGGCGCTGATCTTGATGATTCTGTGGGGGTAGTGCTCAGGTTCCCATGGGCTGAAAGGAAGCCACGGCTAGACTCGAGAGCTTGACTCGACTCGACCTTTTGGACATGTTTCCATACCCCAATGATGACAAGGGCGAACAAGATCGCAACAGGAATGAGCCTCGGCCTGCCAACCCCAACAACGTCATCAATATCCTCTACGAGCAGCAGCAGCAGACCGTGTCGTCGTCGGGGCTCCTCAACTCCATGACCGGCTTCTCCTCGCCCACGTGGCTGTCGCAGGATATGTTCCGTACCGGTCTGACCTTCAGTGCAGCAGAGAAACTTCCTGATACCTCCTACAGGTGCCCATCCTCCTGTTCAAACCTTCCATCCTACTCCACCACCCATGGGACGGAATGATGACCAGCTCCGGCTACAGGAGCAGGGACGGCTTTCTCACGTCTTCTCAGGTCCTTGCTCTAGATTGCACCCGAGCCATGACAATGACTGCCAGGAGCCTTCAGTTCATCGCTAGGAGCTGTCCTGCAGGTACTGCCCTCTCCCGCCCTCTCCTGCCCTCTCCCCCTTCCCACTGCCTATATTGTGCCCTGATCTGTTTCTGGATACAACATCCCTTCCCCTTCTCGCGGCCTATCGCTGACTTTCTTTCCTCTCTCCTCCTGATTTCACTTTATATGCAGCATCAGTCTCAAGCTATGAATCCTCCCTACCACCCCCAGCAGCTGCCCGCCAGCCTGTCGTTCCCCCACCTGCCGATGGGTATGGGGAGTAGGAGCCAGTCCTTGTGCCGCTGACCCCCCGCAGGTGAGCTTGAGGTGGATGCAGGGGTGAGGCTGCAGCAGGGGGACAAGACGGGACATGGCAGCTCTCGATCGGCCTCCATGCCTCCCTTGGGGGTCAAGGTTGCCAAAGTTCCTTTTGTGTCTGTTGTCCTCAGCGTCTACCCAGCGCGTGCCCCTCGAGTGGCTCTCCGAGGATGACCCGGTGTGGAGGGCGAGCCAGTTGGATGCTCAGATGAACTGCTCCGGGTTAGGAAAGGTGAGGAGGAGATGGAGGAGGGGCGGGGGCGGTAAGGGATGTGACGAGGACGGGCAGGCTGTTCAACGATTCTGGAACGAGGAAGTTGAGGCCGGGAGGGTGAGACAGGGGGCCGAAGAGACGTTCGAGTTGCTGGAGAAAGGTGTTTGCAGACTTGTGGTGGTTGACGTGACGAGAAGGAGCAGGAGAGCAGGAGGAGAGATTGTTCTGGACGAGACTCAACCGGGAGGTTTACCTTAGGCACTACGGGAAGCGAGTGCGAGGAAGCGTGATGCTTCAGGTACAGCAGCCGTTGGGTCAAGTCAAGTCAAGTGACTGCTGGCTGTCAGTCCCTCAAGCTCGTCCTGAGCCTCGTGCATGACAAGGACGAAGGAAAGCCCACAGACTTCTCCGACAGCATCTGCATGCTCTACAGGCGTCTGACCCCTTCAACCGACGCGAGGGACGGCGACAGCTCCAGCTCCCCCATCGTCCCAAAGCGCAAGCGAGGGAGACCCTCCCTTGCGTCTCAGAACAAACTCCCAGGTCAGCCTCTCCTCCACTCCTTCCGCATCCTGCCCCTCCTGCCCCCCTCGCCCTAGTCACCCCCTGACGCTCCCCATGCTGTCCTTCTCTCGAGATCATCTCACTCTCCTCCAGGTTCCTGCTCGCGGCTGCCTCCAAGCCTTGTATGCCCTCCTTGCAAGGTGCTGTGCTGGAGATGCGGAACCAACTGCATCTTCTCAGGTGATGATGATGATGATGATGATGATGATGATGATGAGGAGGAGGAGGAGGAGGAGGAAGATAATAGAGGAGGTTCCAGACAAGGACAGCGACAAGTTCGTCCCCATGGAGCATCGACAGTCTCTGGCGATGTTCCTGCGGCGAAAGAAGGACAGCGGAGAGGTAGTGGGCAAGAAAGCCATCGTTGCGTGGATCGCCGACGCCAAGGTCGGGCAGTTTGCGGGCAGTTTGTCGCACCTTCTCAGCTCCTGCTGCAGATGAGCTGGAAGTCAGCGGATCAAGGAGGAGCGAAAGTGAAAGAGGAGGAGGAGGAGGAGGAGACGGTGAGAGCTTCTCGTCGCTCTACTCGAGCTCACAAGGCTGCAGGCAAGGCCGATGCCCGTCTGGTTCAGCAGCATCGTCAAGATCCAGCAGGAGAATAACTCTAGCAAGACCGCAGACTCCCCCTTGCTGAGGTTCAGCTAGAGTGGAATCCCAAAGGGAGGAGGGGGTTTGCTGACCTTGAGGCAGGAGGCTTGTCTTCCTGGGGGGGCTGCTGGGCAAAGTTGTTGTGGATCTCGTGCTAGAGGAAGCGAGGAAGTTGATGCTGCCGCCTGAAGCCTCTGTAGCTGGTGGTCCTCTCCCACCTTAGACCCTCGGCTTGTTCCTACTCTCCTCTCCTCTCCTCTCCTCTCCTCTCCTCTCCTCTCCTCTCTTCTCCTCTCCTTCCCTCCCCATCCCGAGCTTTCCCTCCATCCTCGCTTCATCATGTCCCACCAACATTCTGTTCCAGCCGCCCATCTCCACCTTATCACTGACTTCTCCTTCAGATCAGCCTCGTTTCTTTGACGCCTCCACCTGGAGTATCTCTATCCCCAGCCTGCTTGACAGCGCAGACGGTAGTCCAGCACAAGGCTCTTGCTGCTTTCCTGTCCTCCGGGTCAGCGACTGCCGCCTTCCTCCAAGTGCGCTGACCCTCCATGGCAGACCGTCAAGCGCATGGTGGATGCGGTGGCGAGAGCCAAGAAGTTCATTAGCGAAAGTGAAGAACCCTGCCCGTCCCTACCTCCCTTCCTCTCCTCCCTTCCTTGCTCCTTCTTCCTGCTTCTCCCTCCTCTCCTTCCTCCTACCAATGCTATCTACCTCTTTCCCTCCTCCTTGTGCGATCTCTCAGACAGTTTCTCAGCTTCTCAGGTCGACCACTTCGATATCTCTTCCTACCATTCAACTGTCGATGGCATCCACCTTATGCATCTCATTCAACCCTCAAGCTCCCAGCTGATCTCCTTCGTCGCTCTCAAAGGTTTCTTCCCCTCCTCCCTCCCCTTCTCTCTCAAAAGTTTCTTCCCCTCCTCCCTCCCCTTCTCCCTCTCCTCCTCCTACCTCTACCTTCCTTGCTCTCATCGAAATTGATAGCCTCTTCCTATCTCTCGTGTTGGCTCATACTTTCTTCTAACACTTGCTCCCTTGCTTAAATCTCTCTCTCTCTCTCTCCCCCCCCCCCCCCCCCCTTCCCCTCCGCCTCCTCCTCCTCCTCCTTCTCCGGCTCTTCGTTTCCTCCTGCTATCTTGCGGCTCTTCCCACTCAACCTCTTCCCAGACGTTTGGATCATCCTGGCACCCGTTGCTGCCGGCATGCAAGAGGCTCACGGGAGGATGCGGCTTCTCCGTCCTGAGCTCGCTGCACGGTTCTGGGTGAAGGAGGGAGAGGTGTGGGGATGGAGCAGCTGCGGAGGTACCTGTTCCTTCCTCTCCCGACGCCTCCTCAGTGTCTGTGCAGAAGAAGAAGCAGCGCAAGAAAGCGAAGGATTCTTGCTGGGGGTCTGTGTGGAAGAGGTAGGGGAGGCAAGAAGGGAGGGAGGAGGAGGACTGACTGGTGCTCTGCCTCAGGGGGGTGAGACAGAAGCTGGTGGGTCGAGGAGCGCAGCAGGAGCGGGGAGCTTGCAGAGGATAACTAGTGCGATGCAGAAAAGCAACTTCCTGTGTTGTAGAATTCACTTCTCTCTAGCAAAGTAATCGCTGCGGTAGAGACTAGGAGGAGCTGTTAAATTTGTGTATATGAAGATTAAGAGCTAGAGGGAGCAAACCCTATCTATCTACATCCCGAGAACAGGACTGTTGTGCACGTCCTTCCCACAGTCGATGACACGAAAACACCTTCAATGTATCGCATCGTGCCTTCTCTTCCCTGCTGTTCCTTTCCACATCGCCAGCACGAGCAAGCGAGCGGTTTAAGCGAGCGGTTGTCTCTGACCTTTCACAGCCAACGAAGTTCCTACCCCTCCTGCTCCGCCTTCTGCGGCCTTGGCGAGGCTAGTGCTCCGTTCAGCGCAAGATCCTCCATAAGAGCTCGGCTCTCGCCTCCTCCTCCCTCGCCCAGCCCCTCCATCAGGTACGACTGGCTCTGCGGCTTCGCCTCTACCGCCTCCTCCTGCTCCGCCTTCTGCGGCCTTGGCGAGGCTAGTGCTCCGTTCAGCGCAAGATCATCCATCAGAGCTCGGCTCTCGCCTCCTCCTCCCTCGCCCAGCCCCTCCATCAGGTACGACTGGCTCTGCGGCTTCGCCTCTACCGCCTCCTCCTGCTCCGCCTTCTGCGGCCTTGGCGAGGCTAGTGCTCCGTTCAGCGCAAGATCCTCCATAAGAGCTCGGCTCTCGCCTCCTCCTCCCTCGCCCAGCCCCTCCATCAGGTACGACTGGCTCTGCGGCTTCGCCTCTACCGCCTCCTCCTGCTCCGCCTTCTGCGGCCTTGGCGAGGCTAGTGCTCCGTTCAGCGCAAGATCCTCCATAAGAGCTCGGCTCTCGCCTCCTCCTCCCTCGCCCAGCCCCTCCATCAGGTAGGCTCGCTGGTCGACAGGCTTGTCTGCTGTCTCTGTTCCGTTGATTTGCTCTGTCGCAGAGGATGGAGGGATATCAAAGAAGGACGTCGCCGCGTCGCTGCCCCTTCTCGCCCTCGATCGTGTGCGCTTGATCCCTGGCCCTGCATTGCCATCCTCGGGCAGCGCTGGGATTCTCTCCTGAACGACAGGAGGTTCCGGCTCTTGGACTTGCTTGCGGGAAGCACCACAGCCCATGACTGTATGCGAATCGGCTGACGTCGAATGAACACGTTTGACGTCTGAAGAGCGTTTCAAGTCTCCAACAACAACTGAGAAAAGGGATCAGTTTGAGGACAACACGAGCATAAGAATTCTTTGTTAATCGCCCTCACACCATCCGCCTTATACCGCGATCTAATTCGCTTCCCCGCAAATCCGACCGAAATTTCACAACCTCCGCAATGTGAAAAAGTGGAAACCATGTTTGAGAGTTGTCTAACTCGTTGTGTAACATGGGGAAACGTTCAAGGACGGATGATATGAAATCTCAGCAAAAGAATTCTTCTTTCCTTGCTTCTCCCTTCTTTCTCTCCTTCGTTTCTCTCCTCCTCTTCCTCCTTGCTCCTGCCATGTGTTGTTTACCCCTACGGTCGGTTGATGCTACCCCACCCCGAATCTTTCGTTTGAAAGAAATCTGTACCCTACCCACAAGAGATTCAGATACGACTCTGGGAATATGACCCCTTATATCTCTTGAAAAGTTGGTACTAAATGTGATTAAAGTACCCCCTCCACTGTCAATTTCGTCATGACTACCCGTCATCATAATACCCTACCCCCACTTTATGGCAGAGATTCAGACCCGGGCAGAATCGGGAGGAAGGGAAAGAAAGGGACAGGAGGGCAGGGAAGGGGGGAGGGAGAAGGACGGGAGGGGAGGGGAGGGGGGAGGAGGGGAGGGGAGGGAGGTAACTGAGCAGAGCTGAGCATGAGAAAGTGTCGGGAACAGATTCTCAGTGGAAGCAGAAAAGTAAAATACAGTTTCACCATGCAGGATCCGACTTGAATCTTTGTCACCCACTCTAATTCTAACTTTTTCTCGCCCATGCAAAGCAAATTCCTGTCGTTCCCATGAAGGCTCGTCCTTGAATGTTTACTGTTTTGTTTTGACTACTCTCTTGAGAAACAAGTGTCCATCTAACGATGTTCGTAAAGAAATGTGTATGCAACAAGCTTTAATGGTGTACAAGATTCCTGGTAGTCAACAAAAGTTCATCCTCTCCTATCATCAAGGAGAAGCGAACAGCCCCCAGTCTTTCACTCGCAGGGAGTGCAACATCGCCAAGAACAGATCGATTCCATCCTTGGTCGAATCGCCAGATTGCTCAAGGGATACAAACTCAGCAGAACTGGAACACTAGCTGTCAGCAACAAGCACAACACACCGTTGCACTTTCCTGCTATTAGGCATGATTTCTATCGGCCGATTCAGATGCAGCACGACGTCAGAGTCGAGGGAAGGGATCTGCGGATCCAGAAAGCACTTTTCAGACTCTAGTGTGCTCTCCGTTCAATGATTCTTTCCTGTATGACAGCAAGGTGGACGGCAACCAAGTTTCGTTCCTGTTCGACAACACTCACTCACTGATTCCTCCTCCTCCGCCCCCCCCCCTCCTCCTCCTCCTCCTCCTCCTCCGCCCCCCCCCCTCCTCCTCCTCCTCCTCCTCCTCCCCTCGCGACTCACATGCTCTTTGAACTTGGACACTCTCTGATGCCCGTGAGCCACCCAGCAGGATGGCTCTGCCACCTGAGGGATCGGAGAGGCGTCAGTCCTCAACCCCACAACAAGACAAGCGTGTGGACCTTCGAATCTGATGTTGGGATCGTCTTGATCAACTGACAAGAAGGTCAGGGGTCAACAAACACACTGCTTGCGGATGACTTCTACAGAGTGAGTGAGCTCCTTCGGGGCGACTGTGATGACGTTTTCCGACTGCAAGACCAAACCTTCAACCACCTCCTGTAGCTCAAGATCCTCATGGCAGTACCTCTCCTGATGCTTCGTTGCATTGTGCGATGTCGTCCCAGTAGTACTCAGCTATGGCTGCTCCCTGAACCTGCTCAGGAACCAGGAGGTCAGCAGCCCCGTAGGAGCGCACGAAGGGTTCACCTGATCTTCGTGCGCAAGGATCTCAACGATGACGCTCTGGTCAGTGTCCTCGGTATCAGCCCAGCATTCCTGGCCAGGCATCAGACCAGGATCGGGCAGGGGCATCTACTACGACCTGCGTGTCAGGGATTTGTCGGAAGTTGCTGATGTCAACAAACACAGCAGGCATCAACATGGTCATGGCTCCTCCGAACAGCTCCACCCTTCGCATACAGACATGATGAGTTGAACAGCTTGTAAGCAGCGACTTCATTCTCACTCTTTCAGTTTGAGATCGTCTTTGAGCTTGAGATCAGAGAGGTCGAGCTCCGAGGACATTCCTGCAGTTTGCAGGAGGTAAATCATGCAAGCCCACGGAGGAGGTAAGAGTAGGGGCAGACATATTGCGAGATCGCATTAGACACTGTTTTGCGATACTCAAGAAACATCCACTGGGATGCTTTTAAAACTTTGTCTTGTTTTCAGGAATCAACTTCGAACAGGTCGCGCCAGCTGCTGTCTTCGATTGCTAGCTGCAACAATACCCTCTAATGTTTCTCAATCACCTCTTCTACTCAACAAGACTCTCGCTGTTTTCCTCTCCCTCTTTCCTATCTCCTCAGTTCCTCCCTCCAGTTGTGGCCTCGGCACCATGGATCAATCCCCTGCTTCTATCACCCCGCCACCATCGTCTCCTCCGCACCATCCGACTGAGTCTCATCGTCTCTCACTGACCCCCTGCAGGGCGAACTTTTATCTTACCCTTCCCCTCTCGCGCTCTCGCCATCCTCCCTCGATCCCCAGCAAGCACGGAGTCTTCTTCACGTATTATGAAATGTTATATATAAATACTTGAAAAAGAAATAAATATATATAATTATAATTAATTATGTTTAAAATTTATGTGATTTCGGCCGGGTGGTGCCTTCAAGCCCCGGGCCCGGCGTCAGTCACTGAGTCTTGCAAGTAACCTTTACAAGTACTTTTAAACCAGCAAAGTAGCAATATGTTTTTAAAAGGATATCGGCCGTAAGACTTTTAAAGCAGTTTTTTAGTTTTTGCCGGTACAGATTTTAAATATAATTATAATTGATAAAGGGGCGGATTTATTGGGATACGGTGAAAAGTGGGGTGGTCCATTCAAAATCATACCAAGGGGTAGGGTCCAATGATATCCAGCACCGGTACTGTTTCAATGGAATCAGAATGGGTGGGTGGTAGAGGTGACATCTTAGGTACCAGGAGTGACTACAACATTGTAGTGAATAGGGGTAGTCCACGGAAGAAGGGGTTAAAATACTTGTAGGCGATGGAGGGTGGGTGGTATTTGCTGTGCCAAGTCGATTTTAGAGGGTGTTGTTGGGGGGTAGGGGTGGTAGAAGATGAAAAAGCGACCAAAATGACGAGAGAGGCTGGAGGTAGCAGGGGGGTGGCGGGGAGCGGGAGGGATGCAGAAGGGATGCAGAAAGAGCCTGCAGTGAAGAAGATTTGTTGATGATCAGGAGCAGGAGGTATAGATGTGGAAGGCGCAAAGGAAACGAGCGCCAGTAACGGGAAGGAGGAAAGGCCAGCGGTCCAGGAAATGCCTGTAGCAGTCAAGAGTTGGTCAAATATATTTGGTTCGAGTTCACCGGATGAAATTTGATTGAAACGAATGATTGTAGAAGGTGGGACAGTGAGAAAGCGAGTGCAGAGCAGAGATGATGTTCGAAGGGAGCATACGGGGAATGTATGTTCTATTGAAATGAGAACATGTTTTAAAGATGGAAGAATAAAGATCAGGAGATCAGTGGAGCACACGTGTCATAAATCTGCACGAATAACACAAAACCAACAAACATTTCTTGGAGGATACTCGATGTCGGACTGACCCTGCAACTAGGTCATGCACTTTCAGGTTTGCGGTGTCAACCGCGGAATGATCGTTGGAGAAAGGATTGATTTCAGAGCGTAAGAGATGGCAGGACGGAAACGACTCTCAGGCAGACATGCACTTGAGCATGGAAACCCTGAAGGGGTTTGTTTGTGAGCAATCAAACGAGCAAGAACATCCAGGAAGCGATCTGGTTGGTCCCAGGTTGGAATAGCGAGCAATGGGCTGCGGGCAGAGCATTGGAGCGACGGCTACTGTGTATGAAATGACGTTCGACATGTCCAACACCTCACAGGATCAGGTTCCCTTCAATCTCGCAGGAGCAGACCTCCTTGCCGCCTCCAGCTCTCCTCCCATCGTCCCCATCGGGATCACTACCCCGCAGGACACGACTTCGCTGGATCAGTGGAGAGAGAGTTGTCAGCATCTGATGCCCGGTCGGCTGGTGAGGATCGCTCCGATACAGAACAATTCGAGGTGATCGCAAGGGAGCAGGAGGACAAGGTGTTGAGGTCTGGTTTGTTGATACATGTGCAATTATGTAAGAGGATATAATAATTCCAGTGCAATTATGTAAGAGGATATAATAATTCCAGTAAAGGAGCAGTATGCTCGGAGGGAGAAAGAGGAGAGACGAGAAGGGAAAATACAAGGCAGACAAAGGGGGAGGAGAGAGAAGGGGAGAGCAAGGGAGGGGAGGGAACATGAAAAGAACATGACAAGAAGACAACAACAGGATGAGGGAGAAGGTTCATGAAGGCTGGGGCAGGAGGACGGAAGGGAAGGCTTTATGCTACTGTACATGAACCCGGGGGAGGTCTAGGAGAAGAGACGTAGGTGATGCATGCTGCGGGGAACGGCGGGGCGTACAGCAAGCGGCTGCTCGGCTTGCCTGAATCGTGCTTCCATGGCAATCTGATTGCCCACCAGCCTCCTAAGGATGTCCTGCATGAAGGATAGTCAGACTTGTGCTAGTGAACGCTCTACCTGCCTTCTCCTTCCGTTGCTCTTCCTCCTTCTCCTCCTTCTCCATCTCCTCCGCCCGCTGCCTCATCTTCACCAGCATCAGAGCACGAGAGGTCAGTGAGAGCACATACCGACGAGGCCATGCTCTTAGCCCGGCGAGGAGCGACGACACGGAACGAAATCTCGACGTGGCTGTCGGGGAGGATGCGATCGGGAGGAGGAGGAGAAGGGGGAGGAGGGAAGGCCTGCTGCCTCTGCATGTGCGACCTGCTTGTCCACAGGACAGGAGGGACTTTTGAGATCCCTTGAACTGGCTTGAGCTTCGTCTGCTTCTTTCTCGGGGCAGGGAAGGTCTTGTCTGGAGCAGAAGGAGGAAGAGGAGGAGGCATCTGCGGAGGGAGGTTCTCCTGAACTGACTGGGAGGCGGAGGGCAATCGAGCAGGGTAGCCCCTGCCAGGAGAAGCGGCGCGAGGGGACCCCTCCTCTGCCTCCGCCTCCGCCTCCGCCTCCGCCTCCTGCTGCTGCCCTACTGAGCCATGATTCTCCTCCTCGCTCGGGCTCAGCAGGAGCCGCTGGTGATCGACGGCACGGAGCAGGTGAACTTTCATCTCCTGCAGTCTCCTCCTTCGCTCCTCAAGGACCTGAACGGCTCCCCCGGCAAGCCCCTCCTTGCCCTCCAGCTCCCTCTCGATCTCCCTTATCTTCTCTTCCACCTGCCCCAGTCTCTCCGTCAGCTTGCCCAGCAGCTCCTCCATCCTCCTCCGTGTGCCCTGAGGGTCCCCACGAACATCCAGGGCGAGAGGTGGGGCAGGAGGGGAGGGGGAGGGGAGAGGAGGAGCTGAGAGCTGAGAGGAGGGAGCGTTGCCTACTGACGGCTGCTGGTCAGCTTGACGGAGTTTTCTCCTATGATTTGGTGAAGCAGCAGCAGGCAAATCTTCAGCAGCAGCAGCAGCAGCGAGAGGAGGAGGAGGGCGCGTTGGATATCTGAACCCCACCGCTCCGGCTCCTGCTCCTGCTCCAGCTCCGGCTGCCGCAACTGAATGTGAGACTATCCTCCTTTGAAAGAAGTCCTGGTCGCCCTTTGCAGCGATATCTTGTCCGTCAATCTGATCGGCACGCTCCTCCTCATCATCATCATCATCCTGCATCTTGTCGCCCTCCTCCTCCTCCTCCTCCTCCTTCTCGTCATTCAGAGAATCGTCCGCCTCATCCTGTTCCTCCACTCCTTGACAAGGTTCTTCCTCCTCCATGTCATGATAATTGACTTGTACGCTGAATGTCACCGCAGGCTCCTCTTCTGCACTCGCCTCCTCCTCTTCCGCCTCCTCCTCGTGTTCCTGCTTCTGCACATCATCCACCTCCTGCTCCTGCTCCTGCTCCTGCTCCTGCTCCTGCTCCTGCTCCTGCTCTTCCTTCCCATCGTCTGCTTGTCCCGCGCCTCTCGCACCCGCTTCCTGCTCGTCAAGGAGCAAGTCTCCATCGTCTATCGCCTTTGCTTCCTCCTCTCCGTTGTCCGCATTCGAGACATCACCGGCCTCCTCCTTGTCCTTGACCTTGCCCTGATTCTGCTCCGCTTCCAACTTCAGCTCTCGCTCTGCAACTTCTCCCTCCTCCTCCTCTTTCTCCTTCTCCTCCTCTTTCTCCTCCTCTTTCTTGTCTTCCTCTTCATCTCTGCTAAAAGATTGATCCTGTTGTCTCCCTTCCTTCTCAGTATCTTCTTGCTGCTCTCCAGTCTCTACAATCCAGTCATGCTCAGATTCCATTTCGTGCTCCTCCACTCCACCTTGCGCCCCTTCTTCAACAGCAAGTTCCCCCTCACCCTCCCCATCCTGCTCTTGCTCCTGCTCCTGCTCCCCCTCCAGCTCCAGCTCCAGCTCCAGCTCCAGCTCCAGCTCCTGCTCCTGCTCAGCCCGATTCTGGTTCAGTTCGTCGACTTGACTGTCCCTGGTATCTTCTTCCAGCGCTCTCTCCTCTGCTCCCTGACTCTCATGCTCCAGCAGTATCTGTCCGTCCTTGGCCTCCTCCACCCATGAACCCTCTTCGTTATCTCCCTGCTTCTCCTGTTCCCTGCCAACCTCCAGCAATCCGCTTCCTTCCTCTCCTTCCTCCTCTCCTTCATCCCGTCCAGCTGCCTCCTCCGCCTCTCCCTCCCTCTGCCGCTCATCTCCTGCCCCAGCACCTTTGGTCGCATCTTGACCTCGTATCTTCTCCACATGCTGCTCATTCCTGCTCCAGCCCCCAGCAACGTCCTCGCCCTCACCTCCATGCTCGAGATTTCCGACTCTTCCATCACATTCATCGCTGATCAACTTCTCGTCTCCCTTGTCCGTCAACCTTTCCATCTCCCTCTCCTCCTCTCCTCCCTCCTCCTCCTCCCCCTCTGCCTCATCATCGGACGTTCTGTGCGCAGCTTCCAGCAACTCAGCGTCTCCTTCTCGGTGTCCCAACCCCTCTGACATCTCCTGTTCGTCCTCACGGTCGTTCCTTGTCCCCTCTGGAGAAGCCTCGGCCCTCGAGGTCGCTGTCGCTGTCGCACCCTCCCCTTGATCCTGCTCCATCGCCGTTGGCATGGTTTTCTTCTCCTCTCCGACATTCGGCGCTGCTCCCTGCATCTCTCTGACCCAGCTTTCCAAGTCTTCTTCTGCTCCTTCACCGCCTTGAACTCCTTGAGGACCAACCAAGGATCGGCCCACATCGACATGTTCCGGCATGCTGATAAAATTCCGGCAGTTCTGCTAAGTCGAATTTCTCGTTGCCATCAATTATCGCATCTGAGCATGTGACAACCACAACACCTGTGCTCCTACTGCTCCTCTCCTGCTCTCTTTCCTGCTCCTCCCGTCTGACCTTTCCACCTCTCCCCGCCTTGACACTCCACGCTTGCTCTGCTCGGTTTCCCAAGTCTGCCGTCCGTTGATTTTCTATTAACTTGAGCGAGGGTATGTTGAAAATTAAAAACCATTTTATATCACTACCATGCTTATTTAAAAAATACTTTTGAATAATTTTAATATTTTATCTGTATTGATTCTGTACGAGCATCAATGAATGCAAACAAAGATCTCAATAAATTATTTTAAGTCAATACAGAATTCTGTACCTATCAAACAGTGTGTACGGGATTCGTAACATTGATTTATTAAAACCGCGGCCATGCAGCGACTGCTGGGAAGGCTTCAGGACGCCAGCCTCCTTCAGCTGGGGGCGTACGTGGGAGGAGCCTTTGTCCCCGCAAAGTCAGCTCGTACCTTCGAGGTCCTCGATCCGGCTTCAGGGTCTGTGCTGGGCTCTGCCCCCGACATGGGGAAGGAGGATGTGGAGGCGGCGGTGGTGGCGGCAGAGCAAGCGTTTCGGTCATGGCGGGAGCAGCCGGCGAAGGAGAGAGGAGCTGTGCTGAGGCGCTGGTATGACCTCGTCATGTCAAACCGGGAGGATCTCGCCACTATCATGACGAGCGAGTGCGGGAAGCCTCTCCCCGAGGCTCGGGCGGAGGTCGCCTACGCAGCTTCGTTCCTTGAGTTCTTCGCTGAGGAGAGCAGGAGGGTGGAGGGTTGCGTCCATACCCCTCCCTCCTCCTCCAAGCGAGTCTTCACCATCAAGCAGGCCGTCGGCGTCTCTGCTCTCGTCACACCCTGGAACTTCCCTGCCGCCATGATCACGCGCAAAGCAGCTCCCGCCATCGCCGCAGGCTGCTCGGTCGTGGTGAAACCGGCGGAAGCGACGCCATTCACGGCCATCGCGCTCGCGGAGCTTTCTCGTCGAGCTGGAGTCCCAGCTGGGGTCTACAACGTGGTGACCTGCTCTCGAGGGAACGCAGCTGAGGTGTTGGCGGTGCCCTGTCGTCTCATTGCGAGCTGACGGTGAGCTGGGACAGGTAGGGGGAGCGCTCTGTGCGGACGAGCGGGTGAAGAAGCTGTCCTTCACGGGATCGACAGCTGTGGGGAAGCAGCTCATGGCTCAGTGTGCGGGGACGGTGAAGAGAGTGTCGCTGGAGCTGGGAGGAAACGCTCCCTTCATCGTGTTCGATGACGCAGACTTGGATGCTGCGGTGAGGGGAGGGGGCTTGTGGGCTGGTCAGCTGACAGAGGAGGTGGTGATCAGGTGGAGGGGCTGATGGCGTCGAAGTTTCGAAATGCTGGACAGACGTGCGTGTGCGCGAACAGGATCCTAGTGCAAGATGGAGTTTATGAAAAGATGACGCAGCTGGTGGTGGAGCGAGTGAAGAGGTGAGAGGAGAAGATGAAGGAGGGGAGGAGAGACAAGGAGGGAAGAGGGAGTAAGACAGGGACAGAAACGAGAGGTTAGGGGGGAAGGAGGAGGAGGAGGATAAGAAGGATGAGGAGGTAAGGGGATGTTGGGGGGGCGGGGAGGAGCAGAAAAATGTCAAGGGTGAGGAAGAGGAAGAAGGAGGGGAACCCAGTGATGACTTTGCGGCAGGTTGAAGATGGGACATGGACTGGAGGAAGGTACGACTATCGGCCCCCTCATCTCTGACGCAGGAGCTTCCAAGGTTGCCTTCCTGCTGAGCATGCTTCTGGTTGAGAGCTGGGGGGCAGGTGGAGAAGCAGGTGGAGGATGCCAAGGCTAAGGGCGGAAAGGTGAGGAGAAGTGCTGCTGCGTCGTTCTTGACGGGCTCTGCAGGTCATATTTGGAGGGAACCGCAAGGAAAACAACTTCTTTGAGCCCACGGTCAGCAGAGTGGAGAAGGAGGAGGAAGACGAGGGCGAGGACGAGGCCAAGGGCGAGGACGAGGGGGAGGGAAAGGATGGAGAAGGAGAAGGCGAGGACGAGGACGAGGACGAGGACGAGGACGAGGACGAGGGGAGTCAGCAGCAGGGAAGGGGGGGAGGAGGGAATGTTGTCTCAAAAGAGCTTGCAGGTTATCACGGAGGTCGACCCCAGCATGATGTGCGCGGAGCAGGAGACGTTCGGGCCGCTTGTTCCCCTCATGAGGTTCAAAACAGAGGAGGAGGCGGTAAGAATCGCCAACGATACCAAGGTCGTGCTGCCCTCGTTCCTCCTCCTGCCTCCCTCAAGCTTCGTCTGCAGGCAGGACTTGCAGCCTACGTCTACACGAGGGACCTTGGGAGGTCATGGCGAGTCTCAGAGGTCGCTGCCCCCACCCTCTCTCTCTCTTTGACTCTCTCCTTCCTCATCTCCTCCTCCACTCTTCCTTCCTCCTCTCCTCGACCTCTTGACTTCGCACTGGCATGGTCGTCAGCTTCTCTTCATCCTTTCGCTTCCTCCTTCTCCAACTCCTCCTCCACCGCCACTTCACCTCCTGATGTTTGTTCAGGCGCTCGAGTACGGCATGGTGGGAGTGAACGAGGGTATCATCTCCAGCGACATTGCCCCGTTCGGAGGAGTCAAGGAGTCAGGACTGGGGAGAGAAGGATCCAAGTTCGGCATCGAAGAGTGAGAATTCTCCTCCTCCTCCTCCTCCTCCTCCTCCTCCTCCTCCTCCTCCTCCTCCTCCTCCTCCTCCTCCTCCTCCTCCTCCTCCTCCTCCTCCTCCTCCTAGTTCCCCTGCTCCTCCTTTACGCCCCTCCTTTTCGTCTACTGCCTTCTTCCTCCCTCCATTCTCCTCCTCCAGTGCCGCTCTCAACACATCAGCCTTCCCCGAGCTTTTTCTCCTCCTCCCCTCACACTCATGCAGGTACTTAGAGATGAAGTACATCTGCCTGGGACTCGGAAAACCCATCCAAGGACTGCCCTCCATGCCATGAACGAACATGAGAGGAGGAGGAAGAGGAGCGGAGGGAGAGGTTTCAGCAGCTGCATGAAGACTTCCTGCATGTTCAACTTTACCTCGCCCTCCTCCTTCCTCTCTTACTCAGAAGCATCCTCTATGTCCCTCCATATGCTCGCAGCCTCCTCGCTGCTGATCATAGCCCGCACCCGTCCCTCTTTGTTCGCCTTCACAGGGAACAGAGCAACACGGTCCTCTCGATCGCTCCCTCCTCTCCCCTTGCTCGACTTCTGCTGGGCTCGCACGATCTCGACCAGGAAATTTCCTGCTGCTGATCCTTTTCCTGCTGGGATCTCCACGAGAGCCTCGGACGCAGACCCACCTGCCCCCCAGCTGAGAAGAGGCCCTAGAGTTGTCTTGGCCGTCTTGGCAGACATCTGCCAGATCCTGCCAGTTCACCGTCAGCTGGGGAAAGAGAGAACAGCAGGTGAGGTCACCCGCAGTCGGGGTCGGTGCTGGGGTAGAGCAGCTCTGCTCCTGTCAATGTCAAAATCCATGACTTGTCTACCTCGCCTTGCGACTTCCATGCTCCTCCTCCCTCCCCACTTTCTCCTCCTCCCTTACGGCCCAAGTAGGCAAGGCAGACTCCTGCGCTGATCTTGCAGCAGCTCGCCTTCCCTTGGGACTTCTTGTCCTCCCTCTCCTCTCCCACACGGCAGTATCTCGCAAGGCTCTCGCACAGCGCAAAGATCCTCCGTGGCTGATCGCTCCAGCACGCAAGTCGCACATCCTTGACCTCTGCAACATTGTGCGCCGAGAGGAAAGAGAGAAGGAAGGCAGGAGGGAGGTCTCGGAGCTCTGGCTGGGCTGACCTTCGCGACTGCGCCTTCAAGGTCGGGAGAGAGGAGGAGGGAGCGGGCCACGGCTTGATCTTGCGCAGGAGAGCAACGAAGAAGCCTCCAGTGTCATTCAGATGAGGATAGAGGCGGAGGCAGTGCTCGAGATCCGCCCTCTCTCCTTGCGGCCACATCGTCCTCCTGTACCGCTTGCCTCCTGCCCCCAGCCTCTCTCGCGCTGCCTCGTAGGAGGGGATCTCGCAACAGTCGTCGTCCAGAACCTTCCATGACCTCATCCCCCTCGCCGTCACAAAGTCACCGAGATGGTGCCTGCAGGGCACCAGCTCTACCGCTCCTCCACACCTCTCCAGCAGTGCCGCCACGACGCTCTCGTCCTCCATGGGGTTCAGGCTACAGGTGGAGTAACTCACGAGGCCGCCAACCTTGAGCAGGGCGATGGATCGCAAGGCAATCTGAAGCTGCAGAGAATGAAGCTGTCTCCCTTGAAAGTGATGCCAATGTCTCCACTTGTCTCGGTACTTGCGAAAAGTCCCATCGCCGCTGCAAGGGACGTCGCAGATGATACGATCGAACTCGCCAGTGCCGTCGTTGACGGAGGAGGGGAAGATCTGAGCTCTGTGCGAGGTGACCAGTACGCACGAGGACGCAGAGGATAGCTCCGAGCATCTCTTCGCAAGGATGTATGCCCTCTTCTCGCAAAGTTCGTTGGCTACAACAAACCCAGCATCTGCAAGGCTGCTGCTCTTGCCGCTGAACATCATGTCAATCGCCTGCGAGGTCTTCGAGCCCGGTGAGGCACACAGGTCAAGGATAGCATGCTCTCTCCTCACATCCAGCACGGCAACAGGGATCATGGAGGCTATCTCTTGCCTGGTCACGACCCCAGACTTGCATGCAGCAAGCAACCATTCTCGGAGAGCTCCCACGTCGTCGTTAGCAGCACGACTCTCCATGAGCTCTCCCATCCGTCCCTCCCCTCCTCCACCTTTCGCTGACAGCCTCAGCGCTCTGTCGTCCATGGGCAGCTGCCATCCGCCACACCACGGCAGCTCCTTGGAGCCAGCCTCTAGAGCTCGGGGGGCGTGCGCGAAGCAAGCCCGAGCTCTTGCCTTCATGAAGACATTTCCTCTCACTCGGAACGATACAGGAAGAGGCTTCATGAGAGCTGCAACCCCATCCTCGTCCATCCCCTGCGCTCTCCAGTGCTTCAGAAGCTCCTCCTTGCCAAGTTCTTCCTCTCGTCTCGACTCGCTCCTCTCTGCCTCTGCCTGGGCTTCTTCCTCCTTTGCTCTTCTCTTCTTCACCTTCACCATGCTCTTCTCCCTCCTCCTCTTCCCCTCCTTCCGTCTCTTCCTCTTTCCTCCCCCGCCCTCCTCCCCTTCGACCGGACGCATTCCCCCCCCCAGCATATCGCCTTTTACAATGAACTCTGAGGCGGGTTCGTCTCATTGACCAACAGGCACGGCCAGCTGAGGGCCACTAGGGCGGCTGCCGCCGTTGCGGATCATGATACAAGTAGAACTCAGTGTAGCAGTACATTGCCAATCATCCTGGAGGTAAAATTGAGTTTATTCTCCAATATTAGGCCTCGTCACAGTAAAAGAAAGGGAGACCGGAGCAAACAAAGGAGGACGAGGATAAACGAAACAGTGAATGATTAGGTTGGATCATTCTTGTCATGGTACACGAGAGCCTCTTATTGTGAATGACGGCGAACAGTTTTCACATCTGAGAGTTGAGACGGCAAAGAACTTGAGATCCTCCGCGAGTTCCAGGTCACAAGCTCCCTGTGTACTTCGCCTCGTTTGCTCTTCATCCGTATGAGCTGCACCACACACGCTTAGCTCAACCTCCCCACCACAGCAAAGTAATGCTCTCCCCGACCTGCTGCTGCAAGTTCTGCTTCCTGATCTCTCGCTCCACGTTGGTCCTGCCATGACGACGTCCGGTCAGCTTCCTCACCCCCCCACCCCCACCCCCCACCCCACCCTCCTCTACTCCTCTCTGACTGCACTCACTCACCGAGACTTGCCGCACATCAGCTGCATCGCCTCGATCTGTCGGAGCCATGCACGTCATGATCCGTCAAGCTGCTACACATGGAGCTTGTCTTACATGCTTGATCCCCTCCGAAAGCCTGCGGATCTCGCGATTATACGATCCCATCTCGGCGAATAGCCTTCAAGACCCGATGGTCAGCAGCAGCAATCAGAGATGCGGTAGCATGCTGTACTCACGGTCGCTTCTCCTTGCAGGTCTGCAGGGCTTGCTCGTACACTGCTGGGGTACGTTTGACCATATCTTGTTCACTTCTTGGCTGCTCGAGGATACCTGCGTACTGAGACTCTGAGTCTCCCGCAGTCTCCTGCGCGGTGTAGCGAGGTTCCGCAGACTGATGGCTGTACAGGGTCTGTTGCGGCAGGTACGAGAGCTTGCTGCTTCGAATCTTCAGATGCTTGTTGTCCTTGTCTCTTGCGCAACAGAGAAGGGACCGAAGGAAATCGGCTGCGTCCTCGTAGTCGTCGGCGTCGTCGTTGGTGGCGCTGGTCGCTCGGATAAACTCTGGCATGCTGCTAGAGGGCTCGAGGCTGACTCGCAGATGCTACGATAGACTTAAATCAACAGACTGGTCCGGACCCTGACAAAAGTAGGAAGCGGGAGAGGGAGGGAGGGAGGATGGAGCCTGAGAGAGGGAGGACTGAGCTTACAGAGGAAGAGCAGGAGCAGGAGGAGAAGGGAAAGGGGAAGGAGGAGGAGGAGACCTTGGAGTGTCACCGCCTGCAGCAGGCAGAGAGGAGACAGCGACGGGAAATTAAAGCACCGGTTGGACCACCCTACCCTGCCAGAGGACTGTCAACTTTAGACTCAGACAAGGGGGTACAAAGTGCTCAAGGGGGAGGTAGGGTGCGGGAGGCCGTGAATAGACCCGGAATTCAGTCAACTCGGGGCTAGAGTTAGTGAACTCTTGGTTAAAATAAGTCAGGTCTTGATGCAGATAAGTCAGATCTGGGTTAAAATAAGTCAGAACTCAGTCAACTGAGCAGTATCCGACCGTGCCCTGTAAAGAGAGCTCGCCTCAGACCCATCGCCGGCCAGAAGTCAACAAGATGACTAAATCCGGACTTGCAGGTGTATCCTTGGATATACTCTCCGATCATGACTTACCTTGTAAGTGCACGCATGAGAACTTCACGGTGCGTCCGACACTGTTCTATGTCGGACTGATCTTCTACTTGACCTTGAGTAAAGTCTACGGATAAGCCATGCGATCGATACACCCCATGATGGCCTGATCATGCAAGGCCAAGCGACGAAGCAGACACTGTTGGACCAGCTTCTGCTTGATGTCTCGCACGGTCATGCCACGCTCATTGTTGATCTCGCCCATGTCAGCAAGGCTGCTGCTATTGCCGCTGAGCATCTTGTCGATGTCCATCATCGCCTACGGAGGTCATCGGTCCCAGGGCGCAGAGGTCAAGCATAGCCTCGGCATGCTCTGACCTCACATCCAGCACGGCAACAGGGCTATCACTTGCCGCGTTCAAAGTACAGTACTGCCCTCGGAGTTGGTGAGCAAGGGAGGGGGAGATAGCAGATCAAGCATACGAACAGCTCATGAATGTAGAGTTTATTGACACTTCAGGTATGCTCTAATCCTACATCAAAGCCATCAGGGCTCCCACTCGAGTGTTGGGCAGAATCTGGATGAAGGAAGGACTGGGGATGCTTGAAGGTCTATAACGAATCGCCCCTCGGACGTCCCTGCCAATCCCATGCAACAACGCATGGCGTTGCAAAGGCAGCTGATCACCATACCCGGCATGCTCATCCACCTCAGATAGGAACGCCGAAGATGCCGAGGGTGCAGACCAAGATCACCGCCACGGATATGAAAAGAAGCGGGTAGCTGATCAGCAGCACAAAGCGCCTCAGGTCGATGGTTGGCGCCTCCTCTCTGATGATGCGCGGGAGCTCTTCGATCTCTACGGGCATTCAACCCTGGGCACAGCAGATACGCCGGAATGGAAGCGAGGGAGGATGGAGCCTGACAGAGGGAGGACTGCGCGGGAGTCTCTCGAAGGAGGGAAACTTGCTTCCGGGGTACATTTCTTGCACAATCCCACCCTGCCAGAGGACTGTCAACTTTAGACTCAGACAAGGGGGTACAAACCCTTGAAGTGGTCAAGGGGGAGGTAGGGTGAGGGAGGCCGTGAATTGACCCGGAATTCAGTCAACTCGGGGCTAGATTTAGTGAACTCTTGGTTAAAATAAGTCAGGTCTTGATGCAGATAAGTCAGATCTGGGTTAAAATAAGTCAGAACTCAGTCCCTGAAAGCAGGGACAAGTTTGCCGTCTCATGAGACCCACCGCTGAGCTTCCCAGAAGTAAACAAGATAACTAAAATCAAACCTGGTTGCTGGTCTGCTATGATGTATGGATACACTGCTACATTCGATGATTCAAATTAACTTCTCGAGTACAAGTGATACTGTGACAAATACGAGTGATACCACCTGTCGACTTCTGGCCGGCGATGGGTCTGAGGCGAGCTCTCTTTACAGGGTCGGATACTGCGGGAGTCCTTTGCTCAGTTGACTGAGTTCTGACTTATTTTAACCCAGATCTGACTTATCTGCATCAAGACCTGACTTATTTTAACCAAGAGTTCACTAACTCTAGCCCCGAGTTGACTGAATTCCGGGTCTATTCACAGCCTCCCGCACCCTACCTCCCCCTTGACCACTTTGTACCCCCTTGTCTGAGTCTAAAGTTGACAGTCCTCTGGCAGGGTGGGGTGGTGCAAGAAATGTACCCCGGAAGCAAGTTTCCCTCCTTCGAGAGACTCCCGCGCAGTCCTCCCTCTGTCAGGCTCCATCCTCCCTCGCTTCCACTCCGCCGTATCTGCTGTGCCCAGGGTTGAATGCCCGTAGAGATCGAAGAGCTCCCGCGCATCATCAGAGAGGAGGCGCCAACCATCGACCTGAGGCGCTTTGTGCTGCTGATCAGCTACCCGCTTCTTTTCATATCCGTGGCGGTGATCTTGGTCTGCACCCTCGGCATCTTCGGCGTTCCTATCTGAGGTGGATGAGCATGCCGGGTATGGTGATCAGCTGCCTTTGCAACGCCATGCGTTGTTGCATGGGATTGGCAGGGACGTCCGAGGGGCGATTCGTTATAGACCTTCAAGCATCCCCAGTTCTTCCTTCATCCAGATTCTGCCCAACACTCGAGTGGGAGCCCTGATGGCTTTGATGTAGGATTAGAGCATACCTGAAGTGTCAATGAACTCTACATTCATGAGCTGTTCGTATGCTTGATCTGCTATCTCCCCCTCCCTTGCTCACCAACTCCGAGGGCAGTACTGTACTTTGAACGCGGCAAGTGATAGCCCTGTTGCCGTGCTGGATGTGAGGTCAGAGCATGCCGAGGCTATGCTTGACCTCTGCGCCCTGGGACCGATGACCTCCGTAGGCGATGATGGACATTGACAAGATGCTCAGCGGCAAGAGCAGCAGCCTTGCTGACATGGGCGAGATCAACAATGAGCGTGGCATGACCGTGCGAGACATCAAGCAGAAGCTGGTCCAACAGTGTCTGCTTCGTCGCTTGGCCTTGCATGATCAGGCCATCATGGGGTGTATCGATCGCATGGCTTATCCGTAGACTTTACTCAAGGTCAAGTAGAAGATCAGTCCGACATAGAACAGTGTCGGACGCACCGTGAAGTTCTCATGCGTGCACTTACAAGGTAAGTCAAATGATCGGAGAGTGTATCCAAGGATACGACTCGTGGCTGCATCAGGGACCTCAAGCAGTGATAGTGATGCAACTTCGGAGGGCAGCTGGCATGGACAACTTGACGGTGGGGTAGGTCCGAAACTATGCTTTGATAGGGTAGGGGCCACAAAATAGGAACAAGTACACCGCAAAAGGCATTCAAAACCTCTCAGAACACTACCTAAGTGAATATTGCTCAAAGTGCACGCAATACCACCCAGCGACAGGTAGTCAGTATAAGGCTTCCTTGGCTCCCATGGGTTGTACTGTCTTGACTAGCTCCCGTCGAAGTACGCATCTTCTAACGTAGTTGTTTACCCTCGACCGGGTTATCGATGGCGTGCTCAAGTACTGCTCGAGCCCCACGGATGAGCCATGCGATCGATACACCCCATGATGGCCTGATCATGCAAGGCCAAGCGACGAAGCAGACACTGTTAACAGTACCAGCTTCTGCTTGATGTCTCGCACGGTCATGTAACACTCCTTGTTGATCTCGCCCATGTCAGCAAGGCTGCTGCTCTTGCCGCTGAGCATCTTGTCGATGTCCATCATCGCCTACGGAGGTCATCGGTCCTAGGGCGCAGAGGTCAAGCATAGCCTCGGCAAGCTCTGACCTCACATCCAGCACGGCAACAGGGCTATACTGCCCTCGGAGTTGGTGAGCAAGGGAGGGGGAGATAGCAGATCAAGCATACGAACAGCTCATGTATGTAGAGTTCATTGACACTTCAGGTATGCTCTAATCCTACATCAAAGCCATCAGGGCTCCCACTCGAGTGTTGAGCAGTATCTGGATGAAGGAGGTACTTGTAGGGCTTTCAGGTCTATTCTATCGGCGAGCTCCGGACAGGGGATGGCAACGATGTATCTGAGATTCTCCGCGAGTTCCATGTCACAAGCTCCCTCTGTACTTCGCCTCGTTTGCTCTTCATCCGTATGAGCTGCACCACACACGCTTAGCTCAACCTCCCCACCACAGCAAAGTAATGCTCTCCCCGACCTGCTGCTGCAAGTTCTGCTTCCGGATCTCTCGCTCCACGTTGGTCCTGCCATGACGACGTCCGGTCAGCTTCCTAAACCCCCCACCCCCACCCCCCACCCCACCCTCCTCTACTCCTCTCTCTGACTGCACTCACTCACCGAGACTTGCCGCACATCAGCTGCATCGCCTCGATCTGTCGGAGCCATGCACGTCATGATCCGTCAAGCTGCTACACATGGAGCTTGTCTCACCTGCTTAATCTCCTCTGTCAGCCTGCGGATCTCGCGATTATACGATCCCATCTCGGCGAATAGCCTTCAAGACCCGATGGTCAGCAGCAGCAATCAGAGATGCGGTAGCATGCTGTACTCACGGTCGCTTCTCCTTGCAGGTCTGCAGGGCTTGTGCGTAATCTAGGCGCATACGTTTTTGTTCACTTCTTGGCTGCTCGAGGATACCTGCGTACTGAGACTCTCCCGCAGTCTCCTGCGCGGTGTAGCGCGGCTCCGCAGACTGATGGCTGTACAGGGTCTGTTGCGGCAGGTACGAGAGCTTGCTGCTTCGAATCTTCAGATGCTTGTTGTCCTTGTCTCTTCCGCAACAGAAGAAAGGAAACCGAAGGAAATCGGCTGCGTCCTCGTAGTCGTCGGCGTCGTCGTTGGTGGCGCTGGTCGCTCGGATAAACTCTGGCATGCTGCTAGAGGGCTCGAGGCTGACTCGCAGATGCTACGATAGACTTAAATCAACAGACTGGTCCGGACCTCGACGAAAGTAGGGGGCGGGAGAGGGAGAGAGGGAGGATGGAGCCTGAGAGAGGGAGGACTGAGCTTACAGAGGAGCAGGAGCAGGAGGAGCAGAGCAAGAGAGCTTGTCGTGGGCGCAGAGGTAAAGGAGGACAATTACGCGAGCCACACCCACCCTACCAGAGGGGTGTCAACTTCTCAGGGGGGACAAGGGGGTAGAGGGTAACAAATGGGGGGTATGGTGTTTGAAGCCGGAAGATTGCCGTCTATTATTGGGGAACATTGTGCCGGAAATAAGTCAGAACTAGGTTAAAATAAGTCAGAACTGAGTAAATTAGCATGTCTCGCCAGAAAACAACCCCAAAGATTGTGAGTTTCAGATTGACAGGAATAAATCCTAAAAAAAAGGTCAATGGGAGAGGCAAGAAGTGTGTTATTTTAACCCAGAAGTAGCTTAAATTAACAGGAACATGGCTGAAGAATTGATCTATCTGCCCAGACAAAAAAGAACTCGCCTCCTTCCAGGCTCCCAGTAGTCAACAAACCCTCAGGCCCCTCTACCGGAGGCAGTCAGAATAAAGCTGACTCGCTGAACTCAGCTTCGGTCATCGTGGTTTGAAAATGGACCTGAGGGATCCGGGGTCAATTTCCGGGCCGGCCGCCCTCGGAGCCTTTGACGTATGAATACTTCCTACCGTACGGTAGAGCGGCTGATCATCGGATGGGATAAGAAAGGATTGTGTCTAGCATCTTCTGTCGTTTCTACCGAAAATCTTTAGAGAGCCACTTCACCCTCAGTCACTCTCGGGTCCTGCAATTTTGCGTGGGTCTGGAGGAAGGTTGCCTCAAATTCTGCAAGACCATCGAATGCCTGTTAGGACCCCATTCTTTTGCCAACCCATTCCCAGACCAGGGCGAAGGTGAGTCTGATAATTTTGATCCCACGGTAATCATCATGATCGACGCAAGAAATGCCTTCAATGAGATCTCTCGCCAACGGCTATTTGACATCCTCCTTGCTCCCGAGCATCGTTGTGAAAACTTTTCCCAAGGAGTCCTTCCGTATGTTCATCAATATTATGGCCAGGCAGGTAAGTTATTTCTGAAACATCAGCGAGAGACTCGGGCTTTTTCGGCCACCACGGGAGTTTCTCAGGGGGACCCCTTGGCGATGGCTCTCTTTGCGCACACCACCTTCCCTTCCCTGGTCAAAGTCGCAGAGACCTTTCCCGACTGTGTCTTCCCGGCCTATGCGGATAACATGGCTGTTATTGGAAAGCTCTCAGTTGCCGCACAGGCCACTGCATCGCTGGTTGATACTTTAAAACAAGAGCTAGGATTGGAGATTCAACCCAGAGATTCGCAGATATTCTCCTCGTCCTGGTGCGAACTTCAATCTAGTCAGCAACAAGCCATCCAAGAGCATATTTGCAGCAGGTACCCGGGCTTGCAGCAGTTTGCCTTCCGCGGCCAGGGGATCATCCTTGGAGGTATCCCGATAGGATCTCAGTCCTTCCAGCAAGAGTTTATCACTGCCAAGGTGAATGCCCTCAATGCTGAATTGACCCAGTTGGAACAATTTCCCATTGCGTTGGGTCTCAAGCAGCTCTTGAAAACGACCCACGTTCCCACCCTCCAATACTTCTTGCGTGGAATTTCCCCGGCCTTGACAGCTGCCCAGTGCAAGTGCTTTGACGTCGCGAATCTCCGTCTCCTGGCGAAGGTGTTTCAGTGGCCACAGAACCAGGCACAGGAGGGTTTATCTGACCTGCAACCTGCCCCTGACACCCCTCCATCTGACCTTCACTTTGCCTATTTCAAACGTCAGTTGCCTTATAGTGCTGGAGGAGATGGGTTCACCCCGCAGGAGGGCGTGGCCCACACCGCATTCTGGTCGGCGACTGCCAAGTTTCTCAAATGGGCGGGTGAAATTGCCATCTTCCAGCATTGGATGTTACCTACACCGCCACTTTTCCACCGGATCAATTCTGACACTGAGCTTCGAATCCGCCAACCGCAGCAAGCGGACGCTGGGGATGTTGTCCCCATGCTGGCTGCCTTCTTGGACACTCACAGGCACTTGATGGAGCAGGGCATCTCGGCGTACACCTCCTTGGCGGAGCTTCCTCAGGCGTGCGACAATGGCTGGATCCCCTCGCCGGAATTATTTGGGACGTCGGGCAGTGCGCTTTTCATCCCCGCCCAGCGGGAGCTCACGGCTCAGTTCCTCTCGGAGTTTCCTCGGTTCCGCAGTATTCGGGCTCACCTTTCTGAGCGCCAGAGATCTTTGTTGGCACACCACCCCAGCTTCTCTACTCCCCTTCGAGTACCAGGCCACCCGGTTGATGAACTTCTGTCTCAGTTTACCCCTCAGCGCACGATTTGGCACTCGATCATGGAAAGTACAAACCTTGGGATCTTTGAGCAGCAGCCCATCAGCTTGGTGGCTGCCGCTGACAAGTTTCTTCATGGATTGCCGGTTGACCTCCCGCCGCACTGCGATAGATGCCATCATCTTCTCCGTCATCCTGGGGGGACCACACACATGGCAACCTGCAGGCACCGCAGCCAGTTATGGACTGATGCGCATGAGAAGTGCAATGCCGTCCTCAGTACCCTCATCAAAGATTCCGGAGTGAGATGCCGTGTCCACGTGCAGGGCGTACCCGGCACCAGGCAGAACGTTTCCCAACATGGCCCTGAAGATCATCATGTAGGGGACTTTGAACTTCCACAACTGATGGCTACTGGAGGCGGATGGCATGGGTTAATCCTGGACTTCAGCATGTCACATGTTTTTGACAATGATGGAATCCCGGACCTCGCTCGGAGCAAACTGCAAGCGGCAGCACAGCGGAAGATCCGAGGGCATCGTAATGCATATGCTCAGCACGTCCCGCCAAAGGCCTTTCTTCCCATCATCGCCAGCACTGATGGCCTCTTGCAGGACGATGCGTTGCGCTTTCTGTGGTGGCTGGCGGATCGCTCGGCGAACAAGGAAACGGTAGCGCTGGATGGTCTCTCGGCCTCGCAAGACGTCTCAGGTGATCCGACTTGCAAACGCATCCGGTCCAGGATCTTTCGTCAGCTCAAGGCCTCCCTGTCCTACGCTGCCATCATCGCGGGTGCATCCCGGTATGCGTCTCATTCCTTCGGCGGCGGCCACCGCGACATCGCTGGCATGGCGGCGCGGGGGGATTGTCCAGCGCGCAGTTAAGTGAAGGTATCAGTTAAGTTTGGGGGACAGCAGTCGGCAGGTTTAGGTTTGGTTCTCGCTGTCTTTTCTCTTCTCGCCGTTTGGCCTGTGCGACAGTGTCAGGGTCAAGCCTCCTCGACTCTCCTGATTGTCCTCGTACTGATCTTTAACTTTTGTTTCCGAGTCAAGTTTACCGCCGAATAAGAAAGATTGACTCTGTGAGGTTCTTGGAGGCATATATAGCCTACTGAGTCACTACAGTTGTCTGATCCGACCGGACCGTCAGACTCCGGTGTGCTCCCCTCTCTCAGCTGAACATGGGATGCACCGTGATGCTGCCGTTGTGTTGCTCAAAGGTAAACGTGTGACTGGAATGGTTCTACTCGGCTATGAGCAAACAAGAAAGTTCAACATTAAAATATTGGCAAGTCATTTGCTTGAAACAGAATTTACAGTCTCGAGGGTCTTGTACTTGGTTGATATCCTCTGACAATTCCAAGCATTCAGCTCCTTGCGAACTTCATTCCTCCTTTCTCGAAGTTTGAAAATCTTGGATAGAGAAAATCGCTTACAGGTCGTCAAAAAGTCATATGCAAAAGTTACCTGTGTCCTCAGCTCTTTTTTCCTTGCTTCTCTGATTTCATTTTCTCTGTACAATAATTTTCGCTATCAATCCATGATGCAGAAATTTGATTAGATGCATACCGAGCTTTGCCGAATATAAGCTGCATCGTTTCGATCTGTAAACAGCACGGGCTCACTTCACTTCCGATTGAACATTGTGCTACCTGATGAAACTCATGCGTGAGAGTGTCCAACTTTGCATCCAACTCTTTCATCTCGTCAAATAACCTGTCGACCCATTGTCAAGATCAAGACTCATTCACCGTGACAACCATACGGTCGTTTGACGTTGAAGTCCCTCAAGGTTACATCATAGTCATACTCGACCTGCCTCCTAATGTGGAGACCGCTGCCATGCCGGCCCTCACAAGCAGCGGGATTCTGGTGGACATCCTGCACTTCCAGCATGTTGATCGGGCGGAACGCTGGTGATCGCTGGCGCGAACATTCCTCTTGTCTCATGTGCCCAAGCTCCGATTCCTTGCAGCAAATGATGGACGTGAACGATGAGATGACGTTGTTGTACTGTCGCTCGAACCCCCCGAGCTTGTTCTCTCCCTCCTCCTCCTCCATGTCGTCCCCAGCCGTCGAGCATAACAACCATGCAGCCATGAGGGGCCCCGGTAATTCCGCAGTCAAACGCACGGACCCGTGGCTGAGGGTAGGTAGGGGTACGGTAACAGAGTCAACCCCCCACCCCCTATGCTTCATAGTTCTTGTCGCTTCAAGATGGGTGGGGTATTCCTCAACCCTGCTCTTCAGTGCCTGCCGGGGGCGGGGGTGGGAGGTACAATAATCGCTCAAGTCACTCTTCAGTCTTTTACTCAAAGTTAAGTTAAAAATCAGTACGAGGACATTCAGTCACGACCCGTTGAAGTCGCCTGAACTTCCGAAGGGCCCACTGACGTACCCGGGGCCCGGGGCCCGGACTCCCGGCGAACGTTTCACTGAGTTTACCGTCCGGTTACAAGTATGCCATGGCGTAACCGTTCTTGCCACAAGAACCGTTACGTTGGTTACGACGGGCTTCCTCCGCCACTGAACCACGAGCATGCAGTCGCCTGGATGGGGGGATGAGGCGCGGAGGGAGGAAGGAAGGATGGGAGGGAGACAATGCCAGTCTGACGCATGAGCGAGATAGGATGGGAGAGGCATGTCGAGGAAGGGGTGTGAGGAGAACAAGTGGGCACAGAGGGATCAGAGGTTTGGTAAGAAATCGACAGAGGAGCGAGGAATCAGTGGTGTTGGGTGGGAGATGAGAGGATAAGCTAGATTGAGCAAGAATCTCGTGACCTTTTGGTAATCAGAATGAGATGTAGAGTAGAGGGTTGAAGAGGTGACCCCAGCTCTACCTTAGGAGCGACAGGTCATCCCATGAAAAATGGCGGGAGGGAGTAAAACGTGGTACAGCAAGCACGCAATCGTGATAGAATGACGTGAGGGATTTGTTTTCGGACGAATCATTGTTTTCGGACGAATCATTGGTGGAAAATGAAAATTATACAAAAGTCCGCGAGAAAAGACAGCGGAACTTGCGAACAAGATCAGTCTGGGGATCTTTCTCATGACAACTTCATGGTGACCAGGCCCGAAGTGGAGGCTCCCTCGATGCCAACTCATGAGGAGACACAGCAGGCGATCGAATGTGCGTAGAACTAATAAGATAGGAGGAGGAGGGAGGGGGGGGGGGGGCGGGGGGGGGGACTAGGAGGAGCAGGAGGAGGACGAGGAATGACTTCTATCTTTTGCTGTCAACAGCGTTTGCAGGAGCCGAGAGTAAGGCGATGAACGAAGTTTTGATGTCTGCCATACAGGAGATCGCAAGGACAGGGATAGTTAGGTAGTTCCTTCGCTCTTCTCGGCATATCTCCTTACTTGTTCTGACTTGTCTGCAGCTACAACTGGGCGAGCCTCGTCCATCTATTGGTTTTCCAGCTGAAGAATATTCTTGAAGATAGCAGCGAGCAGTTCCCGGTTATCCCTACGCCGGGCCTGGCAGGGGAAGCAACGTACCAGGAGAGCTGCAACCGGCTCTACAGCATCCTCGCTCAGTTCCACGGGTACGTTGTCACAAGTCCTTGTGCCCTCCTGTTGAGTTGTGGCTTCCGTTTCCTTCAGGCCCCCCTTCACAGTCCAGCGACTTTGCGAGCTTCTACTCTCGCCTCACCGACATCACAAGACGAAATTGAAACTTTTAGCAGCCGTTGACAAGGTAACATGAAGTGCTCTCCTGCTTGCTTCGACCACTTGAGGTGAAGGCAAGCTGGGCGTGAGTTTGATATTGCTGTCTGCGCAGCTTCTGTCGGTCACAACCATCGTGTCAGAGCATGAGGTGTGCGACTCAAACTTCGTGGCGCAGGTCTGATGGCGAGGACAGACAGAGACAGAGATCAAGACAGAGATAGAGGGGAAGAGAGAGCGTTGCACCAGGAGAGACTGTGCTTGAGAGGAAGGGGAGAGGTTGAAATAGTTCAGAAAGAAGAGGGGAGAATCGGAAATTTTGGCAGAGAGAGATTGGATTGTGACGTAGTGGAATTCGAAACCTGACGTCATCGTAGGACAACCAGGTTGCAGACACGCCGATGGAGGACAGCTCCGAAAATCCTCCATCGCAGGATGGGGAGGGGAGTAAGATGGAGGGGACGGACGGGACAATCAAGGAAGGGGACGACAAAGGTGAAGCACTTGAGCTGTAAACATGCAGAGCATGGATGATATGTCCGCAGGCACCAGTGAGGAGACAAAGATGTCGGACGATTGATATAGGGACGAAGGCTTCATCTGCTGTACGCTATCCTTTCTTTCGTCCTCCTTCGACAAGTTTTCCGCCCACACTTAGCAGCCGTGCATACTGCGCCAGCCTGCAAAAGAGGAGAACGACGCGAGGAGGGCGATGAGATTTGCTAGTCTGCCTGTTCAATGCTCTTTCTCTCCTCCTCCTCAGCCCCTCCCTCTCTTCCTCCTCCTCCTCCTCCTCCGTCCGTCACTAGAAGGACCTCCCAGCTCTCAGAATTGACTTTATGCAGACCTGAAAAAAACTTGAACTGTTGATAACTGTAAGTAAAAACAAACATTTCAGTGCTCTCCATTGCAAGTTTGCAACCAACTCTCAACACACCTTCTTCTGCTGAACGTCGTCCCACATCCCCTCAAAGTCTTCTTCCGACCCCACAGACCTCCTCCCTTCTCCAGCATCGTACTCGAAAGCTACTCTTCCTCCTGCCTCCTTCTCCAGGATAGAGATGAAGTCATCCCAGTGCACGTCAGGGTCAACAACTACGTCGAAGTTGCTCGCAGGGTTCTCCACGCTCGAGCACAAGAACCGCACGCCTTCCAATTCTTTCTCCTCCTCCTCCTCCTCCTCCTCCAGCTCTGCCTTCTCCTCCATCATGGGTGCCCCGAAGATCGGCATGTCTCCTAACGTCGGAAGCACCCTCCGCTCCTCCTCTGGCCGAGCACCATAATGTTTCTCATGCACAGCCCACACACCTGCCAGCTCTGCATCGGAGTACCCGACGAAGAACGGATTCGTTTGCTTCTCAACCTTCAAGGTCGTCGACTCCACGTCGATAGCCTGACTGTCTGCTGCATTCTTGTAGAAGGACTCGTATCTGCTCTTGCCCGCTCTATCGAAGATGCTCTCTGCTCCCTCCCTCTCCTCCCCGTTGCCACGCCCATCCTCGTTCTCGCATCTGAGAGGTAACGAGTGTCTGACAGGTCTGTGAAGGATGCGGGGGACAGGAGGCAAGAATCCGCTCGTCGGAGTCTCTTGACTGACCAAGAGGACGATGAACAGGAGGAGACTTGTCAAGTTAGTCGCCATTCCTTCTCTTTCCTCCTTCGTTGCTACCTCCCTTGCTACCAAGGGAGGGAGCCTGTGGTAAATCCCTTCACTTGGAGTACCCCTACCCCCGCAAATAAAGTTATAACCACCCCTGGTTCATCCCTCTACGTGCAGATGGCCGACTGGGACTCTATCGTTGACGTGGAGGCTTCATGGAGACAAGTAAGAGCCCCCGTGCCCTCCTGCTCCTGCTCCTGCTCCTGCTCCTGCTCCTGCTCCTGCTCCTGCTCCTGCTCCTGCTCCTGCTCCTGCTCCTGCTCCTGCTCCTGCTCCTGCTCCTCCTGCTCCTCCTGCTCCTGCTCCTGCTCCTGCTCCTGCTCCTGCTCCTCCTGCTCCTCCTGCTCCTCCTGCTCCTCCTCGTCCTCCTGCTCCTCCTGCTCCTGCTCCTCCTGATCCTGATCCTGCTCCTCCTTGACTCCTCCTTGACTCCTCCTTGACTCCCCCCCTCTTTGCCTTGCTCTTTCATCGTTCCTCCCTTAGGAGCGATCATCCCCGTAACTTTGGAATCTTACGATGCTCGTTAGGAGGGCGAGCGAGATGGGGCGGTAGCGGGAGAGCAACAAGGTTTAGATGTCCTGCTCGTCCTACTCTTTTCCTTTCTATTCCCCCGCCTCTGCCCCACCCCCCTTCTCTCTTCCTACTTCCCTCCTCCCCATTTCTTTTCTTTCTATTTCTGCCGCCCCCCCCCTCCCCCCCCCCCTCCCCCGCCATCCCTCCACCGTCTGACCCACCAGTCCTGCAGGAAGAGAGCAGGGGCGTGTCATCGGGCTTGACAAAGGCCATGAGATCGGGCATGAGCTTGGCTACTACGCAGGTAGACAAGGAAAAGGGGTTGAGGAGATGATAGTGAATAAGGAGCAAGAGGAAGGAGTAGGGAGGGAGAGAGGTAGGAGGGGATGGGGGAGGAGGGAGCAGGAGCAGGAGCAGGAGAAGGAGAAGGAGAAGGGGAGGAGGAGCCGTTTTCTTCTCACCAGTGATATCGAGGCCTGCAGGATGTGCTCAAGCATGGCTGCAGATCGATTCGGCACAGCAGAGCGCTCCAGAAGCAGGTGAGCAGCAGCTTCTTCATCCATGAGCTCTGAACCAGCACGCACCAGGGATAGAGACAGCAGCAAGAGAGCAGCAGCAGCAAGAGGAGGAGGAGGAGGAAGGGAAAGCAGCCAATCCTGCTCCGAGCGACGTGGCAGGGCTGCTCAAGGGTGTGGACATGCAGAGGCTGCACTTCACGGATCGAGGTAGGAAGACGCTTCACCAGATCATCGAGCTAGTCGACTCCTTCCCATCGAAGACGTAACCAACCCTGAGGTTAGCCTTGTCTCTCCTCTTCCTCCTCCTCCTCCTGTCTCTGCCTCCTCATCAGTAGCATCATCGTCATCATCGTCATCGTGAACATCATCGTGAACATCATCATCATCATCATCATCATCATCATCATCTCCTCTTCATCCTCCTCCCCTTTCTTTCCTCTCACTTCTTCAAACTCTCTGCTCTATCTCTGATGCTTTCCTCGCACAGGTATCCGATCGCATTGACAAGATCAGGAGCAAGTTCAAGGTCCTTCACCTCCTTCCTCCTCCCCTCTACTCCTCACTGGTTTGCGGGCAGGTCGCTGTTTCCCAGCTGGGGCTAGTGCTGGAGGTCAACCCTTACTCTCGTTCCTTCCTGCCCCTCTGCTTTTCCAGCCCCGTTGCCCTAAGATGCCTTCATGCCCTTCCCCACCTCCTCTCCTCCTCCTCTCCTCTCCTCCTCCTCCTCATCCCTTCCTCTTCTTCTTCAGCTTCTTGAGAGCGGCGGCAACGATGCTGGGGACTTGCGAGCTCTTGATGTTATGACTCCTTGCAAACTCCCTGGCCTCCGCCATGAGCGACTTCTCATCTGAGTCGCTGAAGAAGGGGAAGAGCAGTTGGGCTCCTCCCTGCTCCTGTCGCAGCTTCACAGACCCCAGCTGCTTCCTGGGAACCTTCCTGGCTGCCTTGGGGAACAGCTCGTGCTCCTCGTCCTCCTCCGCAAACTCCCCTTCCTCTTCCCCTTCGTTCTGCTGCTGCCTCATTGGAGGCTCCTTCTTTCCCGTCCTCCTGGGTTGCTCCCTTGGCTGTTCCTCTTCCTCCTCTTCCTCCCGCTCACCCCCTCCCTCTTCGCCCTCGTCTGCCTCATCTTCGAAGTCCTCGAACTTCTCCCCGAAGCTGTTCCCCTGCTGGAAACCAGCAGGAGCTGAGAAACTCCTCCCCTCCGACTGCCCCCGCAGGGCGTCCAATGCCCCCTTGACGAGCTGGGAACGGAGCTGGGGGTCGAAGCCATGGGAGGAGATAAAGCGATCGACGTCTTCCTCCACCCCTTTCCGGTCGCTCCCGTCATGAAAGAGTGGCAGCTCGAGGGATTGGGAGGGGTCCTCCCTGCTCTGAATCCGCAGCATCGCCAGAGGCTGGCCGGTAGGTGAGCTCCTCCTCCCTCGAGTCCCAACATCCTCCTCCTCCTCCTCCTCCTCCCATCCTCCATCCTGCAAGGCGCTGTCAAGAGCATTGAAGGCGCTTTGCAGCAGCTGCTCGCGGTAGCTCGAGGGGATTCTCATGGCCTGCATGAAGCGATCGACATCCTCCTCCACCCCCTCGACCTCTTCCGGCCCGTGGTAGATATGCATCATCGTCTTCCTCCCAGCGTCCTCCTCCCCCCGGATTTCGACGGAGGCCAGCGGCTTCATCCCCTTCCGTTCCGGGGAGAGAGGAGGAGAAGACCGCGAGCGAGACGAGGAGGGGCGAGTAGCGTCCGGGTCGAGGAACGAGATGCCGACCATCCAGCAGATCACTCCAATCGCAATGGCGAAGGCCAGCAGGGTCCAAAGTTGCCTCCTCCTCCTCTTCTCTGCCTCCTTCTTCCTTGACCTCTCCACCATGGCATGACGGGCAGCACTGGAGGAGGCGTGCGTGCCAGGGTCGACGCTCTCCGCTCCGCTCTCGTACTCGGACCCGCTGTCGGCTCCTCTCCTCCTCCCGTGCTTTCCTTTCTTCCTGCTCCTGCTCGTCGATCGCCTCCCGCCATATGAGCGACTCTCGTCGTCCTCGTGCTTCTCCTGCTCCTCCTGTTTCTTCTTGGCGGCTAACGAGCTGTCGCGCGATGCAGCCTTCCCCCGCTTCTCTCTTGACCGCCCTCTTGCCCGGCCTCCTCCTCCTCCTCCT